TTTTCTAAACTAGGAACCGCGCTGTCGTTAGCGTAGGTAAAGTTGTTGCCGCTTTTTTTTTGGGGGGGGGGCGCCCTTGCGGTGTGGTTTCCCTAACCTCCTTCAAGAAAGGTTGTAATGAGGCCGGGCCAGGCCGGAGTCTTGGCGGATGCTCCCCGCCGTGTCCAATTCCTGCTCAGCCGCCCGTTCCTCCTCCTGGAGGTGCTCCTGGTCCTCCCCCCGCCGACCGTCTCTCCCGCACCCCGACGGGCCCAAACGGGCCGCCCCGCGAGTGCGAGAGAGACGGAGCGCGGCGGCGCTGGAGTCGCTCGTCAAACCGAGGACGTCATTACTGCCCGCGAGGATTTAATCATCTCTGTCGTCGAGGACGGTCGAGGACGAGCGGGGCGACACACCTCGCTCCCTCTCACTCCCTCTCGCGTCCCCCCTCCCTTCCCCTCCCCCCACCCCCTCCCGCCCGGCTAATAAGACCGACGTGTTGACACAGCCGTTGTTAAACTGCAGAGGCGATTCCGCTACCCGTCTCTCTCGCACGCCAACGGGACGCCCCATGGGTGCGAGAGAGACAGAGCGACGGGAGCGCTGTCCGAATGCAGCCCACTGCCTGCGGTACGAAGCCACTGCAAATAAACTGCCGGCCCTGCGGATAATGGGCGCACGCAGTGTTCAGAGATCGAGAGGAAGGACGCTCTGTCTCTCTCGCACTCATGGGGCGTGCCGTAGGAGTGCGAGAGAGACACAGTACAATTTGCGAGATTTCAATCAGTGGCATAGGCCCCTGGAATATTTAGCTATGTTTTGACACTAATATCAACTTGAATAATTCGGTTCGAGGTCTGTAAAGCCCCGGAGGGCCGGAGGGAGGGGGGGGGGCCGCGGCGCGGGGAAGGGGTGCTGGGGGCTGTTGAAAAGTGCTGTGTCCACCAAAAGTGTGTCAAGAGCCTTCCGCCTAGGTACTTCCCCGGACGGCGACTGCCATGGTGTGACGTCTCGAGCCGGGTCGCCGGGGCGTCACCAGGGCGACGCCGAGCGACCGAGCGTGACCAGGGCGACGCCGAGTGTCACCAGGGCGACGCCGAGCGACTGAGCGACACCAGGGCGACGCCAAGTGACTCCGAGCGTCACCAGAGCGACGCCGAGTGTCACCAGGGCGACGCCGAGTGACGCCGAGTGTCACCAGGGCGACGCCGAGCGACTCCGAGCGTCACCAGAGCGACGCCGAGTGTCACCAGGGCGACGCCGAGCGACTCCGAGCGTCACCAGAGCGACGCCGAGTGTCACCAGGGCGACGCCGAGTGACGCCGAGCGACACCAGGGCGACGCCGAGCGACACCAGGGCCGGGCAGACCGGGCATGGGGCTCATGGCGCCCCCAGTGGGGCTGCCCCTCCAGTGACTTGAACGACTGGGCCCGCTTGGCTCGTCTCGGCGTGGCGCGGCCGGCCCGTGGTACCCACTGGATCCGCCCGCCGCCCCTCGGAGGGCGCCTCGCACAAGGTAAGCCGCACCACCACACCATTACCCTAATTGGTACCGCTGTTCTCGTCTCTCGCTTTTCGTTTTTCTTCTCCCTATGGTTCGGGGTTTCGCTCCCCCTTTGGAGCGCGGGTTCGCTCTAACGAGGTTCGCGCGGTTTTGAACTCGTCGAGGGGAGATTATGGTGTGGCTTGCGTGCCCAAGGGCGAGTAGGCGGTGTTACCGCACGCCGCTGGACGCGCTGACAGCGGTGCCGTTGATGATTAGAGAAAACATGTGTCGCGGCAGGTGTGGTGCCCACAGTGGTGCCCACAGTGGCGCCCCCTTGGAATCAGACCGTAAAAATGACCTCCCGGCTTTCACTCGCGGCACTCGGCTTTCGAACTGGGCTTCTCTCAAGCTTTCGAGGGAGTTTGAGCACGCCTCGACGAGCACCAAAGCCTGTATCTGCACATTAGGTTGAAAAGGCTGCACCCCAAAGTGAAACAAAAAAACATGGACGCAAAAAAGTTTTTGTTTGTTTTTTATGCTCTTTATTTTTCGGTTTCCTTTCCTCTCCCTGTTTTTGCCGTTTGATATGGGAGTCGCCGCGCCTGGCCGCCAGACGCCGACCTCGGCAATGTCAGCAGGCTGATTCCCAGAGTCGGTTCCGTCGCTCTGTCTCTCTCGCACCTGTACGGAACGCCCCATGAGTGCGAGAGAGACCGAGCGGAATCAGTCTAGTGGGAAGCTTCTCAATCGGATCATCCTTGCATCCCTGCCCCGATGACTCGCGCTGTGCCGCGGGGCGGAACCAGACGAGGGAAAATGACAGGCTGTCTCTTTTTCGAACCCACACGGGACGCCCCATGAGTGCGAGAGAGACAGAGCGATGAAAACGACTCCCGGAGTCAGTCTGCTGGACGTAATCGCTCCCACCGCCGCATCGGCGTGCGTACACTGTAACGCCGTGCCGTGCCGCACGTTTCTCGCGAGTATTCGAAGCCGTTCGCCACCACACTTGGCTTTGAAGGGCGCGGCAGGCCTCTGAGGCAGGGGCAGCCAGGGGCAGCGGGCAAGGCCCTGCTGCAGGGCTGCTTCCCAAGCGCACCCTGTCTCTCTCGCGCCACTGCGGCACACTCCGTGAGTGCGAGAGAGACAGAGCGACGAAAGCGACTTTCGGAGTCGGCGTGCGGGGTGCGCTGGAGACTGGAGACTCCAGCCTGGAGTGGATCATGCCTTATCTGGGGCCGGGGGAGTGTATCGCTCTCACCGCGAGCCGGGTGCCGGCAGGCCGACGGCAGGCCGACGGCGTCGTCCACCGTCACTGGCATGGCTGCCACCCCGCACAACCTGATGCCCTCCACGGCCCTGGCGGCGCGGCGGCGCGGCGGTCGGATTCAATCAAAGAGACCCCAGGGGCCGGCACGGCATGCAGCGAGGCAGCCAGGCAGAGCCGCACTCCACGCCACAGAGGCGGCATGCCGCAGCGGCGTCCCAGCAGACTGACTCTGAGAGTCGTTTTCGTCGCTCTGTCTCTCTCGCACTCGTACAGGCGACTCTGAGTCTCCTGCGTGGTGGAGCGCCCCGCCCCGCCCCGCCCCGCCTCGCCTCGCGGCTTCCTCCCCCGGCCTTTCTTTCCTTCGATGCACTTGACCCTCGCGCAGCTCGTGCAGTGTGTGTGCAGACGCGAGACACGACCCCCAGCATCTCGTGGTGCGCGCCGAGCCGCACCCCGCCGCACCCCGCCGCACCCCGCCCGCTTTCTCTTTTATGCCCGACTCTCACTGCGACTGGCAGACAGGCAGCGGTCTTGATCGGCGCTATAATTATCGACTCTTTTGTCCGAGGAGGAGAGGGGAGGGGAAGGGAAGGAGGGGAGGGGAGGGGGTGGCCGCAAAGAGGTGGAGACTGTGTCGGTTGCGGCACGCTGCACCCTTCTTACAAGATACACCGGTAACCAACGAATGTGACGACATTCTCGTTCGTATGTGAGTTTTGTCACGTTCGTTTGAATATGATGTCACATTCGTTTGAATGTTGATCAACATACAAACGAATGTGACACCCTACTTAAACGGCCGAGTCACGTAACGAATGTGACAAAATTCACACTGCAACGAATATGACGTCACATTCGTTGTCTACCAGTGTAGACCTCCTGGACGGTAGGCAACACACGCGCCACGTTTCCACCAAAAGTAGGCGAAAGCACCGCTCTACCCCCTCCCTGGAATGTCCTGGAATGTCCTGGAATTTCCTGGATCCGCGCCCGAAGTAAGCAGATCAACCCGCGGCGGCGAGACGAAGGTATTATTCCCCGTAACTCACCGCTCCTCGTGGATTGCGCGCCATTCGCGGGTCGCGGGTCACGCCACCGTAAATTCAGCTAATCTCGAGGACCGCGGCTGCGCGGCTGCGAGCCTGCGAAGCCCGCGAGGTGCAAATCGCGGAGGGATTCAAACTTTCGCTGAAGAGGAGTAGAGGGGGAGAGGGGGCTCGACGCTGGGGATGTGTGGGAGGAGGACGACGCTGGGGGAGGGGGAGGGGGCACTCCAGAGTCCTTCACACGCCGATAGAAATCCTTGCTAACAACGGAGCAGGCAGGAGTGAAGTCGGACAAGCGAGTAAGACGGGGAGGGTGAGGGTGGCGGTGGGTGGGGGCTTTTGCTCTCGCTCGCTCTCGCCAGCCCTCACTGCCCGGGACGGTCGGGACGCCCGGGACGCCGACGACGTGCTCAGAGCCTCTGTTCCAGCCCTGCCTCGCCTAGGGGCGCCGCGCCTCCACCGCCCCGCCCCGCCCCGCCCCACTACCCCGCCAGGCAGAGACTTAGTGCCCACACAGCGCTGCCCGACATTGCATTTCCTGGAAGGGAGAGAGAGAGAGAGAGAGAGAGAGAGAGAGAGAGAGAGAGAGAGAGAGAGAGAGAGAGAGAGAGAGAGAGAGAGAGAGAGAGAGAGAGAGAGAGAGAGAGAGAGAGAGAGAAATTATCGATGCAAGACCAGCTGTGCAGTGCACCGAGCAGACCGTCCAGCCGGTGTTCGTGGAGTCCATGTCATAAGGCGACGCCAGTGGTCAGAATTTTTTGGGGGAGGGGCGTCTAGAGGCTTCTCCGGGTTGGATTTTCCAGGCCGAACAAAAATATATACCTTTTTTTATCTGGGTGGTCCTGGAAAACCCGCACTCTGTTTCGTTTTGCTGAGTTTTGTGTCACCTCGCGAAATCAAAGTTGCGGAGAGTGTACCCGGGCGGGACCGCAGTCACTCGAGCAACTTTCCTGCTGAGCGGGGATGCAGCATCAGACTCATTCCGCGATTCGTTGTCGTCGCGCTGTCTCTCTCGCACTCATTGGGCGTCCCGTAGGTGCGAGAGAGACAGCGCGCGGAACGGAGTGTGCTGGACGCGGTGGTTCTTCTCCTTGTTGCAGGTCGTGGCGGGGCGAACAGCCGCCCTGACAGGGCCCCCGCGGCCCCCGGCCCGGCCTCTGCCCTGCCCCGCCGCCCCGACGGCCCCGTCGTCCCCGCCCCGCGCCTAGCAGACCTCGGATGCCCAGGAGGCCCAGGATGACGTGCTTGCTGACGCTGCGCGGGCTGGGCGCCGCCCTGGCCCTGCTGCTGGCCGTCCTGCAGGCCCTCATGCTGGCCACGCCGGGAGGCGCGGAGTACCAGCAGTGAGTGTCGTCGCTCTGTCTCTCTCGCACTCGTTTGGGAATCCGTCTTTTGTGGAAACTGGCTCGAGCCCTGCAGCCCGGCTGGGTAGGCAATGTCCACCGTGCGGCGTACCGCTGTGTGCCGGGTTGCCTACCCCGCGTTCCGCGGGCGCTCGGAGCCAAGAACGAGCCAGTCGCTCTGTCGCTGTCTCTGTCGCACTCGCGGGACGTTCCGAGGGTGCGAGAGGGGCAGAGTGGTTGACGGCGTGCTGTTGCACACTCTAAATGTTGTACAGTGAAGATTCTCCATGTTATGGTGAAAATGTTCCATATTATGGTGGTGCAGCTGACTTCGTAACATACCACTGAGAATTCACTGTACCTTATAGAGATTTTGACAAATTTCGTTGGTATTATGGAGAAAATCTCTACCGTATTATGTTGGTGCAGCCCTTCACCGTGAGACATTTACTGTGCAGGAGCCTCATGTTCAGCGACATCCTCCCGGAGAACCCCAAGCTCTACGACAAGATGCGGCCCCCCAAGAAGGACGGCGGCCCCACGGTCGTCTACTTCCACGTCACCGTCATGGGGCTCGACTCCATCGACGAGAACTCGATGGTGGGGACGCGACGTTCGTTTTACAGATAGTTGGTGTTTTTTGACATTGTACTTTATGGATGACTAACGTGTTTATCGCTATTGTTGACAGACGTACGCTGCAGACATTTTCTTCGCTCAAACTTGGAAAGACCACCGACTGCGGTTACCTGAAAACATGACGTCAGAATATAGGTAAAGCGCGCTAAGGTTGTATGGTGTTCTCTGGCTTTCCCTTCCACGCGGCTTTCACCGTCCGTCCCTCTGCTCGGCAGGTTATTAGAAGTAGACTGGTTGAAGAACATGTGGAGACCGGACTCGTTCTTCAAGAACGCCAAGGCCGTCACGTTCCAGACCATGACCATCCCCAACCACTACATGTGGCTCTACAAGGACAAGACCATCCTCTACATGGTCAAGTGAGTGTCGCCCTCGGTCGCCCTCCACCCCCGCACAGCGGGCCAGAAGACAGGTGGAGGTGGTCAAAATCCTGGACGGGGTTTGAGCTCAGCGTCGCTGAATGGGACTCGAATCGAACGTGTGACCCCACCAATGGATTGCTCTCCGAACGAGGAATCCATTGGTGGGGTCACACGTTCGGTTCGAGTCCCATTTAGCGACTCTGGGGCTCAAAACGCGTCCGGGATTTTGGCCGCCGCCACCGGTCTTGTGGCCCACTGTGCCGTACGCCGACTCACGGCCCCGTTCTCAAAATGTTTCCCTTCCGCAGGCTGACGCTCACGCTCTCGTGCGCCATGAACTTCATGATCTACCCGCACGACACGCAAGAGTGCAAATTGCAGATGGAGAGCCGTGAGTACACTCGTCGCATTTTGAGTCTTCAGTCGCCTAGAAAGGGAAGCGGCAAGCGCGAAGCGAGGGGCGGGGAAATTGTTGCAACAGCCGCGCGTTTCCCCCTCGAGAGACGACGGTGAAGAGGTCTGTGACAAAACCAAGAGAGGGCGGGGCGGGGCGGGGCGGGGCGGGGCGCCACGGCCGAGCAGAGGGCCGCCGAGGGCCGCCCCACACTCCCAACTCCTCGTGGCCCCGGTGCCCCTTTGCCCTTTTCATAAAGCTTTAGCAGTAACAACTTGAGGTAACAAGCTACGTTCACGACACTTGGCCTCCCGGAGGCTGCTCCCACTTCGTCAGCAAATTACATCCTCGTCCCGGTCACAGAGTCACAGAGGCAGAGCCGCAGGTCGACAGACGGAAATGAAAACATTTGGCGCTATTTTTGTTGCTGTTGTTTGACGTGACGTCATTGATGTTGTTGTCGTCTGCTTGGCAGTGTCGCACACCACGGACGACATGGTGTTCCAGTGGGACCCCGACGTGCCGCTGGTCGTGGACGAGAACATCGAGCTCCCCCAGCTGCAGCTCGTCAAGAACAACACCGCCGACTGCACCCAGGTGTACTCCACAGGTCTGTCTCTTTCGCACGACGACGCGGCGCCCCGGCTTCGTGGCGAATTATTTCCAGGCGAGCGCTTCCGAAGAGTCGCTCTGTCTCTGTCGCGCTCCTAAGGGGCGCCCGTGAGTGCGACAGAGACAGAGCGACGTCCGCCGCTGACGCTGACGCGCGCTGACGTGTTGCAGGCAACTTCACGTGCCTCGAGGTGGTGTTTGTGCTCAAGCGGCGACTGGGCTACTACCTCTTCCACACCTACATCCCCACCTGCCTGATAGTCATCATGTCCTGGGTGTCCTTCTGGATCAAGCCGGAGGCGGCGCCGGCCAGGGTCACCCTGGGCGTCACGTCGCTGCTGACGCTGTCCACGCAGCACGCCAAGTCGCAGGCCTCGCTGCCGCCCGTGTCCTACCTCAAGGCGGTGGACGCCTTCATGTCGGCCTGCACTGTGTGAGTGCACTGTACACGCCGCCCTGACGCATAATAGAGTAATTGCCACTGTGCCCCTTATCCTCCCTCTCTCTCCTCGTCACGCTCTCCCACCCTTTTCCTCCTTGAGGGCGGCTGGGCCTAGCCAGCAGACTGATTCCGAGAGTCGTTTTCGCTGCTCTGCCTCTCTCACACCTACACGGGTCGCCCCATGAGGGCGAGAGCGACAGGGCGACGAAAACGGCTCTCAGTCTGCCACCTCCCCAGCCCCGGGCCATCATTAGCGCATGTGTCATGTGACCCAGATTCGTGTTCATGGCGCTCATGGAGTACTGCCTCGTCAACATCGTGCTTGGTGACTCGGACGCACCCAAGCCGCCGCCCGACCCGAACAAGCAGGACAAGGACAAGATCTTCGACTTGGCCGCCAAGGTACGCCGTCCCGTGGCGCCTTGCCCAAAATCACCAGCATGCACCAGTGGGTTGCCAACCTCGTGCAGGCCTGCCAACGAGGCAATATCGGGGCATTGCTCCCGAAAAGTTGTCTCGAAGGCAGGCTGCGGCCGGCACCGGTGCATCGGCAGCACTGTGGAGGGGCCTAGCCTCCCACAGTGGGCCAGAAGACCGGTGGCGGCGGCCAAAACTCTAGACGCGTTTTGAGCTCCAGAGTCACTAAACAGGCCTCGAACCGAACGTGTGACCCCACCAATGGATTCCTCGTTCTGAGAGCAATCCATTGGTGGGGTCACACGTTCGGTTCGAGGCCTGTTTAGTGACTCTGGAGCTCAAAACGCGTCTAGAGTTTTGGCCGCCGCCACCGGTCTTCTGGCCCACTGTGCCTCCCCAAGTGTTGCCTGGCGCTTTTCAGCCCGCCCACTGCTAGAGTCCTGAGTCTTTGAGTGCGCTCGTTTGCCCAGGAGAACGCGCGCCTGCTGCACGGCCACGGGCACGGCCACGGCCACGGCCACGCCCACACCCACGTGCCGGTGCCGCCGCCGCCGCCGAGGCCCAGCCCGGCCCAGCGCGCCCGGATGCAGGCCCTCAACATCGACCGCTTCTCCAGGGTCTTCTTCCCGCTGCTCTTCTTCGTCCTCAACTGCACCTACTGGATCATGTTTGCCCGCTACCTATAGCGTGCTATACCGTGCTATTGCGCCCGACCACACATCAGCGACGTCCACGCCGTCACTACTGCCGGCTCCGCTTCCGGTCGCGCACTTCCGGTGCTTCCGGTTCCGGGAGCGTGCGGGACGACCTGGGAGAGGCGGAACGGTGTGGGTGCCACTCGCAGTGGCGCAGCCTGCAGCCCGGCGGTGCGCCACGCCATGGCCACGCAGTGGCATCCTCTCTAGTCTAGAGCCCTATAACAGTGTAGGGCTTTTTCTCAGACAAGCCGGGTGGGTGGGCACGACTGGCGGGCAAAAGGGCGCGTGGCGGGCTGCCCACCCGGGACATGGCGGGCGCCAGCCACGCTGGCCTGGGGGCCTGGGGGCCTGGGGGCCTTGGGGGCTCCGCGGGCACCACACCGGCAAGGCTCGGCAGGGAGGCCCCCGTGTGTCGCCAGGCACGGCAGTTTTGAATGTAATGAACGACAAGTGATGGATTGGATTATGAGATTCACTGACCGTGTGATAGCCACTTCTAGGATTCGTATCTCAAATGCCTTCATGTTGTTGTTTTTCAGTAGAGGAGGATGAAATTAGTTTATTTCCCCTTTTTCACCAAACATTTGGCTTCTTCCAAGTTAAACTTTATTGTCCGTTTGGTAGGATCAGGAGAATATTTTAAGTTTAGGGAGCAATGTTATAGTTATTCCATGATAATTAGGCATCAAATTTATTGTCTCCACGACATGAGAAATTCCGTCGAATGCAGTTCAAGTTTTCTCGTTTTGCTCAGCAAGCCGCACACTGTAATTACACAGTAGTTTACTTATCTTAATTCATAATGTTTTTGAGAAAGCCATCCAAATTTCAACTTTGATTCAAAACATTGTGTTGTTGTTTAGTCTTTGGTTTCATATTTTTATCTAGGATTGAAAAATGTTTTCACAGTCTAAATAAAATGATAGAGTATTGGATTGGGTGTTTCAGATTTCTTGTACTGCAGCTTGTTGCAGTGGAGGATCTGGGGAAGCACCCTGAGGCAGCAGGGTTGCGTCTGAAGCACCATATTCAGGGTTAATTAATCCTGCCGTAATCAGTGTAAAAAATTTTACTCATAAAAACAGCATAAATTCCAATGTTTTTGTGCATTCCTTTCCCTCTGAGGTGTGTAGTCGTGCTGTTTCCAGCTTTGAGCATTCTATATTAGGAAACTTAATTTAAAAGTTGTTAAATTTTATTTCTTTTCCTTATCGGTTCATTGTTTGTTTTCATACTTTTTGTTAATTTATATTGTGATAAAACTTGTTGAGGCTCCACCATCTAAATGCCAGAAGCGCAAGTCTCACTGCTACAGCAGTTACTATACCACACATGAAATAAATAAATTTAAATTACTGGATAAAATGCTTGAGTTTATGAGAGTTAAGGGTGTATGTGAGATAGAAAATTGTTAGAATAGTACACCATAGAACAAATTGAGAGACCACAAGGAAGCGTGCACATACCAGATGCTTTGCCCCAATTTGAAATGGCTACATTGAAATTGTTCATAGCAGTGGAAAGAATACTTTTGTAGATACTAGTTGAGAATATTTAAATAAATCACTAAAACCCGACAGTTAAAGGTGATGTGATTGCCCACCTAAGTCCAGATTAAGGTTTGAACAATAAATTCAAATTTATTATGTAATTTGCATTTATTTCACTCAAGAGCAACATTACAGCCACAATAACACTGAGAATACTGAGACTTTCAATGGAGTAACAAAGGTAAATTCATTGGTAGAAAAACATGTTTATTTCAATCAAAAAGGCTTAAGACACTGCAGGCAACATTGTTTACCGATAAGTACACAGACAAATTTCAAAATAAGTCTGGGTAAACTCTGAAACATCTTTAGTTAAATAAGAAAATAGGCTCATTCTGTAAAATCCAAAAGACGATACTGGCCCCTAAGGAGAGTTTAATGTTTTCATTACTCTTACATTAATTAATTTGGTTAACAAATGTGTCACAACTATTTACCACAGCTGTTACAATCATCAGACCGATCTTTTAAGATAAAGCCATAAACAATATAGTCATGGTTTCAGTTCAAATTTTGAAGTAGATTACTACTTAATACACTTCAGTGGGCTATGAAGTGGAACAGTTAAGCCTTTGGGGCTTCATTAGATGACAGTGTCAGTACGGTCGTACATAGTTCTTTGGAGACAAAAACTGAGTATATAATACTGACAGTTAACATGTATTATTGTCAGTCAGGTTAACAAAATCCCCCTAAAAACTAATAATTCGCAAAAAGATTTACAAAATTTTAACAGTGTAACTACACAGTGGAATGATTAACAATGCACTTTTTTTAGAAAAAGGCTACCTAAAATAGTACACCCAGGCATTCAATCCTCAGTAAAACAAACCGCAAGCATTGTTAAGCATCATTACCTTTTTCATAATATTAGGGTCATATCAAACACGAGAAAATAGTAATTTGTAACACACTTGAAAATAAAGGCATTAAGCAAGTGGTACATTTGAGCTCATCTGCAAAGAGCCTCATTCATGTAAATAGGAACAAAAAACTGATTACTTCACATTTCATCAAGCAAAAAGATAGAGGAAAAGAGGCAATCAGTTCTGCACTTACAATAGCGTCATCTGAACAATATGAACTTTTTTTTCCAAAATTTTGGAAAGCACAGACTTTGCAGGCACATCAAAACTTAAGTTCAGTCAATATAATCAGTCTTGTCAAAGCTATCTAGCTGCAGCATTTAAGGCAGAAATTTATCTGTCAATGCCTTTTAGTCAAGACAAAATAAACAAAACATTAATACATTTATACATGAGTAAATACATACAAAAATGTAAATATTACAATGGTACATACAGACTTAGGAACATTATCAGTGCTTCAAACAATACATAACCCTCTGCTCCACAAAAACAACTCACCATAAGTCTCAAAGCGAGGATAAACACATTTCTAAGCAACTTATCACATAATATCACATTCATAACAAAGGTATAATACTAACAGCTGTCTTTGTATCAACCACAGATTGAAGAGAAGTATGGCAAATACTTCTATCCAAAAGAAATTTTAGAAGACCTCGCTTTACAAAAGTTATTAAAAACGATGAGACTTGTAAATACTGACAAAAATAACGAAAAAAGAGGTGGTAAAAAAATGGAGAAGTTGGACTCAACTCTACACTTCCTGAGGTGGTGGCGGAGCAGAGGGGCCCAAGGGCAAACAGTGATAGCTTGTGGGTCTTGGGGCATGCACTGTTGCAGTTTGATTACTCATACTAAGTCTATAACACCTATCATGGTTTGTTCTTCTTTGACGGTTAGGATGCTTAACACTTGCCACATAGGGAGGAGCCTTTACAGGCGACCTCGCAGGACCAACTAATCTTTGGACTGCTGGACTTGTATTGTCAACATCAGAAGAGTCCCCATCACAATCATCTCCTGCCTCTGAGCTTCTAGCCTGTAGCAATGATTCTGAAAAAGAAAAGGGAAAACCCATGATAATAAAGCTACATGCTACATTTCTCATTGAACATTAAAGGGAGAAGTGTTGTACCTGGTGGTGGTAGAAGCTCCTCATGGCTGTGACTTCTTTTGGAGTCACCTGTGCCACTGTCTTTGCTGCTTGAATGTTCGGAGTCTGTATCCACCTGATTAGCAATCTGTCCTCCAGGATGACCATAGACCAAGAGTGGAACAGGAGAGGTATCTGATGTTAACTTCAGATCTACAGTATGGGATAGTCCTACACCAGAATTGCCAGCGGGTGGTGGTGATCGAGTCATGTGTTTGCGAGTTTGATAGATAATGATGACCCACACAACTGAAGTGCACACAGCACAGCAAACTACGGCAATGACTATAATGCCAGCCATATCATCATTAATAATTAAAGATCCAGATGCTGTAAACACCAAGTTAATTAATACAAACCATACTTTGTAAAGTTTTTATATGCAGACGATTGCTGACAAGATAAGGTGTTTACCTGGAATGATTGTCAGCTTAGAATGGCCTCTTTCAGAACCAAGAGGGTTGGAAAGCTCACATTCATATCTACCAGCATCCTCAGGCTGGGTATTCCTAATGATGAGGAGTTCATCCTCTGCTGTAAAATGGTACCTGTCTGATGGTCTAAGTTCAATTCCATCTTTGCGCCATTTTAAACTTGGCCTCGGAGAACCAGTGGATAAACACTCCAAAACAACTGCCTGCCCCACACGGACCTCTTTGTTCTCCATTAACTTGAGGAATGATGGAGTCTCTGAAATAGAAATACTGATGTCAGTACAAGAAGGATGAATGCAATAGTCAGGTAGCTCAAAGCACTGAGAATAATCTCACCTAAAATTGTAAGCGATGCATTGGTGACATTAACCCCAGCATCGTTGTGGGCCATACAACTGTAAACACCCATATCAAAGGGTTTCACGTTAACAATGAAGAACACATCATCATCTGGCATGACGTGCATCCTACGTTCACGAGCAGCTGGAAAATCGTTGCCTCCATCCTTCTGCCACGACATTTTAGGTTCAGGAAGACCCTCAGCTGCACACGGCAAACGTGCTATGCTCCCTGTCTTCACTTGCAAATCTTCAGGAATCTTGGTAAACTTTGGAAAAACTGAAAATAGAAGGGTAAAATGAAGGAGGTAAATTCAACCCACTGAGGCGAACATCTCATGAACATCAATGCATATAGTGACACTTACCAACAACAGACACATTTGCTTTCCCAGAATGAGCAGACCCATAACTATTAGAGGAAAAGCATTGATAAATGCCAGCATCTCTGAGCGAAGCATTATAAATGTGGAGTTCGGATGTTTGCTCCTTGGAATCAGAGTTGATACGGAAATTGTACTTGATAGACATTCCAAGAGAGCTCTTCACTTCTATGTTATCCCTCTTCCAACGAAAAGTTATTTTTTCATCTGAAGAGGAGTTTGCACGACACTGAAGAGTAACATTAGATCCAAGAAGAACCATCTTCGACTTTGGTTCTTCAATAATGTGTGGATTTGGAATTCCATCTGAAGCAAACAAAATTGAGTTATTTAACAAAAACATCACACTGATTTTATACAAATATGCAAACCACAAAGATACATACCACATGAGAAGTTTTCAGGGGGAATATTTTTAACAGATATTCCTTGCAGTGAGTAGGGATAAGCACAAGTTGGATGAGTTTCATTTGCAAATGATTGCTTTTTAAGCCAAACTGGCAACCAACCCAAGGAACAGTCACACATTAAAGTAGAGACATTGAGAGATAGTTGAGTTAAGCTTGACATATGCAGCCATGGATTTTCTTGAATAGAGAGAAGGCTATTGTCTGCCAAATTAAGTACTCTCAAGTTGGTGACCCCATCAAATGCCAGGTAATTGATGGAGCTGATCCGGTTTTCAGCAAGACTCAAGATTTCAAGTTTAGTGAGGCTATTGAAGATTCCATTCATTTCTTCACCAGCCCAAGACAGGCTATTTCCATTCAATTCCCTGTAAGCAGAAACACATAGTTAAAGTTTCAATTAAGCTTGTAATTATGAAAGATGTGGCAAAAATGTGCAATATTAATATATTAAAAATCATAGAAAGACTGCTTACAGTTCATTAAGCTCAGGAGTGTGATTAAAAGCTCCCTCCTCTATGTAGAAAATGTGATTCACATTCAGTTTCAACCTTTGCAGCTTTGACAAATGGTTAAGTGAGTTTCTTCCAATCATCTTTATTTGATTGTGAGACAAATCAAGCTCAAGGAGATTGGAAGTAAAGCTCCAACACTCAAGATCCAGCTCTTTAACATGATTATGACTGAGATTTAGCAAATGGAGAGAGTCGAGCCCATACAGCCACGATTTAGATATGTTGGCCACATTATTATGATCCAAGAGCAGAGTGGAGATATTTTTCAATCCCCAGAACACACCATCATCCAGGTGAGCAATATTATTCCGTCTAATGCGTAATGTTGTTAGCTGAGCCAAGTCTTGAAATGTGAGACTCTCTAATGTAGTCAGTTGGTTCCGATTCAGATCAAGATTTTGCAGAGCTTTCAAGTGTTTAAATGCATCATTGGAAATGTTTTTGAGCTTATTCTTATTGATGCGCAAGTCCTGCAAGTTCGTAAGTCCTTCTAACTGTCCACCTTCCAGTCTGTGAATTCCATTATTGTTAAGGTTCCTGGAAAAATAAGCATAATGATAACATTTAAAAAACATTAAAAGAAAAAGAAAAGTATTTTCCATTCTCCTTAATCTGAGTACCGCAAAAATGAATTACTTACAATTCTTTCAAACTGGAAGTATTCGAAAAAATAGAACCAGAAAGGTGAGTGATGTAATTGTTGCTGAGATCAAGTGTTGCAAGCAAAGGCAACTTATACAAAGTTTTGGCCCCTGAAGAGGTGATGTTAATTTGGTTGTGAGACCTAGAAAAATATAAGAAGAATGATAGATTAAAATCCAGAACAAAACCAACAAGACGAGGCAAAATTCAAGAATGTCTACTTACAAAACCAAGGATGATAAATGGATCAGACTAGATGGAAGGTCAGGAATGTCACTGAATTCATTATGACTGAGTTTCCTGGATATGAAAAAAATTGAAAACAGTGAATAAATACGATGGGAAAAAAGTTTAAGGATTACATTTAGCATGACTCACACAAAATTGTAAAGTACTTACAGTTCGGTTAGGTCCACCAGATGACGTAGAGGTTCAAAGCTTTTCCCCTTCAATTTGTCAGAGCTCAGGTCACTGTGAAGAAATGAGACACATAGATGAGTATACATCGACATGGAGAATAAATCAAAGAAAAGAAAACAAAGAAGGTTGTTTGAATGGAAGATGTGCATCCGTCAAAGGATCACAAAGCAAGCTGTGATTATATCTAATAAGATTAAGGGTGCGGCACGTGAACCGTGTCAACAATATTGCATTAAAATCAAAATTATATTTTTTTAAATTGATCCCGAAAGAAGCGTTTTTGAAAGGTAAACAGTGGACAGTTAAAGGAGGGTTAGGGGTTGGGTACTTGTGCCGCAGTACTTACAGCACTTTGACCCATGACGGCACGTCCGGCGGCACTGCAAATGTAGCGTTGCTGCAGTCCATGATGTGACCAAGACAAGAACATGGTTTCACGCAATTGTTACTTTCTGCTTCACTTCCAAAAACTGAGAGTGCGAAAACAAAACAAAGAATGGGCCCGAGTAAAGCCATCTTTGACGAGGAATTCACAGTTGCACTCAATTCATGGAGCTGCTAACGGCATTATCGTCATTTAGACGACTGCATGCTGCAGACGGGCACCAGAATAGCGACTCAATAGTTCGATACAGTTTTAATTTGCCCCGAAATGAACATTTTCCTCAAGAACATGAACCCAAGCCACCATCCTGAAGTACACCCACACAGACACACACACTCACACACACAACAAAGGACACTTCCTCTTGTCCTTCTTTTTTCCGTTCCCTTCCTTTCTTTTGAAGTTAGAGAAGGCGCTGGCCCAGTTGTTGTTGTTCTTGTTGTTGCTTAAAACTTGTATTTTGGTTGGTGTTGGGAGTTATTTAATTTGCTGATGTTTTAGCATAACAAACCCTGTGACTGAAGAAACTGGTACAGTCCAGCTTGCATTTATCTTGCATCTGTTATACACAGGTATCTAGAAACATATTACCTTTTTAACTCTACATATGTACATAGGTTTTAAGGCAAAGTTGTGTGTCGGAATGTGTTTTTATTTTATGTTCATGGAAGTTATCGCACTTCTATATTTTTGATGCAAGTTCTTCAACTATTTTAATCTAGTTTACATAATTTCTGTGCTTCTTCCTTCCCTGAATAGCCTTCAACATGCCAGACATGGATGCTGATATCGGAGAGCAGTCAACTCGCCTCACCAATGATGACTTTCGACGTTTGCTCATGACACCAAGGGCGGGAGCCCCATCATCGCTCCCGCCCTTGTCCTCCTTGCTCCAGTCAACAATGAAAGACAAGGAGCTTGGATCCAGCAAGGTACTTTCATCTTCCATCCTCCATTTTCATGAAAATATTGTTTAGGGAGAAATATCACTGTTCTGTTTCTTGCAGACTCCTGCCGAGGATGATTTAGACGATCGAGCTGAGCGTAGACGTAAGAAAAAGAGTTTCTATGCTAAACTCAAGAAGCAGGAAGAGGATAAAATGGCAGAGTTGGCTCAAAAATACAGAGATCGAGCAAGAGAGCGTCGAGATGGAGGCCAAGATCAGCCAGAAGATCCTCTTTCTGCAGCAAGTGGATACCGTGCAGTAGCTCCTGATCTGAAATCTGGTGCGCATTTTATCTCAATTCTTTAACAAAACACATGGAAGAATATGCATTAAATGTTAATTATTTGCAGGTCTTGATGCCGCTGAAAGACGTAGGCAAATGATTCAGGAATCCAAATTCTTGGGTGGTGACATGGAACACACTCACTTGGTGAAAGGTTTGGATTATGCGTTGTTGCAAAAAGTGAGGTCAGAAATTCAATCAAAGGAAATGGAAGAAGAGGAAGAACTTGAAAGGCTTGCAGTTGTAAAACCTGTGGAACGTAAGGAGGAGAAGAAGGAAGCACCTCAAGATAAAGAAATGACATTCAAGGTAGAGAAACCATCCCAGTCAGTTACTTTTTTCATTTTGTGGTTGGATGTGTGAAATACCAAGTTAAAATGATTTATTTTTACAGACCAAATTGGGAAGAAATGTTTTCCGAGCTGCATTCCCATCACAGAAAGTGGAGTTGAATGAGATGTTTGGAGCTGGCCGTATGGCTTATGTTATTGAATTGGATGGGGACTTTGCTGAGACAGACATTCCTACTACACTCATTCGCAGCAAAGCTGATGTACCTAGCCTTCAGACTAATTCAACTTTAACCACAAATGATATTGTAATCAATAAGCTGGCACAGATTTTGTCATACTTGCGTCAAGGTATATGCAGCACACTGCCAAAATTACTTAGTGGAATTTAGTGGTTTGTAAGTGGGAACTAATTTTATCTTTTTGTGTTGGTGCAGGGCGCCATGGTAAAAAGGGCAGAAGGAAAGACAAGCCCGGCAAAAGAGGAGGAGTGGGCGAAGATGATCTGAATATTTATCCGGACTTGGCAGAATATGAACCATCCACAGCAACATCTCACTTAGCAGCAGAGCAGAGAGCAAAGAAGAGAGCACCATACTTCAGCAAAATTGAACAAGACCCTGACGAAGGACCCTCTGCTCGCCTGATTCCAAACCCCTCTGCTCTGGTCAATGCACTTGGTGAAAGCAGTGGTAGCTCAGGGTAATCTTAATATGTCAAATGTTCATTGTTACAGTAGCTGATTCAGTTAATATTCCTCTGACTTTTTCCATTGTTGTTTTTATTTTCAGGAAAGGGGAGGGTTCAAAGGCCAAAGGCATGCTTCTTAATCGCCTGGCTACTGAACCTGAAGGGTATGCTGAGTGTTACCCAGGCCTTGAGGAGATGCAAGATGCTATTGATGATTCAGATGATGAGGTGGGACACTCCCAAACCAAAATAGAAAAATTAAAAACCCATGCTCTGAATATTTTTTACCCTCTATTCTTTGCTTTAGGTTGATTACACTAAAATGGACTTGGGTAACAAGAAGGGACCAGTTGGCAGATGGGACTTTGACACCCAAGAGGAGTACTCTGAGTATATGAACAATAAGGAAGCACTGCCCAAGGTAATAAATGTCACATGTGTTACAAAACAAAAAATCTAAAACTGAAAAATTGAGGCAATTTTTTAGATTTCTAATGCATAATTAAATTAATTACAGGCTGCCTTCCAATATGGTGTCAAAATGGCTGATGGTAGGAGGACAAGAAAATTCAACAAGGAGAAAAATGAGAAAGCAGAGTTAGATCGCGAGTGGCAGAAAATCCAGAACATTATTCAGAAACGGAAGGGTCCCACAAGCTCCAAAGATTCAGAACCTTCGTTTAAGGTGCCTCGATATTAAAAGTTGTATCTATCTTTTACCAATTGTATCTATACCATCTTTAGTTATAAGATTATCCTTAGCAATAAGGATAGCAAAGGTGTAAACTGTGTGATGTAATATTATTTGCAGTTTAATAATTATTAACAGTGTGATAACATTCCTGGTCTTATTGAATTTTTGATGAACATGACGTATCTTCAGGTGTTTTCTTGGGCTCAGCTGTGACAATATTAATTGGTGTGATGGCATTGTCTCCCTTGGTCTGAAAATGGACAAATAATTTGGACTTAATGAACACAAACTAATTGTGCTGATTATTGATTCTGTTGTGTTACCTGTCCATTTGGTTGTTCCTGCTTTGATATAATCCGAACTGCATAGTCAGTTGCTGCTTGCATAAACTTCAGTGAATATTCAGAAAACGCATGTTGCATCTGCAATGTTTCCTTTCTTTCAAAACCAGAATTCCTCTCAAACGTGCATTATTCATTCCCCTTGACGCACCTGAGCCATGGCCAAGCCACTCCTGATCCTCAAGCCCTCCGCTGCGCCGTGCACGTTGGCCTTGATGTAGGAGGCGGCCTGTCGGCGGAGGGCGCCGCCGCCTTCCAGCACGGCCGTCCGCGTCCTGTGTGCGCCCTGCGCGGCCAGGAGCTTGGCGGAGTGCGCCACGGAGTACGCCTTGGCCTCGGCCGCGTGGCGCACCGCCTCGCTGGCGGACCTCGCCGCCTCGCCCGCGAAGCCGCCGACGCGCGCCGCCGACAGCCACGCCAGTCGCTTGGCCTTCCCCGCCACGGCCACCGCGGCCTCCTTGGCCTCCAGCGCGGCGGCTCTCCGCATGTTCGCTACGACGGGCACGTTGGAGAAGGACTGCGCCCACCTCCGCGGCAAACCGCCCCCCATCCCGCTCTCGTGGAGGGTCCTCGCGTTCCGGGTCAGAAATGACCTTCCACAGACATCTTCCCCTTCCTACCCCGTCCCTCCCCCATGTCCACCCACGCCACCTCACGCAGGCTGCAACCATGGCTTCAACAGTGGGGCCGCATTGTTGCAAGGGGCGTTCACCACTGAAATGAGGTCAGCAGGAGGTCGCTCAAAATTGGGGTGCAAGGTTTGTTACACATGACAAAAAGACATAACAGCCACAAATAAATATATTTACCACCATCAATCTTTAAAAGTACATAAACCTCATGAGGGTAGAAACATTAAAGATGTTTTTAGATAGTCAATGAAGGAAGATTCATCAATACATAAATATTCAATACTAGTTATAACAATTTAACACTAGGTTCTATGATAAATTAATTGCGACATTAAGATACATACAATGGTAACTATCCACATACACCATGGTTAAATCCACTTAAAGTAAAATCCATATGTACAACTGCTTACACTTTTATCAAATCCTAGTCATCATGAAAACTGCTGATAGCAAATACTTGATTTATTTCAGGTAAATTAGCTTCATGTGGATTCAACCACGGTTTAATTAAAATTCAATGCATTAACCATTACAAATGTAGAAAGTTCTCTCTGCAGAATTAAATAGAAAATATCACCGAGATGTCTACAGCAAAGACTGGGGTTTCTTTACAAAATGCTATACAAATTTATTTAAAGCAAGTATGGCCTAAATTATTCCAAATATAAGAGTGTTGATAATTTGTGCTTGAACTTTTCATAAATTAAAATCTAACAAACAATTCTGGTCTGATTGGCCTCTCACCCTACTGTACCTTGAGTACACCTTATACATTTTTTAATCTTCCAGAACACCAAGGACAAGGGTGGAAAGATGCTTCAACAGCATTGGTGACCTCAATATCATCAATAATTGATAAAATTTGTTTGGTGAGACGCTTAGCAACATCCTGGTTGGAGTTGGTCTCTTGTCCCACTGCCACAGCTGGAACTTCAATTACATCTAAAGGGAGAGAAAAGAAGAGATTTGAGAAAAGAAGCAGCTACGGAATAAATTATTAAACAATGAACAACAATAGCAAAAAGATCTTACCTGAATCAATCTTGCTAGTTTCATTATCATTTGATAATTCAAGGGCAGGCAATGCTTCTTTAGCTGTTTCCATCCCTCGGTCATCTAACAGTGTTTTAACAAGATGATTTAGTTCTTGTAATTTGCGGCGCAAATCCTCACGTTCTGCTGACAAACTTGCTAACTGATGGTCTTTTTCACGAGCTCTTTGTTGCAGAGCTGCTCGCTGCATTTGGTACAAAGCTACATATTCCCCTGTTTAACATAAACAAACAAATTAAAAGAATGAACATCAATTGGTGTTTGGATTAATAAGTGAACTATCATACCAATGGTTTCAGTTTCGCCCTGGAGCTGGAGGACGAGGTGCTCCAGACGCTGCTTTTCATCAGTCAGCTCAGCAACCTCAGTCATTGTGCGAGTAAAGCGTTCTTGTAATTTTTCCATAGCAAACTGCATGCAGCTGTAGTTATTGTGCCCATCTAAACCATCTTCACAATCTACATAAAAGAAGCAAATAATTAATCACCCCCCAAAGCAAATGAAACAGGGATGAGAAAATCCTTCAAAAAACAACATTTCTTTTACTCACTTGTCTCTGGGTCGGCGCCCGCGTCATCTGTAGTGGCCCCCTCTGTGGCACTACTGCTGCTTCCAGATTCATGACTTTCAGTAGATTTCTGAGCAATCAGCCGACGCAAGCTGTTGTTTTGGCTGTTAAGGTTGTGGATGTGTTCCTGACAGGTAAAATGTAACAAAATTGTCAATTTTTCCTTTTTGCCATAGTTTTTGAAAAGGGTACAAATTTTCAGAATATAATAAGCACAAACCTGGGCTTGATTTAGTTGTTCTTGCAAGGCGGTATTAACTTGAATGGCTTGCTTGTCGTTAATTTGTTTGGAACTGTCCTTTTTGTTGTCTCCTCCATGATCATGGTTGTGTTCATGATTATCATTGCAGTTCAGGTGATCATGACTATGATCATGTTGGTTTTTCCTATATTCTTGAAGACGGCGTTCTTTCTCAGAAACTGACACCCTAAGGAAGAAAATCAATTGCTACAATAGAATCGGATTGTATAATTTAAAGTTAGATCCACCAGATCTTAATTTACCGTAATTCATGTAACTCTTCAGCAAGCTGGGATATTTTTTCTCCCATTTCCTTATTAACATGTTTCTCATGTTCTAAACCTTCTGTCAAATTCAATTTCTCATTACTCTGTAAAAAAAAAAACAATAAAAATATATCAAATCATTAATTTTGAACCAAATTTGTTTAGTGAATTTTCTAAGCAACAAAGTAACTGGTAACAACCATTTTGATGAATCCATATTGGAGCTCTAGCAATTGCTGTTTCAGAACTGCATTTTGAGATGTTGCCTGAGCAGCAGCAACCTTATCACTTTCCATGGCAGCCAGGAGTCTTGACTGATCTGGTCTTTCATTACAAAGTGTTTCTAAGTCAGCAATACGACTGTCCTTCTCCTCAACCTCAGCACGGAGACTGACCAGTTCTTCAGCCTTAAAACAACAGAAAAGGGGGGGAAAACAATTTATTTATTTTTGTATTAGGATAGTTAAAAATACAATATTATGCTGGCCTTAACCAGGCAACAAGACACACCTCTGAATCTAAGGTTGACTGCAATTTCTGTTTTTCTTCTTCTAACAGAGAAATTTTCTCAAGAAGACTTGTTGTGCTATCAGAGCTTAGTTCAGTGGTTTGTTGAGGCTGTTGCTGCAACTGATTGTGTTGCTGTTGCTGCTGCTGATTTAACTGAATCTGCTGTTGCAACTGTCGTTCAAGCTCTGACATATTCTGCACTAGGTCTACTTCACGACTTTTCAATTTTTCATTATCAAGGCTCACCGACTCCAGCTGAAATATTGAAAAATGCATTAAACGAAAATAAGAGTAGCTGAGAAAAAAAAAAGAAAAAAGTAACCCTCATATTTATACCTTTGAAGTGGCAACTTGGAGCTGCCCATTGAGCTGAGCCACATACTGTTGGTACTGTTGGTCTGCTTGATCTCTATCAGCTGATAGCTGACGAACTGTTTCAGTCAGTTCCATACAACGCCGTTCCAATGAAATTTTCATTTGATGTAAAGACTCAATTTCAGCACTGGCTTCTGGATTATCTGATGCACTTAGCTAGAATCATACAAATAAGTGAGAAACAGACAGCTTTGACACATTAGAATACAGTTAATAGATCATTCAGGATTTTACCTGAGTTATTCTCAGCTGGGCCAGAGATAGCTGAGACTGCTTTTCTTGCAGTTGTGTTGTCAGTGATCCAACTTCTGAAACACGGGCACTCAATTTTTGCCTGAGTTCAGAAGCTTCTTCCTCAGCATCTTCTAACTGTTTACTGAGAAAATAAAAAAAATTGATAACAGGCTAAATTAAACCTTCAGAGGCCAGCAGTAAAATTTATCAAATTACCTGAGCATGCCATTTTGTAAACGCAATTGGTCAACTTCTTGAACATGATTATTTTTTTGTTTATCAGCGGCGTGGGCTGTAGCTGTGACAGATGATAATTCCTTCTCCAGTTCACTCACACGATGCCTGGAAGCGCGCAACCGATTTTGCAGCTCTTCGACCTCACCTATTAAAAAAACATTGTTTATTCTTACATCATTTTTTTTTTTTTAATTTTCCTTTGGAAAAATGCTTTAGATTAGATTATTCTCACCAGCATGCTGCTTGGCTGTAGCTGTGTGGTGAGCAAGTGCCGCTTCCAACTCAGTCTTTTCCCCAACCAATATGCCCACTGTTTGGGCATGAGCTCTCAATTGTTCCTGAAGAGGACCTAGATGTCTCGCTAGAACCACTTCTTGCTGAGCTTGAACATCTTGGACTTTTAACTCCAAATGTGAAATTTGAGATTGCTACAAAAAAATGGTAGAGAAGATTAACACACTTGATAATGAGTGAAAAATAATAATAAAACAAAAATCAAACATATTTTTAAGCAAAACTCAACAAAAACTTACATTTTCCTTCAATGTAAATTGGAGCTGTTGGTTAGTGCGACGCTCAGTCTCTAGCTGGGCAGCAAGCTCTTGATTGCGAGTTTCTAATGAAGAGAGAAGTGTGGAATTTGTTTGGGTATCGTCTTGAGCAGAAGGATCAAACAACTGAGAAATTTGATCTGTGAGCTGTCGAATACTTTCAGTACTTGAGCGCCCATTCACTGGAACCTCTGACTCTTTCTTCACAGTCAAATCATTTCCATAACTAGTTGATGAGGTGTTCAGAAGTAGTTCTTCTTGTGGCACTTTAGTCATTTCTTCTGAGGGAACAGGGTGTTTTTGTAAGTCCTCTGGGAATACAGACACTTGATTTTCTGCAGTTTGATCGTATGGAATTACATCTGCAGCTGCATCCACACCATAATTATTGGCCTGATCTATAGATGCAGGATTTGGAAATGGATTTGGATTCCAGCTATCTAGTCCATTATCACTGGGAGTGAAAAAATGGGCTGATGAGCTGACTTGACTTGGTGCAAAGATTCCCTGCGTAGTGTCATGACCAGTGTTGAAAGGCTCAGCGCTGAAGTTATTGAAGTATGTACTTGCACTAAAGACAGCTGGTGAATCAGTTGGCATTGCATCAGTTGGAATTGCATCAGGAGCAGAAGTACTCTTGTATGAATCAAGCGGTGTGACTGATTCTTCTTTCAAGAAACCATGCTGATGACCATTTACTGAAGTAGACTGATCACTAATGCTGGTTTCTTCATTGGATCCATTTGGAAGATAAACATTGGATGTATTGTGAAAGAGCTGTGATGTGACAGCAGGTGCATAGACATTTGGGTCTAGAACTTCACTGAATGGATCCTGGATGAGAAAATAATAAATATGTGTTAAGCTTGGGTAAGCCATAAAAGAGAAAACAAGGGTCTTTTCGGAGAAGTACCCAATATCATTGCGCTGAGAAAGCATTATTTACCTGCTTCGGTTGATCTCCAGCAAATAACACTGAGGCGACATTATACTCTGCAGGAGCAGCAAGAGGAATGCTGGGAGGGGCCTCCTTCTTTCGCTGGAAATCTTGCAGCTGGAACCAGGGTAAAAAAATTCAACGACTGCAAGTACAGAACTTGAGTAGCCTGTCAAACGATAACATAACCAACACTACAACCATCAGAGTCACAAGTGTCTAGAAAATATTCTACGAACATACAAACTATACGCGGTCAGTTAGTAACAATGAGCAAATGAACGTAAAGTTTACGAAAATAACAACAGGACAGCTTTCGCTTTCTCCAAGACAGGAAGGGGGCGATTGACAGCTGACGTGTCCAAGTTGCGGTGTAAACCGAGAGATGCAAATTGCCAGATATCGACATGCACATACACAACTCTTTCCGAATCCCACACCAAGAATAATCGCGTCACGTCAAAGTAAAGACACTCTTTCCACACCTTTTTTCTAGCAGCCGCTAATCTTTCTGCTTTGCTCATGTCTGCCATGTTGGAATACTAATCAACAACAACAACAACATCCAGCAACAAACACTAGTGCACCCAAGGATGTGCGACACAAGGATGTGACAAATAAAAGCATGATTAAAGTAAACCCTTATATTTTATTTAAAAAATAATTGAACGGATTGAAAATGAGAGAGAAGAAAAGATCTTTCTCCTCGCTGCAAACCAGTTAGTAAGGAGGGGGTATTAGTAATCAAATAAAATTCAAAAGTCAAATTTTTACGCTTCCTTATGTATGGCTTCCCTGAAAGCGTCTACTGCTGCTACGCCATGGGAGAAAGGCAACATCACATGGCTAGACTAATTAGTTTACTTTTTACAAACTACTGTAATATTCACGTGCAGAAAACTATTGCCGGCGCTGGAATAAATTAAGGGCTTCTGTTTGACGACACAAAGTTTCGGTGAATAACTGTTTACTTCAATATATACTACTGCTCACTCATTTCTTCCGGAGCGCACCGACCGCTCTGACTTGCTTTGACACATATTTTGTTGTCGCTTTTCTTGCCTAAAAGTTGGGTTTGAAATTGCTTTTGTTTGCAGTGTTACAATATTCGTGTAGCAACGGAAAGTTATTTGCTTGTTTGTGTCAAATAAAATTGTGACAGTGTGAGTTAATTCTGACTGCAACATTCTGATCTCTTGCAATTCAGAGTGTGAAGAAATGGAAGACGACAGAGGTGTTATTGTAAGTATCAGCCAAGAAAAATTTGTCAGTAAATTTTCGATGCCACTATATCTTTATTCCTTGTAAACAACAGGTGGAGAATATGAGCTCGTGGGATGATCCTGAAAATTCTAATTGTATGTCTGTGGAAAAGAAAGAAAAGGGAGCTTTCTACGAAGATGCTGCTCAGTATTGGTCTCGGATACCAGCAACGGTTGATGGCATGCTTGGTGGTTATGGCTTCATTTCTAAAGTCGATATTCAAGGATCTAACCTATTTCTTAAGCGTCTATTTAGAGTGAGTATATTTTGTATCTTCTCTATTTGAATTATTTTTGTACCCATATTTTGTCATTATTAAGTTGTTGCCATTTATTTCCTGCAGTTGAAGGTACCTCCAGGCAATGCAAGAGCATTAGACTGTGGAGCAGGTATAGGACGCATCACAGAACATTTCCTATTAAATCACTTCCAGAAGGTAGATCTAGTGGAGCAAAATCCAGCCTTTGTCAATCAAGCACGTACTTCCTTAGAATCTCACAAAAATATGGGCAATTTCTATTGTGCAGGTCAGTGTAACTTCTAATGCAGACTCTTTTGGTTTCAAAGTTATCAAATTGATTTCTTTATTTTAATCAACAGGTTTGCAAGATTTCACTCCTGAACCTGCCACTTACGATGTCATTTGGTGCCAGTGGGTCCTGGGCCACTTGAAAGATGATGATCTCATTGCATTTCTACATGGCTGCATGTATGACCGGATTTTCTTTTTCCATAAGTTCTTTGATCACAGTTTTTTCCCACTGAACCTCCACATTAACGACAATTTGTTTTGCAGTCTTGGACTCAAAGACAATGGAATAATAGTTATCAAAGAAAATACCACAACCAGTGGCAAATTGGATGAAGACCCAACAGATTCTTCTGTAACGAGACCTTTAGAAGTTTTGAACACTCTAATTCAACAGGCTGGTCTCAGAATTGCGAAGCAAAAGCGCCAGGAAAACTTTCCCCGTGGCCTCTATCCTGTGTACATGATTGCGACCAGACCCTCAATGGAAAGATCAGCATACATGAAAAATGTGGACAGTACCATTACATTGCCAACAGAGACCCGCATTGCTGACGAAGGAGACCTGCCACATAATGAATGGTCAGCCAACTCACTGTCAGAGTGCGACTAAGGCCATTCCAAGACATTTGTTGGACAAGTGATTTGTCAAGCCTTCTGAAGTATTGAAAGAAGCTAGTCCTAGATTTTTTAAATTGCAATTAGGAACTTGTATGGACAGGTTTCCTAAATTTAACTACACAATGTTATGAAAGTGTCATTATATGCTTATTAAACTAATTTTTCCATATATCTTCGACTTATTGAATAACTGTATATAAAGAGTTGTGTGACAAAATCACCAATTAAAAGAAAGGAATTCAGATCAATGGACAACAAAACAATAGATTTTATGTTTTATTTGTACAAAGAGGAATCAAGCTTTCACGGCAAATACACGTGGGGGGAAGGCAGACATCTTGCGGAGCTCCTTCCTGGTCTTGATCCTACTCTCGTGCTTGGTAAGTCTCCGCCTGATGGCACGGGTCTTCTTAGGCCTAAGGTCCAAAGGCTTGAACTTCTTGTCCTGGAAGCATATGTCATGTGTAACAAAATAGTACATACAACCAGATGAAAATTGAGCTGTTGGAAGACCTCAAATGGTGGTGGTCCTTACCTTGTAGAACTTCCTCAGGTTCTCCTTTTGTTTCTGGTGCATAACAATGTACACACGGGCAATGGCCTTACGTACTACACGGCTGGAACACAAAACAGACACTGCATGTTAAGAAAATCAAAAGAATGAGGGATAAAAGCAAAAGCCAGATTGGATAAGAGCCAACAGAAGTGCTAGTAACTTTAACAGTTCTCTTTTATTTTTAACAATCGACATACTGATTAAGCATTTCGACTGAACACAAAATAACTGATTGACAAATATGCTAACCACACAGGAATGAAAATACAACAGAGACAGTCACTTTCACGCAACAGTTCAAACAAATAATTGGGAAAATTAAGTCTCTTGACAGAACCAGGAAATTAGGTGCATGGACTTGCGATGAACTATTTCGGGATGCAGGGAAGTTGAGTTTTCAAATACTACTTACATTTTGGAGAGCTTGGAAGCAGCTCCACCGGTGACTTTCGCCACCCTGAGGTTGCTGAGCTCATATTTGAGCTCTTCGAGCTGCTTGGTCAGCTCCTTCTTGTCTTTCGTGCGCAACTCCGAGCACTTGATCTTACCCTGAAATGAACAAACAAATGTTAACACAAAAGCCAGTAACAGCATAGGAAAAAAGCAGATTTTCGAAACTCAAGGAGCTCAATGAGACACAGAAATTAGGACCTATCCAACATCAAGAAGGCCTACGAGAGCAAGAAAGTGTTTTCAACGAGGTAAACAAAACTAAACATGTCTAAGAGGTTAGCAACTTGCAGCCCCTAAATGCAGAGCTCAAGACTTTAACGACAAGTCGATGATCGAGAAAACCAATTGGGATAAAATCACTGCCACTAGAAAAACTAACAAAATTTGAGATGGTGCAAATTATCCCTTTCGATTTGAAATAAGCTGTGTGCCACGCAAGTTCAGACCATGGTTATGGGCGCACAACGCCGGAGCTTCGCGTAAGGACAGAACCAGAGGGAAATTCACTATTTAGGTCCAGCCACAAGGCCAAAAAAAATGACCCTTGTCGCAAACTATACTGAACACTTCCAGAAGTTAAATTGTAGGCCCGATTAATGTGGATAAATCAGGATTATAGAGATTCATCTGTCCCTCACCATGTTTGCCTTCTGAAGAACGGAACAGGAAACGCGGCCGGCTTGTCGAACTTGCGCGTGTACTTCAGTAGTCAAAGGCAAGACTAATGATCACTTTTATACCTAAACCTAAATGCTAATAAAAAAAATTACATAGTAAAAGGCCCCGGAAATATTTTAATTTTGAGTTTATTAACTTTTTTGAAATTATTGTTAAACGTTTTGAAGTTATAGCTCTAGAAATAAATCACATGACTTCAGGTGTGCATGGTCTGCTGTTTGTTTACAGAGGGCGCAGGAAAGAGGGTGTTGTTTTTTGATAACCTTTAAGAGCAGTGTCAGACCTGTCAAGTTTTACATTTTTTCCTTGGTTTTTCTATTATAAATAATGTCAATCAACACTTCAAGCAATGCGTTCCGAAAAATTGATGTAGACCAGTACAATGAGGACAATTTCGGGGATGAAGATCAAGGCGAACTACAGTCGCCGCCAGTGGGGCCGGATGAGTCAGAAGTGACCGCCCTTCTTAATCAATATCCTTTCAATACAAATGGTTAATTATAGAATATTTTTAAGTGTGCTAACATGAGATTTTTTTAAAATCAATCTAACTGCAATGACTCTCGCTTGTATGTGCTGGTCTTAAATGAAAGTGCTGTCAGTTGGCTTCAGTGTCCTATCTTTCCTTGCGCTAAGTAGTTTCTTTCACTATTTTCTCACCATGTTCTCTTATCTTCAGTATAATCCTTAACTGATTCTCACAGGGAAGGCTATAGATGCTCTGAAGACTGTCTTAAGAAATGCACCTTTGGCATCCAAAAATCCACAAGTGAAGGTACATTGATTTTAGTCCAGCTCATTCATTGTATTTACTTGGCTGTGCCTGCTATTCATTCTTGTCTTTTGACAGGATAATGCTGTCAACCTTACCATGAAAGTCCTTCTTTTCATCAAGGGATCTCAAATAGAAGAGGCTGTCAATGCACTTGATAGAGATCTTGTTGATGTACTTATGAAATACATTTATCGTGGCTTTGAAACACCTTCCGAAGGTAGTAGTGGCCACTTGCTACTGTGGCATGAAAGGGTATATGCAGTCGGCGGAGTTGGAAGTATAGTTAGAGTACTCACAGACAGTAAGAAAGCCTAATCTAATTTGTTCTGTTATTGCATCTGTTATTAACTTTTCACTCTATATTCCATTTTTAATAAATGTAACAACCTTTGTATCAACATTTGTTTCAAGTATTTTTTTTCCATTTGTGAGTTATTTGGGGTTACAAATTATACTTCATTGAATTTAAAACTTTATTTATTGTATATCCATCTCATCACATTACAAACAAATTTCAGTATAATATGTAAAGAATACTAAAGGGATATTGATACATCTTACAATTTACAAGGAACAAAATAAAATTTTACAAAAAGGTTACTGAATAGCAAGTGGCTCATGCACTTCATGAGCCAGCTGAGTTTGAAGATTTGAAAGTTTGTTCTTCAGCACAGCCACTCCCATAGTGACAATATTTTCAGGTTTCAGTGATCCGCAGCTCTCAACATTATAAAAGAACTTATTTGGTTTGGCTTCCCAATTGAAAGGAGCCTCAACTGCAACAATATACAACAAGTTTTACAAAGCTTCATTACCAAAACAATCTATTACAGATAGAAAATGCATTCTTAACACTTACACTGGTCTTCTTCTAATTCGGAGTGCTCACTTTTCGGCCATTCATCCGGCTTGGGAAAAAGAGTATGTCTCATGGAATTGTCAGGATCATATTCAAAGCACACTCCAGCTGTGGGATTCCACTTTGCATGCTCTTTACCAAAGCCTTTTTTGGCATAGGCTCTCAACTTCAACTCTTGACCTTTGCGGAGTTTCACAATCAAAATTTCTGAAATAAAACGATCAGGGAATCAATAAACTACATAATTCCAGTTGTGGAAGCCTAGAACCGTAAGGAATATTGTTTACCATCGTTTTCGCCATATTCATTTGCTTCGTCATCTCTGCCTCTGCATGTAACAGGTCGAACTCGTTGGTCATTGGATTCCAAATCAGCAGTAGTAACGTGTCTAGTTTGATCATCATTGCATTTGACATCTAATGTGAATTCGACACTACATTCAGGGCAGAAATCGATACAGTTGCAGTCCTATCAAACAGAAAAAATTGGCATGTGAAGGAATAAAATAAGCAGGTATGTTCCAGGAGTCAAATTTCTTTAATACTTACTCGAGTGTTCTGCATTCTGTCAACAACCTCATCTGAAGTCAGGGGTATCAAACCAATGCGATGAGAAAGAAATTCGTCACTCAGCACCGTAGAATTGGCTTCCAATTGTACCCAATCAATAGCCATTGTTGGAGTTTCAGCAATAAACACCCTGCGTAGACTGTTCGCCACACTGAAATTTCGTAAATTTGTGATATCGTCCAGATTAATCAAAAAAGAAGAAATGACATATTATTCGCTGAAGGTTAAGGTAAACAACAGACCTGAGATCGGTGTCTTCCAACACGAATTTGACATTCTCCTCAGTCAGATCAGTGATCTGTACAGATGGCTGATTAGCGTACGGCATGTTTGATGAAAATTAAAATCATAAAACGGCAAATAAATGCAAAAACTTTTAATTCACAAGAAACGAGAGACGCCGCCGCTGCCGACAGTTCCACCAAAACAAAAACAAAAACAACAAAACTCCAAGGCTGCCAACCCTGCCAACTATCATTTGATCGTGTAGGCCGTGACTGAGTGCGAACGACGAACGCACACGTGTACCACTCCGCGTCGCGCGTGGTCGTGGTCGTGGCCGCAGAGGCCGCAGTGACACTTTAAGTGTCCTTTAGGACGGGCCAAATGGAAAAGCGGAGCGCGTGAGCCGAGAAAAGCATCTCGCTCGGTGCGCAGGCAAGTGCGACAAAGTGGAGTTTGTCCAAGAGGGCCCTATCGGCACACGGTACTTCCCCGATAGTGTCATCGGGTGTCCGCGCTTTAGTTAGGTTGCGAACGATTGGGAACAGTTTTAAAATGAACACTGCACGTCTTTTTAAAGCGCTAATGCACGTTTAACGCGCATTGGGAGTCCTGGAAAGGGAGAAAGAGACAGATGGAGGGAAAGAGGAGAAAGTCGCCCCTGCGAGGAGGCAACCCGCCGCGCGCGATTTTGGATCGAGACAGCGGCCAAGCTTTCTACGTCACAATACGGCAGTAATCTAATTCGGAAGAAATTTCCCTCCAGTAGTAAGTCCGAATTCTCAACTGGCCTTCCGGTAGCACTGGATGCGGCCTTTTCCGCAGCACTACTTGTCGTAGCGGAGGCCGGAGCGGCGAGTGCGCGACGGAAGACAGGCAGACGAAGCACGAAGACGAGACGGAAGTGGACTTGCCTGTCCCCAGTGCGTGCAGCCCAGCGAGCCATCCTTCCTTCTTGCTGGGAAAATGGCCGGGTCAGGCAGTCGGGGAAATGGCAATGAACTTTACGAAATTTTAGGAGTTCCGAAATCCGCATCGGATACCGATATCAAAAAGGTACGTGCTGAGACAGGCCTGCAGGATTTGATAATAGTTTCTCTCAGGTTAGCTTACGCCATGTGTAATGTTCTCGTACGTTCCAAACGGACTCCAAGTACTCCTCCAAGGCCAAGGCAATGCCTATTTAGTTATTTTTCACGCCCCTAAGTGTTTTGACGACTCACTTTTACTCAAATTAATTTTTTGACTTCATGTGTCTGGCTTGTCTGTCAGAAGAATCACCTCACTAATAAAAAGTTAAGCTTTCCTCAAAGCATCGAATGGCCTCCTAACCAATCTTCCTCTTATGTTGCAAATACGACCATGACTTCGCTTGATTTTTCGTGAATGATTCTTAGACACATTTTAATCCTTAATTTTACAATTAATTTTTAAGTTTCTAAAATAATCTTTCCTCTCTTTTCTGTTTTTATTTGAGATTACCTTCTCTTTTAGTTTTGCAATTTGAGCAATGAGGCTCTCTAGCTTCTGATTTAATTGCCCCTTGCCTCTGTTATTTGCTTTCTTAATTGTCTCTTTGTCTTCTACACAAATCATCAACTGTCACTGAGTGTCATGTATTTGTTGTACAAATTTTACTTGCTGGAGCTCTAACAATATGTATGTATGATTAGGCTTACAGAAAATTAGCAAAAGAATTTCATCCCGACAAAAATCCAGAAGCTGGAGACAAATTCAAGGAAATTTCTTTTGCATATGATGTGCTGTCTGACCCCAAAAAACGCCAAGTTTATGATAGATTTGGATTGAAAGGCCTACAAGAAAGTGGATCTGAAGGACCTTCATTTGGTGGCCATGACATCTTCTCGCAATTATTCGGTGGGGGCTTGTTCAACATGCCAGGTGGGGGCCGAGGCAGAGAACGGTATCAGGGAGAAGATACCGTACATCCTCTCAAGTAAGTCCAGGAGCTTGTCTCCGCATTAGATATTGCTAGAGAGTGTGATCTTAATTCATGACTATTCTCAAAGGGTCTCACTTGAAGATTTATACAAGGGGAAAACATCTAAGCTGCAACTCAGTAAAAACATGATCTGCACAGCTTGCAAAGGGTAAGTGATTCATAGTTTTATATTCCATCTGGGAAGAAAACAAGTTAAAATATTTGCTTATTGATCAATTAATTTTTGTATGTGTACCTCTTTTAGCAAAGGGTCAAAATCTGGACAGAGTTATCAGTGTCGAGGTTGTCGTGGTGCTGGTTGCAAAATTCAGTTCAAGCCAATCATGGGGAACATGTCGGCTCAAGTGCAAGTCAAGTGTACAGACTGCAATGGTGAAGGTAAGTTGAAAGTTCAAACTGTGTCAGTGAAGTAAAGTTTCTTCACTGCTCTTCAACATCTTTTAATTTTCTCCATTCAGGTCAAACCATAACTGAAAGTGACCGCTGTCCTACTTGTCGAGGAAAGAAAGTTGTTATTGAAACAAAAATTTTAGAAGTGAATATCACCAAGGGTATGGAGGACGGTGCTCGTATTACATTCTGGGGACAAGGAGACCAGCAGGTATTTTAAAATTTCTCTAAGTCATTACTAATTTTGTGGTATGTGTTCAACTGTACCCAAAGTAATCAATCACCTTCTGTTTTCAGCCTGGTGTTGAACCGGGTGATGTTGTGATAGTCCTTCAGCAAAAACCCCATGAAAAATTCCAGCGGAATGACTGTGATCTGTACATGTCTCATACTATATCGCTCACTGAAGCACTTTGTGGCTTCCAATTTATAGTGAAACACCTTGACGGCAGAGAAATTGTTGTGAAGCATCCTCCTGGACAGATAATCAAGCCAGGTTAGCGTTTGTGGCTTTGCTATCAGAATGTCAACACTGCCTGTTGCTTGAAACCTATCTTCTGACAATGTTTCTTGTCTTTTTCAGGTGATGTTAAGGGTATTCCAAATGAGGGTATGCCTTTGGCCAAGAGCCCCTTTGAACACGGGAACTTGTACATAAAGTTTGATGTTACATTCCCTTCCAATCAATTTGTTCAGCCAGAGCAATTGAAGGTAAGTCAAATTGTCACTTGCATAACCCCACTATTATCTTATCTTCATTTATAAGTCACTCATGTTCCTCTGTTAACAATCTTGTACCCCCAATGATAATTTATTTCAATTGAAAAGTTATCTATGTACCTTTGTTTGCTGTCTCTTGAAGATGCTGGAAGAGTTGCTTCCAAGTCGACCCAGCTTCGAAATGCCCAGTGGAGATAATGTTGAGGAAGTCATGCTTCAAGACTACGATCCAAATGACAGAAGTAATAGCCAAAGCTCCAGAGGGGAAGCTTACCAAAGTGATGAAGAAGAATCTGGAGGAAGGATTCAGTGCCCTGCACAGTGAGGTTATTTTACTGTCATTTGCTACCTGATCAGCTGAACTGCTTGTTGAATTTTATGTGACAAGCTGTTTTAGCCTTTCAAGGCTGAATTCTACATTCATATGAAATAATTGCACGTCACACCTATATGTGTGAATCACTGTGAACCAACATTAAATTAAGAATGGCCCATTTTTATAGTACTCACCCAACATCTTCAATCACTGCATTCTTGAATTTTTTCATTCTATTAACTTTTTTATAGTTTTTTAAAAATATTACAATAATATTTAATTATTGGATTAGTACTGTTCAAACGGTTGTAACCAAAGGCCCTTAATTTTGTTGGTTCATGGTGCTGCTGTTAGATACTGTTGATTTTTTTTCATTAGGTAATAAACATTTAGAGCTCACAGGAAACACTGGAGTCTTCTCAAATTTAATTTGGATTGTTCATGTTTTCACTTTACATCCATCCTTTTTTTTTTTTTTTTTTTTTTTTTTTTGCTTTTCTTCATGACGGGCCTCATTGCACCTTGCAATGACATACCAGTGTACTGTAAAAGCTTGCAGATTTTTTATTAAAGGCGCTTTCACTCCAACTGATTTTGCTATTTCTTTATGTTAGCAGTAATTTATATTGCTGGGAACCTTGCAAACTATTGCTGATTCAAGCTAGATGTGTTCTTTATATAACTTGTCCTTGCAAACATCAGTATCAAGTTTGCCCTGTCCAACATTATTGTACTATGGGACCACAGACGATTTTGAGCAATTTCTAGGAGTTTCCCTTTACCAGTACATACTCATGACAACTTAATTCCTGAAGCCCAAGGCTTCTTCTTTTGAAGTGTTCCTCTAAATGCTCTAATATGCCTTAAAAGCCAACATTGTCTCGTATTTGTCTGTGGTTTATTTTATTGTATAAGTGTATGTTTGGGTGTGAGTGATTGTTCAAGCTGGGTGTATTTTCAGAATGACATCACTGTCTCTTTTGTTGCATATATTCCTGTTAAGATAGTGCGGATGCGAGAGGGGTATTTGTAACATTATTGGGTAGGGTTGGTACTGCCTCAGTACACTTTAGCTGTATTCTCCACATAATAGTAAATCATATTAGGACCTTTTATTTGATATTCCAATTGAAATTTGTTAAATTTGTTTTAGCTTCTCATTGCCTAAGAGGCTCTGGAACTCAATTACTACGACTGAAAATTTAAACTCTGTACATTTCTTAACCGTTTCTAGCAAGACTGAGGATGAACACAGATCTTGATTTGTTTTATTAGCTCAAGCATTTCAACCTGTCCGGTGGTTCGAGGCCGAATTTTGGTGCGACATTGTGATTCTCATCAACAAAATTCTGTATGTAAAACCAACACTCCGAGAGAACAGAACCAATAAAGTAAGCGAGATGGTTGTGATTACAACATGTCATCTGCAGACTCTAATGAAGCTCTTGTCATTCCACACAAATTTTTACCGGTCGCTCTCGGATATCGAAGGTGCGTCCAACCGTGCCAGTGGTCTGCCAGGAAGGTGGTGCGGCTTGCCTACCCTCTGCCTTGTGGGCTGGGCGTTCCCGGGCTATTCCCGGGTTCCGCGGGCGGACATGGACACACTTGTCTCTCTCCCGCTTGCGCCTGGTTGCATGTGAGAGACAGGGACGCGGAGACGGACGCCAGTCATCGGATGACGTCACACCACTGTTGAGCGGATCGCGCTTATCGGGACGCATGGGTTCCTACTCCTGTGACGTTCGCGTCCATTGGCGTGTGTCCGTCGTTTGTCCTGTGGACGAGCCGAGCCACCCCTATGCCGAGCTGGGATCGTTGAGTCTGTTTGGTGGCTCCAGTGCGGTGCGTGGCCGACGCTGTGGACGGAGGCGCCGCGCGGGCAGCGCGCCGTGGCTATTCTTGGTGTGCGCTGCTGAGTGTGAGTGCGGCACCCCGGCCTCGGCGGGGCGTGCCAGGGGCGGGCCTTCCGCGACGCGCACGGGCCAGCTAGACCATGGACCACCCCATGGACCCCGCTTGGCCGCCTCGTCGCGCAGGGGAGGAGGACCGAGGCCGCCAGAGGCTATGAGCTCGCGGCGCAGCAGCGCAGTCGAGCTCTCCTCCACCGTAGCGTCGCGTCGGTCGGGGCGGCAGAGAGGCGGACCGGCAGCGACGCCGACGCACCCCCGTCTGGTCCTTCCCGCGGGCTGCTGGCGCTGGCAGGGCGCGGAGCGAGGCGTCGCGGGGCGTCGCGGCCAGGCCCGGCGCAACCCCCACTCCCAGGCGAAGGGCAGGCAGGCCAGAGCAGCCCGTTTGGCTCGCAGTCCGATCCGCACCGCGTCTGCACCCCGTAGCCGGCGTAGCTGGCGCAGCCTTCCTCCGGCCGCCTCGCGCCTCGCCCTCGCACGCCCCGCGGCCAGCAGGGCTCTCTAGCCGGGCGTAGCGGCGTAGCCGGGCAGCCCTGTGCCTGTAGAGGGGTCTGCCGCCCCGCGCCGCCACGCCGCGCGCGCCCCATCCCCGCCCCGCGACGCTACGCGACGCCCAGCAGGCCGAGCCCGTCGAGTCCAGCGCCAGCCTGCGCCAGCCAGTCCGATCCGGGAGGCAGACGTAGCAGGCCAGCAGGGCCAGGGACCGGCACGACACGACGGGCTGAGCGCCGCGCCAAGCGCGCCAAGCGCCGCGTGACGTGCTGCAGGCCAACCACGCCGCCGCCCCGCCCCGCACAGCCCCGCGCGGCAGCCAGCGGCCAGCTGGCACGGCCGGGGCCACCTCCGAGTCCAGTCTTGTGCGGAGCGTTGTGGAGCGCCGTCCTCGGCACACGCCGGCCACGCCCAAGCGTGCCAGGCCGCTGAGGCCGCCGTCCTGCACCTCTAGCACCTCTAGCCGTGCGGCTTATCTCCTGGAACTTCCCTCCGGCGTGACGCCGCCGTGGCGGCTATGGCGCTGTTGGCATCTGGCCGCCGTGAGGCCCGCGTCGGCCGGCAGTGACGCTGAGGCTGCTGCGAGTGTCTGGGGGCCGCTGGGCCGTCGGCGCGCCGTCGACCGATATGGAGAGCGTGCCGCTGCCGCCAGGGCCCCCAGAAGGGGAGGAGAGACCGGCTGACCCGGAGCACGCCGAGCACCACGACGAGGACGCGCAGGACGTGGTGCAGAGCTTCAACATGGACTACGAGTCGAGTGAGTACCGGCCTTGCGTTACAGCTTGACGGGGAGCCTTGCCGTGCCTTTCTCCCTACCGGAGTTCCGTTCTTTGGCTTCCTGCGGTAGGCACAGCAGGCCTGCGGCGCCGCTCGTCGCACGTGTCCTCAGTGCGCAGCCAGGGCGGGGCCGACTGCCCGGCCACCCACAGCACTTCCCCGACGACCCCTTCCGCCGCTTCCCTCGCCTCCCGCGGCGGTCTGCCTGAGGCCCTCGGCGAGGAGCTCGGCGCGGCACGCTGGTGCGACCGGCCGGCGCGGCGACCGCCTCCTTCGCGGGGAGGGGCGGCGTTGCACCGCATTGCACTTGCTTATGCAATTGCCATGTCCAAGGTTGCGCGCGCGGCGGCTTGCTGACCGCGACGTTGACGTCGGCGGTGACAGGGTGCGCGGTCATGTCTGAGCTGAGGCCTCCGACCGGGGCTCGAACCCGCGGCGGAGCGTCCTCCGCCGAAGCAGGCGAAGCTCGTCGCGTCCCCCGGGGACCCCACCGGACCGGTGTCCCCATGGGAGCGCGGCGGCGGGGTCGGTTGTGTCACGCCGGCTGGCGGCCTGGCGGACGGGGGTCTGGCGGTGTCGGCCCGGCGGGGCCATGACGACGCTCATGACTCGGTCAGCCACGCGCTCATGGCACTCCGTCATGCACGGCCCGGCGGCCCATGCGGTAGCCCATGCGGCGGCCGCGGCGTGGGCTCTGAAGACAGCGGGGCGCGCGGCCGGTGGGTGGGAGGGCTGCACAGGCTGCACACCTGGCGTTCCTGGCGTGGCGTGCCGGCGTGCCAGGCGTGCCCCACGCCGGACAGGGCCGGCCCGCTGCTGCGCGCTGCGCCGTGGCGCCGTGGCGCTGGGTCCGGAGAGAGGCGCTGCCCAGATCCGCCGCCGCCTCCCTACCGCCCCTCAGCCCTCGGCGTTAGCAAAGGTCATGGGCGGGGCGGGTAGCCCGCGAGTGCCTCTTGTGGGCCTTCTGGCTTTTGGTTCGCCCCCCAACGATTGCCGATATCGCGCAGCGTGCCAGCGTCCTGCGGCCGGTGTGCCGCGCCAGGCGCGTCTGGGTCTGCCCGGATCGGTTTCTCGGTTCCGAGGGAGCGGTGAAGGGGAGGCGGCTGGTGGCTGGCGCGGGCGGGGCGAGGGCTGGCTGCCCCACGGGCTGGGACACCGGCCAGGCTGCGGCCAACTGCGGCTGGAGGGCCTGGAGGCCCGGCCTGCGGAGGCCCGGCCCACGTGCACGTCCCGCCCGGTCATGTTCCCGGCCAGGCACGTATTGATCGTGCCAGCACGCCCTTCCAGGAAACCCTTCCAGGATGCCCTCGCCGTGCGCCCCTCCAGGGCGTCCCTGCAGAACACCCCCTGCAGAGCGCCCTTTCCAGACACCCCTGCCGACTGCCCTTCCGGACAACTCTTCAGAGCGCGCCCTTTCAGTCCGACTCGCGCCATGGCCGTCCCTCCGCGAGACGGCCTCGGACACCTCGCCTGCCTCCATGCCGGCCTCCATGCCGGCGAGCCGCGGCGTCATCGGCTCTCCGGTGCCGCTGCTCGGCGGCCCCGAGTCCCGGTGTCTGCCGGCCGCGGGGCTCCGGGTCCGGGGCTCCACGTCGAGTCGTATTGATCCTCACGGGACGTGGCCGGGCCGGGACGGGACGGGGGAGTGGTACGGCTGCTGGCTGGTCCGCCAACGCCGCGCGCGAGAGGGCCGTGGCGCTGCCGCCGCGGTGCGGGGCGGTCTCCTAGAGCGGCCCCAGCGGCACCCCTGGCGGCAGCCCTTCCACACCCCAGCCCAGACCTCCCAGAGCCACGCCGTGCTCGGCGGTCGGCAACCTGGATTGCGCAACCCCTTCTGCGCGATCCAGCGGGCGCTTGGCCGCGGCGTGCGGAGCGCGCGGCTGTACCCGAGGGCTCCGCGAGGGCTGCGCGAGGCCATGGAAAGGCGAGGGCTGTTCTTGCTTGCCGCGGCCCTTGCCGGCACCTGCCCCCACCCGGCCGTTTGGCCGCTGCGGCGGACTGCGGGGGCGCTCTGCGCTAGCTCTGCCTGCGCTCTGTGCCAAGAGCCTGGAGTAGAGGGCCTCCCTCTGGCCTGGCCATGGCCTGGCCACCCTCCGGGCCGGGGGTTGGGGCGGATGCGGGGGCCGGCGGGGGCGGGGCAGTCACCCGAGAGCCTTGCTCTCTCTGTCTGTCTCTCTCTATGCGCGATGCGTGGCGGGGGCGGCGCTGACGCAACAGACATCATCCCCCGCCCCGCCCCGGCCCGCCCCGCCCCGCCCCGCGGCACGACTCGCTGTCGTTGGATTCTGGGATACGGAGGTGACTGCGTCCCGCGACGCCGCCACGCCGCGCCCGCGCCGCCGCGGTGCCCCCGACGTGTGCTGCCCTCTGTCGCGGCCACCCCTCGGCCGCGCGGCCCCGCCGCACCGGATGGAGATGCACCTGCCGCGGATCGTTCGCGCTTCCCGCCCCGCAGAGTGATTGCGCCTTCCTGTGCGAGTGCGAGAGAGATAGACCGAGAGAGACCTTCCCGCATTGCGCGAAATCACTCTGCCGCTTCGGTGGCGACGCTAGACGCGAAGGTGAATGCCCCGAGGGCTGGAGCTGGAATGTTGCTTCACCCTTAGGGGCAGGGTGAGGGTGGGTCGCTTCGTCGCTCGCAGAGCGAGTCGCAACCCCCGCACCCTTTCCTCGACGGCGCTTCCTCGACGCCTCGGCCTCAGCCTGCTATTTTTACCCCTCCTCCCCGGCCGATCCGGCCGATCCTCCTTTCGGCACTCGGCTGTTTGTCCAGCGGGAGTGCAGGGCGAAGGCGCCAACGGCAGGGGGACCACGCGGCCATGCCCGTCCTGCGATAGGCGTGTCATCCTTCGATCGATTGCAGAGGTGCACTGGCGTCGAGCCGGGGCAGCCAGCCTAGCCAGCCCAGCCCAGCCAGCCGGGCATCCGCGTGCTGTGCTGCACCGTCCTGCCTCCGTTCCCCACATGCCCCTATCCCGCCCTCCATGCCCCCATCCTGCGCAGGCTTGCTCTGGATCCCGAACAGAGCCCTTCGTCGCTCTGTTTCTCTCGCACTCGTGGGGCGTCCCGTAGGGGTGCGAGAGAGACAGCGTCGCAAGCGGTGTCTGGAAGCCTGCAGCCCCTATCCGGCCTCCCCGGCAGTGCGGCCTGGCCTCGGGTCGGGCCTGGCAGCCATGGCAGTGCAGGTCGCATGAATTACTCGCCGGTTCCAGAGTGCCGCTGTCATTCCCGCTGCCCTTCCACTCCGACAGCGCGACAGCGGCGCGAAGTGTCGCGGCCGGCAGACTGATTCGTCGCATTGTTTCTCTCGCACTCATGGGGCGTCCCGTCTAGGTGTGAGGGAGACAGCGCGGCGAGGACGACTCGCGGAATCAGTCTGCAGGCCAGGGTATTCTCGGTTCGTGCGCGGCCATGCGGCCTTGGAGCGACCTTTACGTTGTCGGGGCCTTCAGGCCGCTCGGCTCCGGTTGGCGGTGGTCGCGCGAGGCGGCGGCGGCGGCGGCGAGGCCACGCGGCAGATGGCCAAAGTGGCCAAACGCAGCCAAAGGCAGCCAAAGGGAGGCGAAGGCCTGAAGGCTCGAGGGGTGCCACGCCCTGGTGCCGCGGCAGTGCGGCACCCTGGCCGTCGGCCGCCCTCTCACGCCCTGGCCGAAGAGACGACCGCGACCACGCCCTTCCCCCTCCGCGGCGTCGCCCGGCGTCGCGTCGCGACGTCGTCCAGCGGCGTCGGTCGTCGGCGTCTCTGGTTGCGGCCGGCCGTCATGGCCGCCGTACCGCCCCGCCGTGCTCGCCGTGCTTTCCGCGACGTTGACGTGGCCGCGTGGCCGGCCGCGCCGCCGCCCCTCCCACAAGGGCCAGGCCCTGGCCGCTGGCCGCCAGGGCTCCGCGCCCGCCCCTGCCCGTCCCGCACGCGCCTCGCCGCCGCGCCGACAGATGGCGCAACCAGTCTAATTTGAATCGGCGATTGACAATTGGTCCGCGTGGACGGACGCGGCGCGGGGCCCGGCGCGTCTCGACGCGGAGCGCTCCGGCCAGCGACTCTGAAGACTCGTTCCGTCGCTGTCTGCAGGCCGATTCCGAGAGTCGTTTTCGTCGCTCTGTCTCTCTCGCACCTACACGGGGCGCCCCATGAGTGCGAGAGAGACAGAGCGACGAAAACGACTCTCGAAATCGGCCTGCTGACTCGCACGCCTACGGGAGTGTGAAAGAGACAGAGTGACGAAGCGGCCCCCGGAATCAGTCTGCAGGTCTGAGGACTTTGTGGCCCGTGGTCCCTCTTGGGCCCGCCGAGCCTCGCCTCCCGCTCCAAGCTCGAGGGGCTTGGCGGCCGCGCGCTCGATACTGACGTCTGGGAAGTTGACGAAGGCGACGGCCGGAACTTTCAATTCCACAGAGTGCCGTGACCGCCGTGGGCGAGGACAAGGGACGCACGGCCGCAGTGTTTGAACCCGCGACACGCGAAACGCCAAGTACACGAAGTACGCCGCTGCCGCGGCCCTCGCGGCCCCAGGGCCTGCCGTCGCCGCGGCGCTGTTGCCAGACTCCCGGCCGCCGAACGCACTGTTGCCATTGTAGTGCGGGAAGCACTCCCGCCTCATCAGGCTGAAGGCTGAAAGGGCTCCCTGCCAGACACTGCCAGATAAGCCCCGGGGAGAGGGAGAGGGCAGGACCAGAGTCGGGCCGCCGGGGCCGCCCCACGACGCACAGTGGGCCAGAAGACCGGTGGAGGCGGCCAAAACTCCAGACGCGTTTTGAGCTCTAGAGTCGCTAAACAGGACTCGAACCGAGCGTGTGACCCCACCAATGGATTCCTCGTTCGGAGAGCAATCCATTGGTGGGGTCACACGTTCGGTTCGAGTCCCATTTAGCGACTCTGGAGCTCAAAGCGCGTCTAGAGTTTTGGCCGCCTCCATCGGTCTTCTGCCCCACTGTGCGACGCCCCATCATGAAAGGCCCCATGGTGGTCTGGAAAAGACCTGCGGTCTGGCGAAAAAAAGCCAGAGGTGAAGTGTAACATCCCGCGCACCTTCCTGGCGACTCGAAGGGGTGCGAGAGAGACAGCGGCGACACCAAGTTGGGAATGAGGCGCCGCTTGTCGAGGCCGGCAGGCGCTATCGGGGCGGACGGGAGGCCGCGTTACTCATTGCTGCAGAAGTCCGCGCCCGCCGCGGTTACACAGTGTCCCTCCAGCAGACTGATTCATTGAGTCGTCTTCGTCGCTCTGTGTCTCTCGCACTCATCGGGCATGTGGGCACGAGGGACGAAAACGGCTCTCTGAATGGGTCTACCGTTGCATAGGCAGTGTGCCTGCTGCTCCGTAAGGGTTGTCGACGTTGACGCCGCGGAACTCTTTGAGGTATTCATGTATGGAGTGGCTTTGTCAGATCCAGATGAAGGCCTCGCCGGCGGACTGCGCCGCTGCGCTGGCGCCCACTTTGTGAAGCAAATCGTCGCGCCGGGAGCGCCGCGAGCTTGCCGAGGAGATGCCCCGGGAACGATACAACGCGTGCCGTGCGACTCCTCGCGCGGCTCAGCCTGCTCGCTCTGTCTCTCTCGCTTCGGCGAGGAACAACCCATGAGTGCAAGAGAGAATGACGAAAGGGCGTGCTGCCTGCCATCCGCGGCGTTTAGAATATCGCGCTGCTTCCGGTGGGCGACGTGCCGCCGGGGACCGACGGGGACCTCGACGACGGCGACCGCGCACCACTGCGTTTGGACGCGGAGCGACGACGCGGAGGGTTGAGCCCGCGATGCCCGGACGATAACACGCTCCCTTCGGACAGCGGCGCGTAACTAGGTGTCTTCTCTCTGTAGAAATGGGTCTCGGAAGTGCGGGCAAACCACGTGCGCGTGGGCAACAAGCCTCCAGCACTTCGTTTATTCACGGTCGCTGCCGAAAGGCGCCTTCCGCGCTGCAGACTCATTCCGACCGAGCGACGAAAGCGACTCTGTCTGCAGGGCGCAGTCTTGAGCGCCCCGACGAAGTTCGCAACCGCTGAGGCTGCACTGCAGCTGGCGCACGGCGCGCCGCGGTGCCGCGCGCGGACATGGAGGCCGTGGAGCTGTTCGTGCTGAGGCGCGCCTCGCCGGGCGATGTAGGCAATGTGGGTCGTCTGCTTGCCCGGCTAGCCCGGCTTGCCCAAGCGGGCCCCCTCCTCCTTTCTCCTCTCTCCTCGCCGGCCGGGCTGCGCGGCGCTGCGCGGGCTGCGGCTGCCGAGATGTCACGTCCCGGCGATAGCACCGCGAAGCACCGCGTGGCTTTCGTCGCTCTGTCTCCCTCGCACTCGCAGGGCGAAGCGCTATGACCGCTGGGGTGCGAGAGAGAGAGACCGACGAGGCCACTATCCGGGCTCTGCGCGGAAAGCCCCGGAAAAGCCGTCTGGGTTTTCGCGTGGTTATAACTGGCCGAGACTCCAGACCTGGGAGATGAAGTGACGGAGGCCGCAGTGCACGCAGTGGAATCGGAGGCGCCACATCGCCCCGGGAGTCCAGCCGGAAGTGGAGTGGACACCCCCGGTGCGGCCCGGAAGCGCCCACCCAAAGGCTCCGAAAGCCCCGACGGCCACGTCGGCGCGCCGGCTTATCGCACTGCACGTCGTTCCACGTGCTTTCAGTGCAGCCCCGTGACGCCGTGGTCACGTTCGGACCGGCAAGGTGAGTCGCGAGTTGTAAATCGCGAGACACTGGTCCGATTAGTCAGCAAGCAAACTGGCGGCACTGTTGGCAGCACTCGGACGGCGATGCAACCACCACCGCATCGACGTGGTCGGGCTGTACTCTCACCCGGATCACGCGGGAGCCCCAGGAGTCCGTGTCGGACACGGTTGGCTTGACGTGGGTCGCGCGGGGTGGGTGGCGCGCCTGGCAGCACACTAGAGCGCCTGCGGTCAGGCAACCTCTCTCGCACTCCTGCAGGACGCCCCATGAGTGCGAAAGAGACAGAGCGACGAGAGCGCTGTTCGGAATGGGCTTGCTGCAAGGAGGACGTGTAGCTAGGGGGCCTTGCGAAAGCTGACTGTGCCCGTCGTGGACTCTGTAGAGGTTGCTGTCCTCCGAAAGCATCCCGGCGGCTTAGGCTTTGGCGCTGTCGCACAGTGGGCCAGAAGACCGGCGACGTCGGCTCGAGCCGGCACTTGACCCCACCGATGGATTCCTCGTTCGGAGAGCACTCCAGTGGTGGGGTCACACGTTCGGTTCGAGTTCCGTTTAACGACCCTGAGCTCAAAACGCGTCCGGGATTTTGACGGCCTCCACCGGTCTTCTGGCCCACAGTGTGTCGGCTGCAGCGCGCCGGGGGCGGCCGGGGGCGGCAAAGGGTTGCGCGGAGGCTGGAGCGGCCGGAGCCTGGGGCTGGAGCCTGTGCCTGGCGGGGGTGGCGGTGGCGGCGCGCGTTCCTTCCACCGCCGCCGCGCGCCGCCACGCCGTGCGCCCCGATCAATACGCAGAGGGCCGCGTCGCCGCGTGGGTAGCTCGGCTTGCTTGGCTCGGCGTGCTGGGCGTGCTGGGCGTGCTCGGCGAGGAAGGGAGTCGCCCCTCGCTCTGCGCTCCGGTGCCGCCAGCGCCGCCCGGCCGCCGCGCGACGAGGAAGCACAAGCTGGCCGGGATGCAGCCCGCCAGGCCAGGCCGTCACCCCCCGGCGCAGCGCAGCCAAGCGGTTGCCGCGCTCGCGCCGCTTGCGCCCTCCGCGCTGCAGCAGGCTGGCGGTAGCGGAGCGGCGTGTCCGGGAGTGGCTTTGTAGATGAGACAAAGTTTTCACGCGCCATCTTGCGGCAGAGGCCGTTTTGCGGTGGCGCTACCCCCGACGTCGGCCTCCCGGACACTAGCCTCGCGTGCAACAGGTCCTACGGGGTGCGGAGCGGCGCGGGGTGACTTGGACGGCGGGGGCGATCCTCGGCCTGGGCCTACCAATGAAGGCCATGATGCAGCCCCCCGCTTGATTCAACAAGAAAGGCGTGCTCGGGGAGCATCCTCTTTTTGGCACGGCGCAACCCGCGAACTGATTCCGAACAAACTGCGGATTCGTCGCTCTGTCTCTCGCGCACCCCTGGGGCGTTCCGTAGAGGTGCGAGAGAGATAGTACCGCGACTGCAGGCAGACTGCAGGCTCGGCCCTGACCCGACGAGTACCGCAGTGCCGCACGCCGCACAGAGCGCCCGCAGCCGCCGCGTCCTGGCCGCATGGCCGCATCCCGTCGCGTATCGGCAGGCAGTCATCGACAACGCGCACGCCATCACGGCCATGGTGCGGCGCCGCGCGGCCAGCGTGCAGGCATGGTGCAGGCACAGCACTCAGGTCCATCCTGCTCGTCAGAGATGATGACGCCCTTTGGGACCTTCTGCGACACATGGGCCGAAACGACATGACGAGCCGGCCGAAGGCGCAGCGACAGGTCGCGGAGCGGGAGGCGGGAGCACCAGGCCTCGGCGTGGCGGACGACTGGCGGGGCCAGATAGAGAAACAAACATCTTGGGGGCTACCGGTCAGCCGCCGTGGCTGTGTAAACGGACTTCTGCCGTTGCGCGGCAGGCTGACTCCGAACCGTACTCCTTCGCTCCGTCTCTCTCGCACCCCTACGTAACGCCCCACGACCCCGGCACTGTTCGTCATCAGCCCTACAGTGCGGCGATGGCCGTTTTGTCTGCACGGTTTCTAACCCTGGATTTGTTTCCTTCCAGTGCCGATGCATTTCCTGGCGGAAGGCGACGAGCCGCCGGTCATCATGATCCCCGAGCCGGCGGACGACGACGACGAGAACGGGGACCTGCCCATGGTCAAGATACGGCGCACCTACGCGTGCACCCAGTGCGACTACCTGACGCAAAACCCGCGCTCCTACCTCACGCACTTGCGCCACGTGCACAACGAGCGCATGCGCATCTACGAGTGCCCGCACTGCACGTACGCGTCGCGCCACAGCCAGAAGATGCACCGCCACGTGTCCATGGTGCACAACCCGCACCGCGGCGACCGGCGCCGCCCCGGGCCGCCGCCGCGGCAGCGCGACGAGTACTACGTGGACTTCGTGAACGAGCTGCACCGGCGGCAGGAGGTGCGGAGGAAGAGGCAAGAGCTGCACCTGCGCAACCTCGAGTACCGCATGGAGGACGGAGGGCGCGCCAGGAAAGCGGCGAGAGCGGCGGCCAAGGCGGCTTCCAGAGCGAGAGTCAAGGCGAGAGAGGAAGCCAAAAAGGCCAGCACCCCGGCGACGCCGGTGACGCCGGCGACGCCCGTCCAGAAGCCCGCCGAGACGTCCGCCGAGCGGGCTCCGGACGACGACGACGACGACGATGAAGACCGGCTGGTCATCGCCAACTGCGACGACGAGGACGAGAGCGATCACGACGGACGCCGGTCCGCTTCCGAGGACGTCCGCGACGCTGCGGACGGAGACCTCGACGAGGCCGGCAACCTGGGGGAAGCCGGGGACCTCGGTGAACACGACGTAGAGGTGTTGCCGAGCAGCGTTAAACGCAGCAAGGACAAGCAGGACCGCTACCGGGACATCCGCATGGACGTGGACTTGGTGACGGGGCTCTACAGCTGCTCGTCGTGCGACTTCACGTCCAGGACGCCGTCGCTGGTGGCGCGCCACGAGAGCGTGGTGCACCTCAAGAAGCGCTTCTACCGCTGCAACAAGTGCTCGTACGTGACGCACATGCGGGCACGCTACACCAAGCACTACAAGTACCACACGATGCCGCTCATCAAGTGCGACGAGTGCGAGTTCCGCACGCCCTACAAGTGGAACCTGGACCGCCACATCAAGAATCACGGCGGCGTCGGCAAGTACAAGTGCCGCGCCTGCAGCTTCTCGTCCGAGATCCGGCAGAGCCTCACGGTGCACGAGATGAACCACCACGACCCGCCCGTCGGCCCGCCCACCAACGTGCCGCACCGCCGGCGCCAGAACAAGGTGGGCGCCACGGAGCTCGTCAACGCCGCCCTCAGCGCGCACCTCTACGGGTCGCCGGGCCAGAAGGACGACGCCGACCGCCAGGACCACCAGGTGAGAGAGCGCTTGGCGTTTACTGCCTGTCGTGCACGCCGGACGAGCAGGCGGACTATACTCCGGCCGCACGGAGTATAGTCACGCCCGTATCTCGGCCCCATCATGGAGTATACCGGTTATCCTTATCACCCGTGCACCGCGGCGCATTGCACGCTCAGATAGGAATTCCACGCGAGCCGCTGCGTTGGATGACGACGACGTTCGGACACCGCTCGGCCATTTCCTTCCCGGCGTGGGGGCCGCCTTCCTGCCAACACGCGTTGCGCGTTCGGAAGCAATCGATGTGTCCTGCTGCTTTCCTGTCCTCGCCGTCCCTGTCCCTTCCCCGGTCGGTGCCGTCGGCTTGCCGTCGGCTTACCGTCGGTCCGCGAGTTGGTTCGCGTCGACCACACGGCGCTGCGTTGGCGGGGCTGCGCCAGGCTGCGCCAGGCCGCGACGCCGAGGGTGGGGGCCGAGGGCCCTGTGCGTGGCCGAGCTATTCCGCGGCCTGGCCGGCGGTCTGCAGCTGTTCTGCAGTAGGCTGCCCCGCCGTCCTTCCCCGGGTCGTCCGGCGGCGCGGCGTCGCAGTGCGTCGGCAGCCTCTGCGTCATCGGCGGCCGCGTGGGCGACAGCGTCATCCTGGCCCGTCTGGCGTGAGTGTTTCTGCCAGGGAGTGTCGCTGAAGACGCGCCGCCGCCGTGTGGCGGTCGTCGTGTGGGACGGCCAGGACGGCCGGATGGGGCCCGGGGCGTGGCTGGCGGGACTTCCTTTGCAGACACCCCCGCCGCTACCGCCGCCCGCCTCGGCGGCGTGCCTCAGTCGATCAAGTGCTTCCGCCCCAGAAGCCAGAACGGCCAGAACGCCGCCGTGGCCGCGCCAGCCAAGTCCTTGCTGGCAAGGAGCGCCGCTCCGAGCCCAGGCCGTTCTCGCTGTTGCTGCGCCCGCCACGCGGCCTGCATGTCTTCGGCGCGGCTAGCGCGGCACCAGGACGTCGACGACGTCGGCTTCCTGCATTGACGCGGTTCTCGGTTGACAAGAGGGGCGACCTCTGCACGCCGACGGACTCGGTTGCAGGGCTGCCAGCCTCGGCTGGCCGCGGGCTCCGCGGGTGCGCGCTGCGCGCCGCTGCTGCAGCCGCCGCCGCGCCGCCACCCAACACACCCAACCAGCGGCCTGGGTCGCCACTGCCGCCGCCGCCGCACTCGCCGCCCACCGCGCCCCGCCCCACCCCTGGCCCGCCCCGCCCCGCTGCCGCCCCGCCAGGCAGCCGTCAGTCGGTTGAAAACAACCTTCAGCTCCTCCTCGTCCTCGTGTGGCTCGCTGCGCTGTGCGCTGTGCAGCACCGCCGCGGTCGCGCCGTCGGGTCGCTGGGTTGCGTCCGCGCAGCCGGCCCGCGCAGCACGCAGGCACTCGACACGGCCCGGTTCGCCTCCAACACGAGGGGGTTCGGGTCGCGCCAGCCGCGCCCAAACGCGTCCTGCTTTTGGCCAAGCGGCAGGTAGGTAGGTAGGGCTGTGTTGCGCGTTGCCGTACGTTGCCGTGTCCTCCGTCCTCGTCTCGTCCTCCGCGGCGCGGGTCTTGAGGGAGCAGCTGCTTGCCTTGTTCGGCCTTCGGGCGGCGAGGCGCGGCGCGGCGGGGGCCGGCCAAGAAGGAGGGAGGGGAGACGGTCGGCCGTCTTGTGCTTACCCCTCCCCTTGTCCTGCCGCAGCGCCGGCCATCGGCCACCGGCACCTCGGTTGCCGCCTCGGCACCTCACATCCACATCCCTTGCCTTTGGCAGCCACAGCCAGTGTGCTGGTGCTGGTGCTGCCCGCCGAGTCTGTGTCTGCGGCTGCGCACGCTGCGCACGCTGGCCGAGGCCAAGCTCTGCCGCGTTTCTCCCGCATCCCGCATGCAGCCGGAGCTGGTCCTCCAGCAGCGCGGCGACCGGTCCACCATGCACAAGCCCCAGGCACGTTGCCGTTGCTGCCTGCGCCCGTCCAGCCATTCGCATGTCAGCGACATGACGCCACAGCACAGCGGGGCAGCTGGCGGCCCACAACGTCTTGTGTCTTGAGCGCCGCGTCGTGCGCCTGGCGGTGCCTCGCGGTGCGTCGCAGTGCTTCGCCACTCTAATCTCCCTTTTGTGTTGCAGGCTTCTGGCACCGCAGGTGTGTCCCCGGGAGGCACTCCGCGGCGGGCGGACGCGGATGCCGCGTCGTCGCCGTCCTCGTCGTCGTCCGGAGTGACGTCGGGCACGTCGGGGCGCCTGCCGCTGTACCAGGTGCTGCGCTGCTCGCTGTGCGACTTCCGGACGCCCTTCTTCGCGGACATGTCGCGCCACATGGCGGGCGTGCACGGCAACAGCAAGGGCGTGAGGGTGCCGCCGACGCTGGCACCGGCGCCGCCGTCCTCCGTCCCGCCGTCGACGACGGCAAAGCGCCCCGCCAAGCCGTTGCCGAACCTGATCCCCATCCAGGCCGCCGTCCTGCCGCAGGCCCGCACCACGCCCACGCCGACACCGCCGCCGGCAGCCCCAGCAGCGCCAGCGGCCCCAGCGGCCAACGGCACCGCGGTCAACGGCGGCTCCAGCAACGGCGATGAGGCCGCCGAGACCGCCAAGAAGAAGAACTCGTTCTTCGATCAGCTGCGGCTGTACCCGGGGAACGTGGAGGGCTCCGAGCTGGTGTGCGTCCACTGCGGCCACGAGGCCAAGAACCTCTCCGAGCTGGTGCGCCACACCAAGCTGCACCAAGGCACAGGCCGAGGCATCGGCACCTCGACGCGCTGCCAGCACTGCCGGCAGCGGTGCAAGACGAGCGCCGACCTGGCCGTGCACCTCCAGGCGTGCCCCAAGGCCGTGGCCGCGGCCGCTGAGGAAGGTGCGGAGGCAGCGGAGGCCGCCGTCGACAACCTTCCCAAGATGGACGCGGAGCCTGCCTTCGAGTTCGAGGAATTCGAACGCATATCTGCAGCGAATGCCAACCCTCTGCCCGTCCGCCTGGCGGAGGACAGCGACGACGACGTCCCGGTGCCCCCCGATGACAGCGTCCCCAGGGCTCCGGCGGCGCAGATGGGCGTCGAGACTGGGCCCGGCTACGGCCTGGTCGCCAACCACGCCGAGTGGACCGCCCTGGAAAATAGCCCCAAAGGAACAACATTCACCTCGAGGAAGGTGCGTGTCATTGATTAAAGCCCCTGACAGTGTGGGGGCCCCGCGCGGGCTGGTGAGGTTATTGTACGAGTGGGCCGGGCACCCGGGCAGGCACAGCCAGTGCAGCGGCAGAGTGACCGGACGGCACGGGCATCCCCGCGGCGTCGACGGGAGGTCCGTTGCCACTCGCTGAGCTGAAGATGATTCCATTGTGGACGGTCTATCGAGCGCGATTTAAATTTAGCATCGATGTTGGGGACGATTTTGAGACGCTGGGGGGTGAGGGGTGTTGGCTGAAATGTCAGTACAGCCCCCTATACGGAGGTTATGTCGCCTTATTGACGTTTCTTAAACAATATGCATTTATGAACACAAACAAGATGCGACTGCTCAGAGAGGGTCTTAGTTCATGCCTTGGTTGCCCAATTCTCTTCCTTTGTTTTCTTCATTCAACTCACTTTGTAATTATTTATGTTGCAAAGGGTCTATTGATTTTGTTTTCTTTTTTCCAGGTGTTCAAATGTCCACATTGCACATTTTGGGCTTCAACTGCTTCAAGATTTCATGTTCACATGGTTGGCCACTTGAATAAGAAGCCATTTGCTTGTTCTGTGTGCAAATATAGATCAAATTGGCGCTGGGACATAACAAAACACATTCGACTGAAGGAAGCTCGTGATCCTTCACATGCAAATGCCAAAACTTTAATGACAGATGAAACTGGTCGTAGAAACTATTCAAAATACAATTTGGACTTGCTTTGGCTTAGAATTGCTGAGCCAGATCCTGAAAATTTGCACCCGATGATGGCTTCTGGTAAAACGGCCTCTGCTTCAGAGGCAGGACCAAGTCCTTCATCTTCAAAGTCAGCGTCTGGTCTCATTTCTCCTCTTAAAGCAGCTATAAGTCTTCTACCTGCCAAGGAAGGGCAAGGCCCAGTTCTTCCTGCTGCAAAGACTGTGACTATTCTCCCTGCTCCTCCAAAACTAACACGAGCCCCAATTCATCGCATCCAAAATGCCCGTCGTACATCATCACCTGGAGGACTGCTACGCCCACCACCACCTCTTCAAGCTGCTGGAACTCAGAATTCCAGCCAAGTCGTCACTCCACAGTCAGGTGTGAGGACACAGTCTCAGGGACAGGTTCAAGCTCCGCCTCAACAGCCTCTCAAAAGACCAGCAGACACACCTGTACCCAAGGTTGGCTCTGACCCAAAAAAGCCAAACACCGATCCGAAAAAGTCAAACACTGACTTAAAGAAAACTGTGTGGAGATGCAAGCAATGTTACTTCAGAGATGGTGATAGAGCTGTTGTACTTACTCATGTGAAAGGCCATTACCGTCAACAACAGGAAGCTGCATTGGTAATAAACTAAGTTTTAAAATTAGAGTTTTATCTGACTATTGCTTGTATTTTTATTAACTAACGGTTTGTATTTACTTTATAGGCCAAAGGTAAAAATGCTTCAAGCAGTTCTCAAGAACCTAAACCACAGGAGCCTCAACAATCTGTGCTGAAGAAAGCTCCATTCCGATGTGACACGTGTCCATTTGTGTCTGCCTCTGAATCTTTGATGCAGTCACATGTGAGCTGTCACAAGCAAAGGGATGATGTCTTCTTCAAATGTTTCTACTGTCCTTTCTATGTTGCTACTAAGGAGTAAGTTACTAATTTCATAATTCATTGAATATTTATCTCCACTGGATCATGTGCATGGCTAATTTTCTTCTTCTTACAGGGAAGTTATTCAACACATGACAGTCCATCAGCAAAGTTCCAAAGGGGAAAGTAGCAGCACCTCTTCTGTCAAGTCAGTGGCATCAAAAAGCAGTTCTGGTTCACCGTCTTCTAGTCAAGCTGCTTCCAACAAAACAGAAGCTCCACTAAGCAATGTGCAGGTGAAGAAAGAAGTCGAATCTGATCAGGTAAAATAACAGTTAAAATAGTATGTAAAAATAATAACGATTGATATTGAAAATGAAATGTCCGAATTAACTCAAATGTATTTTGTGCATTGATGTTTCATTTACTAAGGACATTCTGTTTACAGGTTACTTCCACTGATCCTGAGGAAGAAGTTCAAGCCCCTAATCAAGCTCCGGCACCACCAACCTTAGATTTTCACAATGCTACTGAAGCTCCTCTTTGTTGGGTTCATCGAGATGGTAAACTTCAAAAAATGCTGCGATGCAGATATTGTCCTCATGTCAACTTACGAAGAACTAACATGCTGGAACATGAGAAAATGCACTCAAAACGTTCCCATCTTTCCTCAGAAGAAATGAGTGATAATCCAACCCAGTACTCGCCTTATCCATGCACAGATTGCAGTTATGTTTGCAACAATGCTGGAGTTTTATCATCACACATGAAAGTACATTTTGGCAGCTATCCTCAAGCTTATGCCTTTTATGACCCTTACAAAAGTGAGCATTTACAAATGAAAGAGATTGTAGACAGATTCAGTCTTAAAATGAAATCAGATGATTCATCTCAGAAGTCTGCTCCTCCTAAAGATCCAGTTGACACTGGTAATGAGAACAAATTAAGTGGAATTAATGTCATGAGCTTGTTGGATCCAAATCAGTCTCTAACTGATGCTGTTTTGGCAATGAAGAAGAAATTTAATTTGGAGTTAGATGGTGAACCATTTGCTGAGCCTGTAGAAGATTCGGCAGAATCACCACCATGTTCTCCACTAAAACAATTAAATGATGGGGCTGACCCAAATGCATCAGAAATGCATGAAGAAAAACAGCTTCACTTTTGTGTGCAGTGCCCAGCTAGATTCTTGTTCCGAAAGGAATTAGGAATTCATTCTCGTTTTCACAATTTGTACTTGATCCACAAATGTGACCATTGCTCATACACTGCGAGGCAACGACCACATTTGCAAGCTCACTCCAAAGTGCATTCTGATGATTACCAAGATAGGACAAATGCTCTCTTGAAGATGTACAGTGTCAACAAAGAGTACCCTAAACCTCGAGTTGTGTGTGTCAATCTGAAGGCTGGGGTTCCTGGGACCCTCTGGATTGTAGTCAATACTGACTTTCGGGAAGCACCTCCTCCAACAGCCAACTTCGTGTGTGGGAAATGCCCCGCTTCATTTTTCAAGAATGATGCTTATCAAGCGCATCTTGCCCTGCATGGCAGTAACAATGCACACAAATGTCCCATTTGTGACTATGCTGTGAGAACATACGGCAATCTTATCAAGCATGTGATCGCACATGGCTGTAGAGCAAGTGTGGCTAAGAAAATTCTTCAGGGTCGAATGGCAGTCCCTGAATCTTTGCGTCCTCCTCCAAGTACTGAAACCTCTAATGTAGTTGTGCCCAAAGAAGAACCTCAGTCCTTTGACAGTGAAGAACAGGGAGACCAAAGTCAAAGTCAATCTTCGAGAAGTAATGATGTGATAGATGGGGAGCATGAAGGGAGAGATGATTGCAGTATGGATGTAGATGGAAGAGATGAGTCGGGTGTTGAAAAGAACACTGACGACAGAGACAGAGAGAGCACTGCCTCTAAATCACCTCAAAGTTCTAGTTTTACTTCAGGATGTCCAGACTTTGTGTACCCTACCTACTGCAGAAATGGACGAGTTAAAGTGAAAAGGTTCAAATGCCAGAAATGTCCCTCTGCTTTTGAGAAAAAGGACCAGTACCTTGTTCATGTGAGTCTACATGGTTCAAAGCAGAAGTACAAATGTACCAAATGTGATTACTCTGTGAAGTTCTTTGCAAATCATATTCAACACTTACGTAGGCATCAAATAAGTGAAGATGCTAAGAGTAAGGATGATTCTGAGCCACAGACTGCAGAAAATGAGGAATTTATTCCAGAGGATACTGAAAACATCCCATCTCCTTCTCCACCATCTCCCACTCGTTCTGCCAAAACCACTGGAGGGAAAGGGGAGAAACTCTCAGTGGCTGACAAACAAGCTATTATGGTACTGCAGCAAAGACGGGCCAAAAGAGCTGCTATCTCCAGAGAATCTTTGGATAAGAATTACTGGTGCTCTCACTGCCCTTATTCTAGTGTTCGTAGAGATCAAGTTGAAAGCCACATGAGGCGACACATTGCAGTGTCTGGAGTGCGTCATGCGTATGTCTGTGACCATTGCGATTACTCTGTTCCTATCAAGCACTTCTTGCGTGATCACTCTAAATTGCATTTTGATGTCAGCAAAGCTCCTAGGCCGGATGCATACATGATATGTGACGGGCTTGAACTTTGGGCTAGTTCTGGCTTCACTGGTAAAAATAAATCAAAAGGAAAGGTGCTAATATTCCAAGACAAAGGAGCCAATTTAGCTACTGACCGATTTTTACCCCCATTATCTTGTGAGGAAGATGAGGATAGTAATGGTTCAGTAGAGAAGATTTTTGTAAATCCAAGAACATTTGAGTCAGAAAATGTCAATGAAGTAGGTACCAAAGAAGCCATGGACACATCTGGTGAGGTAGAAAATGAAGAGGATGGAGATTCAGACTCAAGACGGAGTGAGAAATCAAATGATGGTGCTGAAAATGAAGATGGTGAAGAGATTGCAGCGTCTGCAAGCTGTAGTTTGTCTCTAACTTCTGAAAACAAAGCAAGTCGCTCATGTAGTCCTCAGTCAGTTAAATCTATGGAGAACTAATCTGTGTTAAGGCAGAAATAATTGTGCAGATCAACAGGCCTGATTATTGTGTTGCCACTATCATGGTTGATAACTTATCATTCTATGGCTGTGTGACTGGAGTTGAACTTTCCCCTTGACTGATAGTTTAAATTGTAGAAAATGTGCTCTGTGGAGTCTGCTGCGACAGTGTGCCATTGATGTGGAAGACCTTTCACCTCAGCCGTTACTTGGCTTTGTTTTCCTCTTGTAACTTTAGATTTTGGTGAGAATTTTATGCAGCTACAAAAGGAAAACAAAGCCAATGAGTAGGATAGAGGGCCTTTGATTTCTTCAGTGGGTCTGTAGTCGTCATTAGAAAATCTTCATATCCTGTTCTTTTTCTGTGCTAATTTACTCTTTATTCTTGTGTTACCACATTTGGTTTAGTCCTTTTTTTTTAAATTTAAAAATCTTATTGTTAAGTCAATCTTGTAAGAGTATTCATTTTTGTTGTTGCTTGTGTAGATACAATATTAATCTGTTGATATCAACTTTTGGCTTTGATAGGTGTATTGCGTTGTATTAAAAATAATAACAGTTTGTGAAGCAAAACACTTTTCTCACCTTTTTTTAACGTATCACTGTACCTGAGCCATCCCAATTTGGGATGGGAAATTTTTAGGTTTTAATAGGTTGGTCTTAATCTTTCAGCTTTCTGTTGGTTTGAATCATCATGCAGGGACTGAAGCCTGCAGTCTTAACGGTTTGAGTGATAGTCCATTTCATACCAATAGAAGATGTGATAATAATGCTAGTCATGAGTTATGTTATCACAAGTGGTAATTCTAATGTTAACAGCTTTCTGTGAAGAAGCAAAAATTATGGATGAAAATTATGCTGTAATATTTGACCCTGTGTTGTAAATAAACTTTAATTGGAAACAAATTCCAATACAATAAACCAATCGTTTCTTATGCAAATTTAATTTTGCTGATTGTACACAACTTGTTTTATCACCCCAACTTTCCACCCAACTAAAACATTTTTAATTTTCATTTGGCAAAAAATATATGGATATTGCAGTTAATCTTCAAGTGACATGAAATTTCTCAAATAGTAACTAGAAATCCTTGCAGACCGAGGATATTCTTTACATGGGATGCCGATCGATTTGAATTCACCGCCATAAAGACAGATGTGGATGCCAACCAAGCAAAGTGGCAACGATCAAAAGCACATTCAGGGGGAGGGAAGAAGCTAATGAGAGGTAGATATGCAACTGTAATGACAAATTATAAGTCAAATTTAACTCAAACTGTACGTTTAGGTATTAGATTTACGGATTTTGTTGCCTGTTCCCCCACACGAGCACGAGGGGATCGGTCCTTTTCTTCGAACGAAATAGCCACGCAAGGCTGTCAGAACAGAGAGCGGGCACTCTTTTAGTGCTGCCTGAATCCATACAACTTGGTGAAACTACTTATTTCAGTTAACATGAAATAGTTTCGTATGTAGTCTTTTTTTTTCCTACCGGCAGTAAAATTTGAACTCGCGTCGCTCACAATGCATTGTGGGTAGAGCCTCGGCTAAATGCTTCTCTCCTATTGGCTGTTTGGTTTCCACATTTCTAATGCATGTATGTAAGCGTGGTTCTCATTGGTCGGCCTATGCGAGGAACCACGTATAGATGACATTATTCTGACCAATTAGATCGTCGCTCTCTAAGCAATATGTGCTATTTTATGTGATACCTAAAGTAAGATGTGGGAAGAAGGAAGTTTTCATTAAATTTAGACTTGAAAGCGTTGGATTCTAATTTATAGTAAGTAAAGACGCCTTCTGGTGGTGGAGTGAAGTGTAACAGTGTCGTAGCCACGCCTTGGTGTGCGATGTGGCCGCGGAGCCTTGCCGGCGAAAACCCGTTCACGGAATTATCGAGCGTTCCGTAGCACCCAAGCCGAAAGAGGACACTTCAAATGGCGTTCATAAAGTTCATTGTTCTTTGGGTCCCGCTAATTTCGCGGTAATGATATCGAAAGAAAGTAAGCCTCGCACGGCTTCGGTTTTGTCCACGTCGAAGTTTTCCGGGTTGAACGCCATTGGAGCTCCGATATCGGCTTTGGCGGCCTGCCCCAATAACTGTGTGGTTAAAATTTGTGTAGTTGCCTCAGGTAGGCATAGCCTAAGTGAATAGGTCAGCCCACCGCAAACCACAATCACTTGAAGGAAACGTGTTGTTTGAGTTTTAATCGAATCCGGCATCTTATTCAATTGCGGAGGGGGCTACCGACTTGGCCTAGCCTCATTTGAAGCGCAAGTGTTGGATTTGTATTCGTCCTGTCAATCAGCTTTCGTCGATGTAAGTGTACACATAGTAAGCCGTATGTTGCCTACTTTACTGTTTACATCATGAAAGGAATTTCCTGCACTCCCTCAGAGCACCAGTAAAATCTTTGCGGACCTGGCGGTTCCATTTACTTTCCTGCGGTAGTTTCATCGTCGGATCTAACCTAACCAGGGTGATTTGCGTGAATGCTTCGTTTGGGTTACCTACTTCGAAATATTAAATGTCCTGACCGATATTTTTGACCCTTTGGTGTTCCGGCAACCTTATTTAATGTAACCCGTGCCAATCCGCGTCGGTTTCTGGGGGCTTGTTGTCTGTTTTCGGGTGCCAGGGCGTTATTCGCGCGCCCAGAGCGGCTCCTGCCGCCTGGCATCATCGTCTGTGTAAACAGAATGTATACACACTGGAATGAATGTAGTTTTGGAACTTGTGGCGTATATCTGTGGCGTATTTGTGTTGCTTACTACCCAAGTCTAGACTAGGCTTCTGTTTGTTTGTTTACATCTATTCTGCTCCTTGAAAACCCATCTACAGAAGTTAAATAGTAGTGCTCAGTAGGCCTGGCCTATGGACAATCCTGTCAAATGTGTGTAGTTCCACTTGAAAATTGTTATTGTTAGTTTTCTCCTGTAGCTACTCTTGTCCTTTGGATCAAATCCCCTTGTTGGTCTTTTTCTTTATTATTAGTCACTTATGTTACAGAACCTTTTTAGAATGTGAGTTTGATAAATTACTGCAGTGAATTTCATGTGTTTCATCCTTAGCAAGAGACAAGATTTTTTCCGAGCTAGAAGATTTGTGCATCCTGGAGGGGGGAAGGCTGTAGCTCTTACAGTGAAACTGATTTGTAAGCGTATAGCTTTTCCCCTTCTATGTTGCATCTTACTTCCTACCCAGGTTTTATGCATCAATGGTGTTTCTCCTAATTGTATAAATTTTCATTGTAGTTTTTGTAGTGATGGTTGCATGTTTTTTATTTTGCTTATCAATTACTCTGTGAGAGGACATTATTAGATTGACAAACTGATTATGCCAATGCTATCATTTGTTGCTTGTGTATTTATGTTGGTGCTTGTATATTTTTATTTTCAAGAATAGGCACCTAATTGTCCAGTAGCTCTTAAATTTTGAAGCCAAGAATCAAATCAAGGGAACACACAGTGTTCCTTGGCAACTGGTTTCTTAGCTGTATTTTTCTCTTTGCAACACGTTATTAATTATTTTGGGGGGCTACCTTTTCTCTGTGGTGCATACTTGATGTGTTTCTATAATGTATAATTTTTGTTTGTTGCAGGCTGGCCTAGGCCGCGGTGCTGGAGAAGGCCGGCTGGATTGACCATGGGAGTGGCAGCCACACTGTTCCACACGCACTCCGCTGCTGCTCCCAGCAGTTACGGTACCCAGGTTTAGAGGATGGACTCTTACGATCTGTTTGGTGAGGATGTCACTGGAAGTGTGCTGGCTGGGTTGGACCTGGGATCCAACAACTATGACCCAACAGCAGCAGCTAGAGGCGGAGGCGACTACCAACAACAGCAGCAATCCGCCCCGTCAACACAGCAACAGCAGCAGCAGCAGCAGCATGCCTATCCCTCTGGAGATGCTGGGGCTGCTGCCGCTGCAATCCAGAAGCAGCAATCAGCTTATATGCAGCAGCACCCTTCCATGCAGAAGCAGCCGTATCCCCACATGGCGCAGGATTCACTTCAGAAACAGTCAGCTGCGTACCCACACTTACAACAGCAGCAGGGTCAAGCTCAACAGCAAGAATCCCCTCTTCAGAAGCTTGCATCATTTGGGGGTGACTTCCCCGCGGGCTCTAACCATATGGACCCATCTTCACAGGCCATGTATCACCAAAACCATAGCGGCTACGGTGATGCAACTCGACCCATCCATCCCTCCAGTGCAGCATCAAGTATGAGTGGAGGCTATGTAAGGAGCATGGCTCCACAAGGCCAGGCCCCAGGACAGTATGGATATGGTGGTATGGACAATATGTACTCTATGGATCAATCAATGGGTATGGGTGATTCAAGTAATATGCAAGGGTGGAATAGTGGTGCTAATTATAGGCAGCAAGCGCAGCATTATAATCAAATGACCCAGGGAGGCTATCGCCAACCTCATATGGGGTATCAGGATCCAAGTGCATTGGGAAGCCAAGGCAAGATTCCCTCACAACAGTATCCGAATCAGCAGTTCAGTCAGAGTTCGATGATGCAGCCGCACCAGAGCATTCCACCAACGAGCAGCTACAGTCTTGCTCAACAGCAGCAGCGGATGCCTCTCCATCAAGCATCAGCTCAGCAACAATCAAGCCAACAGCAAACTCCAAGCGCTCAACAACAGCAGTACCATGCGCAGAATTCTCAAGGTATGAGTGGCTACCCTGGTGCTGGTGCAGGTGCTGGTTATGCTGGTTATGGACCAATGCACCAAGCTGGAAGTAGAATGCCTCATCATGTCCAGTACCCTAGCAGTCAATCTCAAATGCAAATGTCTGACATGAGCTCTAGCCAGAGCCAATCCTACAACCAAGGATTCAGTGGTTTTGGGCAGCCACAATCATCTTCCCAACAGCAGTCTCAGCAGCCAACTTCTCAAGCCCAACAGCAATCTCAACAACAAATCCCTACACCGTCTCAAGCGCAGTCTCAGCAACCGCAGCCACCTCAACCTCCAGCTCCTCAAACATCACAGAGTCAGGTGGCTCAGCAAGGACAGCAGTCATCGACACAGCCAATAATTAGACCAATTGGTGTTGATGTTGGTCCTTCGCCTCCATACCCTCCAAGCCAGAAGACGCAGGGGCCTCCAAGTGGAATTGGAGGAGCAAGTCCGCAGTACCGCGCTCCTTTTCCACAGTTATCTCCTCAGATGTCTCCTCGACCACAGCAACCACAACAAATGTCACCAAGGCCTGTGATGTCACCTGCAAAGCCGAGCACTCTCTCACCACATCCACATGCTACCTTATCTCCTCGGCCAAAATCTGCAACTCCGACTCCTCAGTCGTCATTTCCCTCAAGTACGTTACAGCAGTTGGAGCAGATGGTGATGCCTCAAGTTGCCCCTGGTTCAGACTATCCTAGTTATGGACCTCGTAGCCAATTGGGTCAGCCACAGTCATCGCCTCTGGGGCCTCGCACTCCTGTATCTCCTCAATGGCCTCAACAAGGCAGCAATCGGTCAGCATTCAGCATGAATGGAAGCATGGGGATGGTGGACTCGCAGTCAGGTAAGCTTTGCTTCAACAAAAATGAGTTTTTCTCCAGTGACATAGCTCCAGGAACTAACTGTATTTCTTTCCCCCCTCAGGTTCATCATCCCAGCCGTCCTCCGTGCCGGGTGCGTCAGAACCGTCAGGTGCGTCTGCACCTCAACCAGAATACAGCCCCGTCCCGGGGACCCCCGCCAGTGCACCAGAGAAAGAAGGGACCAAGACTGGCACAATGTCAGAGCTGAATGGACCGCAGTCGCAGCCAACTGCGGACCCCAGCAGCTCTGCAGCTGGTAATATGAATCAAAGCTATCCATCTGGTTACAACAGTTACCTAGGCGCCAACAGCATACCGTACGGGAGCAAGCCCGGCGAGATGGGCGAGATGCACGGCGGCAGTCACGTCTACCCGGGCATGCCGCACGGCTCGCACGGGCCGGGCGGTCCGGGCGGCCCCGGCGGCCCCAGCATGGACGGCATGCACGGCTCCATGTACGGCGCGCAGGGCCCACCGTCGCAGCCTTCGCAGCCCTCGCAGTCCCGGCAGGCCATGGGCATGCTGCCGGGGGACTACCCGTTCCAGGGCCCCATGAGCCACCAGCAGGAGATGGCGGCGCTGCAGCAACAGATCCAGGAGTTGTACTGCATGCCGCCCGGCCCCGAGCAGCAGAAGATCCCCCAGCTGCAGAGCCGCCTGGCCATGCTGCAGAGGCACGAGATGAACGACCGGTGCAACGGCGGGCCGCAGTGCATGCTGCAGCAGGGGCCGCAGGGGCCGCAGCAGGGCATGTACGGCTACAACTCGATGGACGGACCTTACCAGCCGCCCGCGCCCAGCGGCAGAGGCAAGGGCAGGGCCAAGTCCAGCACGCCCCGCGCCAAGAAGCCGCGCTCGAAGAAGGCGCAGCAGGAGCTAGCCATGCAGCAGCAGATGGAGGCGGAGGCCGCGGCAGCCGCCGCCGCAGCAGCAGCCGCCAGCTACAACATGGGCCAGCCGCCGGACATGGGCGGGCCGCCGTACCTGCCAGGACACCCCGGCCACCCGGGTCATCCGGGCCACCCCGGCCATCCCGGCCATCCCGGCCACCCCGGCATGCCTCCTCACATGGGGCAGCCGCCGCACATGGGCGGGCTGCCCCCGCACTTGCCGCCCCACATGGCGGGGCACCTGCCGCCGCACATGCAGCCCCACCACATGCAGGGCCCCGGCCCCGGACCAGTGTCGGGGCCTCCAGGACCCGGAGGAGTGCCGCCCTCGGCGCTGGGTCCGGGCTCAGTGCCGGGCCCGGGGCCAGGGCCGGGACAGCCTCCAGGACCATTACCAGGACAGTCGTCGCGCATGGGCGGGCTGATGTCGCCCCACATGGGGCAGGGCGTCCCCGGCCTGCCCGGCGTGCCGCCCGGCGTGCCTCCCAGCGCGCAGGCCAGCTCCATGATGCCCGCCCCCATGGGCCTCGTGCCGCAGCCGCCATCCCAGAGCCAAGTCCAGCAGTCGCTACCCCCCGTGGGGCCCCCTGTGGGGCCGGTAGCGCCTGTAGCGCCCCCCATGCAAGCTGTGCCCCAACAACAGCCACCGCCACCGCAGCCGCAACAGCCGACGCCTTCCCCGCAGCCGTCGCTACCGCCGCAGGCGCCCAGCCTGCAGCCGCAGAGCATGCACTCGCCCGCCATGGACACGGGCATTCCCTCGCAGCCGCCCACGCTGACGCCGCAGATGCCCCTGGAGGCGCCCGCCAAGGCGCCCGCCAAGACCGAGAGCCACGCGCACCCCTTGATGGAGTCGAGCCTGCAGTCGCCCCAGTTCTCGCCGCCCGCCGCGGACGTGCTTAGGAGGAACGACGCGTCCACGCCCGTGCCGACTGGGCCGACGGTGCCGGCCGGGCCGTTGGCGGACGCCAAAGGGGAGAACTCCAGTGAATCTCTGTCCCAGGAACACATCCCCGTTCCAGACTCGTACCCGTCGTCGGCGTCCATGCAGTCCATGCAGCCGTCGCCCAGCCTCCAGTCGCCCATTCATTCGGCCCCGGGCTCCATCGGCTCCATCGAGCCCAAGCCGGAGATGCCGCCTCAGCCGCATCCGCACGAGTACCCCAACATGGGCCAGCAGCCCGTCCTGGAGCCCGGCGAGATCCCCATGTTCCCGATGGCGGGCATGGGCATGGGCGGCATCCCTTACGGAGGCCAAATGATGGACGGCCTGTCCGACCTTGATGACAAGAAGAAGGGAGCGAGGAAACCCAGGTCCAGAAAACCAAAGGAACCCAAAGAGGCCAAAGAACCGAAAACTCCAAAGGTACCAAAAGAAAAGGCCCTTAAAGAGCCTAAAGCTCCCAAGGCCCCTAAGACTCCGAAAGAACCCAAGATTTCGAAAGACAAGAAAAAAGGTAAAGCTTCAATTGACGGTCGTAGACGCTCTCCCAAGAAAAGAGGTGATGGGGAAGAAGATGATGAAGGTGACGAAGAAATTGATCAGGAATCTTCTTCACTATTGGATTCAGAAGACATCCCATTAGCATCTATTCCATTAGATGAAGACAACTCTGCCAGTGCCCCTGCCACTGATGCAGACACAACTTTAGACTCTACTAATGAAGGCTCACCATTGAAAAGCAAATCAAGGGGAAGAAAAGTGAAGGGGGTCCTTGCCAGTAAGGTGAAAAAGTAAGTTCTTGTCAATACGTCTTGTTTTATCTTGGCTTTGTATTCGCTTTGCAAATTTTCTGATTCCCCTCTTTCCGTGTATTGTTTTTTAGAAGCAGCAGCAGTGGCGGTGGAGGCAGTGGGGGTGGTGGCAGTGGCTCATCTTCTCGACGGAAAAAGAGGAAGAAAGAATATGAAAAAGATGAGGATGAAGTTGATGATGTGCTGCTTGCAACTCCCCCAGCCTCTCCTGAGGAGGATTTATCATCTGTAAGTGACCTCTTCTTTATTATTATTATTCAGTTAGCACATTTTCCAGTATGTTTTATTTATTTGACTCTTTCAACAGAAACGGCGCTCAGCCCGAAACACGCACAGGAAGAAGTATGTAGATGATGATATGCTGCGATTCTCCGATGATGAGGATAAGAATTCAAAGCCTGAAAAGGAAACTAAAACGAAGGAAGTTACTGCAACCAAAGGAGAGAAGGTTGAGAAGGTGGAGCCGACCGAAGTGCCTGTCAAACCCAACTATGTTTATATCGTAAGTTAAAACTTTCATCACCTATGTCATCATTTTAAGTAGTTTGTGGATATGTGTCAAATTTGTTTTTCTTGTTTGCCAGAATCCTGGGGAGGAGGACACAATGGTGGTTCAACACATACTCGCTGTAAGGAAGGGAAAGCGAGAATTAAGGAAAGATCCTGAGCCAGTTCAGCCAGCAGAACAAGCTGACCCTGAAAAAGCTGACACTCTAACACCCGAATCCAGTGATACTGTTAAGAAAGAGGAATCTCAATCAAGCGAAACCTGTGATAATGGTACTGAGAGCGTTAAAGAAAGTGAGCAAGAAACTCCAGCAGAAGATGTCAAGCCAACTGAAAGTGGTTCCAGTGATACTGATAAACCAGTGAAAGAGGAAATCAAATCTGAGGAGAAAATGGATGTGGATGCTACTCAAGCTGAAGAGAACAGCAGTGAAAGTGGACAAACTGAAAAGATGGATGTTGACAAGGAAGAAGCTGAATCAGAATCTGATGTTAAAGATGCTGATCAGGACAAAACCAAGATCACAGAAAAGAGTGATGAAGAGAAAGAATGGGTTGAAGTGGATGAATTTTATGTCAAGTACAGAAATTTCTCCTACCTTCACTGCGAGTGGAAGACTGAAGAAGAACTTCTTAAAGGGGACAAAAGGGTGCAGGGGAAAATCAAGCGTTTCTTCCAAAAACAGGCTCATCTTACAAACATCTTTGAAAATGTAAGATTGTTGTGTATGTCAACTGGTATGCTTATTGTGCACTGAAGCATTGTATTATCATGTATTTATGTTTTTCAGCTGGAGGAAGACCCATTTAATCCTGATTATGTTGAAGTAGACAGAGTTCTTGATGTCTCAGAACAGACCGATCCCAATACAGGAAACACTGTTAAGCATTATCTTGTGAAGTGGCGTGCTTTACAATATGAAGACTCCACTTGGGAATTAGAAGAAGATATTGACCCTTTGAGGATACGAGAATTCGAGAGATTCCGTAAAATCCCACCCAGAGATCAATGGAGGGTAAGGAGATTATCACTTAATTCGTTATGTACGTGTGCTGATCTATTGTAAACACTATCACCTTTAATTTTTTAGCCTAAGAAGCGACCTTGCGCTGATGACTGGAAAAAGTTGGATGTTTCCCCAGTCTTCAAAGGTGGCAACACCCTCCGAGAGTACCAACTTGAAGGATTAAACTGGCTCCTTTTTTCGTGGTACAATGGGTAAGTAAAGTTTTAATTTTTTCTTCCATTTATCATTGTAATCTGGTAACTTTCCATCATTCAATTTTTATTTATTTTTCAGGCGGAATTGTATATTAGCTGATGAGATGGGTTTAGGCAAAACTATTCAGTCCTTGACTTTTGTTTACTCTGTACTTAAATATGGCATTAGAGGACCATTTCTTGTGATAGCTCCGCTATCCACCATTCCTAATTGGCAAAGGGAATTTGAATCTTGGACTGATCTTAATGTGGTTGTCTATCATGGATCGTAAGTATTGAAGATATTTTGCTCAGTGTTTTTTTTTTGCTACATTTCTTATTTGGCAAAACTTAACTTTGTCTTTTCTTCTTCAGCGGTGCTAGCCGAAACATGCTTATGGAGTATGAGCTCTACTATCGAAATGATAGAGGGCAAACAATTAAGGATATTGCCAAGTTCAATGTTCTTATTACAACATTTGAGATGATAATAACTGATGTGGCTGAACTCAAGATGTTTAATTGGCGTCTCTGTGTTATTGATGAGGCCCACAGATTAAAAAACAGAAACTGCAAGTTGCTAGAAGGACTCCGGTCATTGAAACTGGTATGTATTCTGACTGTTAGTAGATATTAACTAGTTGTGTTATTCTGTACCTAATATTTTGTCTAAATTTCCAGGAACATAGAGTGTTGCTCTCAGGAACACCTTTGCAGAACAATGTTAATGAACTGTTCTCTCTCCTTAACTTCTTGGAACCAAGTCAATTCACTAGCAGTGAGTCTTTCCTTGAAGAATTCGGTGCTCTAAAGTCTGAAACTGAAGTTAACAAACTGCAGTTAGTCTTGAAACCAATGATGCTTCGGCGTCTCAAGGAGGATGTGGAGAAGAGTATTGCTCCTAAAGAAGAAACTGTGGTTGAGGTACCTTTCAATTTTCTTTACCTCATTGACATTGAAGTTTGTAACTTATTGACGTCCCTAATGTTTCCACCTGTCTTTGTTCCAGGTGGAGCTCACAAACATTCAGAAAAAATACTACAGAGGTATTTTAGAAAGAAATTTCTCCTTCTTAGCCAAAGGAACCACATCAAATAATGTTCCAAACTTGATGAACACGATGATGGAGCTGCGAAAATGTTGCATTCATCCATATCTTCTTAATGGTGCTGAAGATCAAATTCAGTATGACTATAGAATATCTCATGGAGAGGACCAAGATGCTTACTATAAAGCACTGATAAATTCTTCGGGTAAGATGGTGTTGATTGACAAGCTTCTCCCGAAGTTGAAGTCCAATGGACACAGAGTCCTCATCTTCAGTCAAATGGTCCGATGTCTGGATATTCTAGAAGACTACCTTGTTTTCCGAAAGTAAGTAGTAATGCTACTTAAGCTCCTTGCGGTACCTACATAATGATACTGTTTACATACATGAGGTGCTGTGCCACTGGTCTTAATGCTTTTGTTATTATTTTCAGGTACCAATTTGAGAGAATTGATGGCCGTATCAGAGGAAATCTCCGTCAAGCTGCTATTGACAGATTTTGCAAACCTGATTCAGACAGATTTGTTTTCTTGCTATGTACAAAGGCCGGTGGTCAGGGTATCAATTTGACAGCAGCTGATACTGTCATCATCTTTGACAGTGACTGGAATCCTCAAAACGATTTACAGGTTTGTATTAATTTTATTTCAGTGAAGTGGCAGCTTCTTTGAATCCGTGCTCATTGTTCACTTCCTCTTATTTTAGGCCCAAGCTCGTTGCCATCGTATTGGACAACAAAAGATGGTGAAAGTCTATCGCCTTCTGTGTCGGAACACATACGAACGAGAGATGTTTGACAAAGCCTCTTTGAAGTTGGGTCTTGACAAAGCTATTCTTCAGAGCATGAATACTGGACAAAGCAAAGATGCAGGTGGTAAACAGCAACTGACCAAGAAGGAAATCGAAGACTTGCTCAAGAAAGGGGCTTATGGTGCAATTATGGACGAAGACAATGCTGGTGACAAGTTCTGTGAAGAAGACATTGATCAAATTCTTGAGAGAAGAACTCAGATCATTACATTAGAATCTGAGAAAGGATCTACCTTCTCAAAAGCCAGTTTTGCTTGCTCAACTGCCCGTCAGGACATTAATATTGATGATCCAGACTTCTGGAAGAAGTGGGCAAAGAAGGCCGATATTGATACCACTGAGAAGAATGAAGAGGTTCGTAAAGCATGTTCTTTTCATTATCCTTTTAAATGCCTTCATACTGATGATTTTGTCATGCTAATGACGAGTATGCTTTAGGCATACGCTGAGTTCAACAATCTCAAAATTTCTGAATGAAGTTGATAGATTTAGTAATAACAGCTTTCTCTTAATGATTCATTTATTTTGTTTTATTAATAATATAAATTGTTGTTGCCTCTTCTTCATGATGTTTTGCCATGCTAATACCGAGTGTGCTTTAGGCATACGCTGAGTTCAAACTTTCTCAAAAGTCTCTGAATGAAGAATTTTGATACTTTATGCCCATCTGCTACTAAGCTGTTGTTCCCTCCTCTTTGTGATGCTTTGTCATGCTAATACCGAGTGTGCTCCAGGCATACGCTGAGTTCAAACTTTCTCACTTTTTTCTGATTTGAATGGAGGGACACACTCTTAAAGACCTTCTTTTTTTAGAATTCTAATAATAAAATATTGTCTGCCTTGTGTCTGTGTTTTAGGAAAATTTGGTAATTTCTGAACCAAGAAGAAGAACTCAAATCAAAAGATACGGACATGATGAATCAACTCTCAATATGTCGGAGCTTGAATCCTCCAATTCTGACTCTGATGAAGAGGGTGATGAAGACAATCCTGGAAGGCGAGGTACTACTGTCAAAATGATTTAAAACAACCCAACAGTTCAATTTTTTGTCTTTGAGCAATCACTAAGTTTTCTATTTCTTGTTACTTAGGTCGCAAGCATAAACTCAAATCAAAGGACAAGAAACACAAACGTCCTGATGACTATGTTCCTCGGGAGGGTGAAATCGCATATGGCAGTTGGGATAGAGGTGAATGCTTCAAAGTCGAACGTGGTCTTCTCACCTTTGGTTGGGGCAGGTGGCAAGAATGTTTGGCAAGCAGTCAATTTAGGAAAGGATGGACTGATAAAGCTTTTGAGGACTGTGCTCGTATCATTGTAAGTTCTCATAAATTTTTTATCTTTACACTTGAAACTAAATTAGGTCTCATTTCAGCTTTTTATGTTGAATTGGCTTACCTTGTTTCAGCTACTTTATTGCCTTCGATTCTATAGAGGTGATGAGAAAATTCGGGCATTTATTTGGGATCTTATTACTCCCACTGAAAATGGTCAAACTGTTATTCATAAGAATCACATGGGTATGTCTATCAAATTCTGTCAGCTTGCATTTATTGAATCAGTAATATTAGGTTCTCTTCATTGACGAGTTTCTTTGTCTGCTAGGTTTGAACTCTCCTGTTCCCCGCGGGGGTCGGAAACCGAAGAAAATGAAGTCAAAGGATGGCCGCAATGTTGGTCAAAACCAATTGGAGAAAGATCATTGGAGCAACAGCGAAAAGTATGATGGTGATATTTATTTGGAGCCAACCTACAAGAAGCATCTCCTTCGCCATGCTAACAAGTAAGTTGTCGTTTTTTTTTTTCTGCAAGTTGTGATAAAATGGCCTTAGATAATGTTTTGATAACTTAAATTGTTTTTTCCCTTGCAGAGTACTACTTAGAGTTCGTATGCTGTACTACATCAAACATGAAGTTCTTAATGACAGCATAGATCAGATAAATGACAATGTTCCCGTCAGGTAATTGCAACAAGAGTTCACATCAATTGCATATTACTTCAGTCTTAATTGTGCTGCTTGTCTGGCATCATTTAAAGGCACCACCACATGGCCTAATCTCTTTTAAAGTTATTTGAATTTGGCATGTCAACATTTACTTATTTCTTTGTGTGCCTGAATTTTGCACTGTATTTGGGCAGGAAAATTTTTGTACTGGAGGGGTCTAAAGAATCAAATTTCCTTTGAAGTCACTTTTCTGTTGCAGCATCTCACTATTTTCCCTTTTTCTCCCCCTTTCAAGTTTTCTCGAGGCTTTTGCTAATGCTAGCTTTTGTGCCATATAGTTAGTGGCAGTTGATTTTGTAGCAATACTCATGTTCTGCCACGTTCCTGCATCTTTACAGTGCCTTGGCGATTTATCCACCCCCATGTGAATTGCTTCCGGTCCATTGGTGGGACTCTGATGCAGATCGCTCTCTCCTCATTGGTACCTATAAACATGGTTATGAGAACTACACTGCCATGAGAAACGACCCAGCCTTGGGTTTCCTCGCTCGTCTAGGTCCTTTGGATCCTAGTGCTGCTATGCTTGCCGACAGTAACTCAATGTAAGTACAGCTTTTTCATCTTCTGTTTGTTGTTGTTTTTCTCTCTTCCCTACAAATTCTAAGCCACTCTGTGCTGCCAACTTTTAGTGCATTGTTATTATTTTGTAGAATGTTTCTGCCTGTGTAGGGTAGAACTGGATTTGGTCTCTTTTCTAAACCTTAATAAGCAAATCTCAACTTGCTGCTTGGTTCTATTGTTACAACATTGATTTTTCATGACACTTACAAGCTCAAGAAAGCCTCTTTGTTTATTCTTTAACATAATGGCCTCAAATTAATGACGTAATTATTTGTTCTGCAGACGAGATGAGGACAAGTTAAGTGATGATGATGATGAAGGTATGGACAGCAGAAGAGGCCGCTTAAGAGGAATTCTGAAGACTCCTGAAGATGCTGATGACTCCAAGGACGCAAACGGCTCAGAGGCCTCCAATGCAGCCAAATCGGAGGACGGAGAGTCGAAACCTAGCTCTGCTGCCCCTCAGAGTCCCAGTTCAGAATCGACAGCCAATGAGGATAAGGCTAACCCGGACATGGAATGGCCCTCAGCAGTTGATTTGAACACGCGATTGCGCCGTGTTATTACCGCATATCAGCGCAACTTCAAGAAGCAGGAGCTGATGCAAATGCAGAAAGCAAAGGTATGTCAATTGTGTCTTTTTCCTTCTCAGGAAGCTGTCTTAAGTTTGTGGGGTTTCTCTTTAGATAGGGATCAGAATAAAGAACAACTTACACAATTCTGTATAGAAAGAATAGACGGTAACATTTTACGACTGTTACAGAATTTTGGAATAATGTGTGGTTTGCCTTTGTGCTCTTCATTGGTAACTTCAGTTTCTTTATACAGTATATCTTTTTCTCCTCTTCTGCTGTTGTGTAGTTTTTCTGCTAGTAGCTCAGTGTTTTGCATTCTTTGGGAATGTTTTCTTTGCTGTTTAATTACATACAACTTCCATTTGGAAATCAAATTCTGAATTGGAATGGTAGATCATTCATCACTCATTTCAATCACTTGTTTTTCAGTACTTTTTGAACCTTTTCAGTTTAACTATTGTTATGGTGGCGGCTGGAAGCATGCATGTAGAATTACCAAGTTAGATACCCAAAAAGATAAAATCACAAGTTTCTGTGGCATTTGATATAAATATTACGTGAAAGATATCATTTTGCAGTGCAGGTCTACTTTCTCTTAGGCATGTACTTCTTACTTGTGGTAACTGTATTGTGAAGAATGAACTTGTAGCAAATAGGTCATTTCTTGAGGTTGCCATTTGTCAGTATTTTTGAAGTGTTTAAAAGATAGTGTGGATATTTGTGCATGATGTGCCCTGTAGTTGATCCAGCTGTCCATGTTTTTGTAGCAACGAGGGGTAGAGGGAGAGCAGCATGCTGTCTTGAGAGACGCTCTGAACACACAAGGAGTGGACTTTCAGCAGCTAGCCATGTATTTATGGGTAAAGTATCTTCTTTTACAAACCCACCTAGTTTGCATGGCCCCTGCATGTGCTAGCTGATCTTTATACGTAGTAGTTCTTCTGTTGCTTGTAGTTTGTTATCTTAGCAGTGAAGAGCATAAACTCACATCCCAGTCTTTCTATCCACACAGTATATCATACTTATTTTAATCATTAACAGGTTAAGCATTAGATTATGTTGAACAATTGTATGAGCAGCATTTGTTGTCTCTTGCCTTTATATTCTTATGATGGAATGTCTTTTAAAAAGTCTCTTTGCTGATTTTATATTTTTGTGATCCTTACTAAATCTAACATTCTTGACTTTTCTGCCAATTTGGATACATTCAAAAGTAAGTAAAACACGTGGTCATAGGCTTACCTTGCTTGCACGCTGTTAACACACTGCTTAAGTGATGCAAACAAACCATGCGCCAATCTTTTTTGCTATACCAACGATAACTATTTTCTTCGTGGTATTAGCCCAGTTACTCTAACACAATTTGGATTCTGCCTTAGCTACAATGTCAATTTTGTTTCTTTCTAACCCATTCCATTTGTTAGCTTGCTCCCAGCAATTGAAATTGGCCTTTGCAAGTTTAGTCTCTTAATATGTGGAGGCAAAGCTTCATTCTCGTCATTCCATGCTTTTCTCCTTTAGGTCTATGGAAGGATATTGCTCCTGATCCTAGAGTTCTTTACTTGGCATTAGGCATTTTTGTTTTTGCAGCTGAAATAAATTATTTGAACCTTTCACTTGGTTTGCCCTTCTGTCTTGAGTTCTAAACCTTACTTCATTATTTGCAGAAGATGGAGCGCCGGGAAAAGATTGAGCAAATAGTAAGAGAAAGGGAACGCCAGCGTCTTGATTGCAGCCAAAAGAAGTGGTCAAGAAGAGAGGAAGCAGACTTCTTAAGAGCCATTTCAATGTATGGTGTTGAAGTTGATCGGTAAGTGGATATAGATACAAATTTTATGTGGAAGTGAGTTCTTTCTCTCAAAGTATCTGTTTTCTTATTGTTTTCTTCTCTCACAGAAAAACTGGTCAGTATGACTGGTCAAAGTTCCGATCTATGGCTCACCTAGAAAAGAAGTATGACGACACTATGACTGAGTACTATAGAGCGTTCTGTGCAATGCTGAAGCGCACTTGTGGAGTAAAACTTACTCCTGAAGAAGGTATTTAAGAGTTCACTTATTCTTGACTTTCAATATTTTTGTAGCTCTTAAATTAATTTCTTGTTAATTTGTAGACATGAGTGACATGGCTGTCGAGCCCCTAAGTGAAGATAGGGCCCGGAAAGTTCTAGATCGGATGGAGTTAATGAGTAAAATTCGTGATGATGTTCTTCATCATCCTAAGTTAGAGGAGCGCTTAAAACTTTGCAAGACTTCTGCTGATATGCCAGAGTGGTGGGTTCCTGGCCGTCACGACCGCGATCTTCTTGCAGGAGTTGCAAAGTATGTGCATTATAGCCTTGAATGGTACTTTTTATCTTCTGTGATTCACTTCTAAATTTGATCATTTTCTTTTACAGACATGGCCTTGTACGCACTGACCACTACATTCTGAATGATCCAGACTTTTCATTCCAAAAGATTATTCGTAAACTTCTCATTGGAGAATCTCTTGTAAGTCCAACGAAAGTGAAGAAAGAGCCAGAACCTGAATCAAAGGCTCCTGCTGCTGGAATGAAACTTGAACGCCCAGAGGATATCCTTCGCATGGACAAGGGTGAAATACTTGTGAAGTTAGAGAAAGGTGAAGGTACTTTGCGTATTGAGAAATTAGGATTAAAATCTGAGGCTGATGTTAAGCCAGAAACTGAGGACCTAAAGCCCCCTGTTGTTAAAACTGAACCAGCCGATGCAAGTGACCTGAGTGTAGTAAAGGCTGACACTGATGCCAATGGTCCAGAGGCTGAAGTTCCCCCAAAAGAAGAAGTGAATGAATGCAAGGAAGTGGAAGCAAGCGAGGATAAAGCTGCCTCCAAAACTGAAAAATCTTCTGAAAGCGAGGACTTGCCAAAGGCTGCAACACCAGAAAGTGCACCAATTAACAAGGAGGATAATTTGGAGGTGCAGTCTGAAGTTAAAGCTGATGTTACTACTGAAGACTTGGAAAAGAAGACTGAAAAGGGAGAGGAAATGGAAGTGGAAGAAACTGAAGAGAAAGAAGTCTCCAAGACTGATGCTGTGGCCAGTGAAGCACCAGTAGTTTCCTCTGACCTAAAGGAACCTGAAGACGAAACGGCTAAGGTGACAGAAGAGAAATCTGTTCCGACTCCTGAAACTGAAGAGAAGACCGCTGCTGATGAAACTCCGAAGGCGGACAAGGACAAGGCTGAGGAACCTGATGTTGAAATGGCTGAAGCAGAGAAAGGTGAGAAGGTTCCAGAAGAAAGTGAAAATGAAGCATCCAAAGTGAAGGATGATGGATCTGATGTTAAATCTCCCAAGACTTCTGAAATACCAGAAAAGGTTGAAGAGACACCTGAAACCACTTCTGAAGAGAAGAAGGACGATCAAGCGGAAACTGAAGAAACACCCAAAGAAGCAGAAAAGACTGATGAGGCCAAGGAAGAGACTCCTGTGGATGCTTCAGCTAAGGAAACTGAAGGTGAGAAGGAGTCCCTGGAGGCAGCAACGAAAAATGATGAAGACCCTGAATCAAAAAAGGATACCACAGTTGAAAAACCATCTCCAAAATTTGAAAATGAAAATGTTGACAGCAAAGAAACTGAAGAGAAACCAAAACCTAAAGACGATGATGCTGATGTTAAAATTGAGAAGGAAATTTCTGGAAAGGTGCAGTCTGACTTGAAGGCTCTATATCCTGACTTAGAAGTTGTCCATCCACTCTCAAGATTGCCAGAAATAGACACAATTGTCCTTGATCAACCTAAGGGGGCATCATCTGCACAACCTGCCAATCAAAAGACAACATTTGGTAGTCAGTCCTCTAATTCGAATCAGCAGTCCTTCGCTCAAATCCAGCAGTCACTTCAAGGCATGAATAGTGCTCAAGCTCTACAGCAGCTGCAAGCAATGGAAAAGTTAGATGCCTCAGTATCCCAACTTCTTGCTCAAAGCTTCCAGAGCCAAATTAAGTGGCCTAAAGATATAGCAATTGAAGCTCGCTTGCAGCATATTGTGCACTGTGTGGAGAAGGGTGAATGGCCTGTATCAAGGAATTTCACTGTCTTCCAATCCTCATTAGCCCAACTGCCAGTTGTGCTGCCACCAGGAGTGACTGCTACCATCCCCAACAGCCACAACTCTGGTCTGGATGTTGACATATCCTACATTGAAACTGTTAACAATGATAGGCGGGATGGAGCTTCAACGCCTTATTCTGACAGTTCAGATGTCATTACAATTACGACTGACAATGGCTCATTGTCCTCTCAATATCATTCACAGTTTATGAGGAAGCGGAAGAGGCACATTGCCATTGATGTTGAAACGGAAAGAGCCAAGCTCCATGCACTGCTGAACAGTACCAATTCTTCCAATCAGCACGGGTCCTCTCACTTGGGTTATCGCAATGAGAGGGACAGGTTTGATAGGCATGATAGGCAAGACCACAATGAAAGACAGTATGAGAGACAGTATGAACGTCAGCAACAACAGCAGCAGCAACAACTTCAACAACAGCAGAAACAGTTGGAGCGGCAGCAGATGGAACGGCGTCAATATAAGGAACTTGAACGTCATCAGCTTCAGATGGCTCATTCTGACAGGCGACAACCCATTTCACAACCAAAGCAGTCTCCTATGTCCTGGGATGACGATGTCTCTGATGAAAGAAGAGCCACTCCAGCACACCAGCCCCCACCAGCTCATCAGCATGGCCCTAGGGTGATTTCAATGCCTTATGAGCTTGGCAAATTCACTATGCCTAACAAGCCCAAGTCTGCACCACAACCCGCATCCTCTCCCGCCCCCAGCCCCTCTGGCAGCAGTGGAGCCATTGACTTGTCTGGGGGTCCGCCTAAATCCAAGACCCCCAGTGAAGACTCGTTCGGCACTGGAGGCGAGGATGAAGCACAGGACTTCTCAATGGGCAAGAAACGCAAGAGCAGCAAACTGAATGATATGCTGGGTAAATTAATGCAGAAGAAGAATGTTCCAGTGCCATCTGATGAACCTGTTGTAGGAAAGGAGATGAAACGAAGGAAGCTTGATGAAATTGTCATGGGCTTGTCAGCTGCTAAAGAACAGCAATATCCTGATCCAATGCTGAAACGAAGATCACCTACACCAATGATTCCTCCTGGAGTCACTGTTACTCCTGCGTCATCAGCTTCTCGCACTCCCACTCCAACTCATTCATCGTCTGGATCTTCGAATAAGCCTCCGTTTTCCATCACTGTTACATCAGTTCAACATCCCTCTACTGCTTCAAATCAAGGATCGTCTCGTAACACATCGAGCAGCAATGCCAGTAGTAGCAGCAGCAGCCTAGCCAAGGATGCATACTCATCTTTCCTGGCTCAAGCTGAACAGCACAACCTTCTTCTAAAACAGGTATGGCGGCTGTTGTTGTCTTCCACTAGTGTCTTTAATTAAAAGGTTTTTTCAATTCTTTACATTCTTACAACGTTTATTTACAGCACCAGTTGCAGCAACAAATTTTACAACAGCAAAAGCTTTTGCAAACTACAACATCAAGTTCGCAACAGCGCAAAACCTATGAGGCTATGCTTGCTGATATCAATAAAGCTGCAGAGCTCACCAGCAAAATTAATTCTTATTCCCATGATGCCAAGGTACTGTACCCTTTGTTAATCTGTCTTCCTTTATCAGACTAGAAAAAGTATATTACATAATTTCTTTTGTCTCAATTACAGGTCAACAAGTGGCTTTCGGAGCAATCGCCCTTATTGCCTGATGCTGCTGGTCTGGGAGCAGATTTCCTGACCCGAAGAAGACGCCCCCGTGTTGACCCATCCCTACTCGACTGGAAGAAGCTGACTGGAGAGGAAAACGTCTCTGTGATTAATCGTCTGACGGGGAAGAAGGTAGGCTTGACTTGTCTGACATACGAAATAGGACTTGATTTTGCTCGTTTCCGATGCCTAACACGTGTCGTTTCTGTTGGCCACAGCTGACGGGCAACAAGGCTCCCCCGCTGAAGCACCTCGCCACCTGGCTGCTGGAGAACCCCATGTTCGACGTGGACCCCAAGTGGGCCGAGCTGGTGAAGGAGCGCGGCAACCTGCCGCACGACCTGCAGAAGCGACTGCCGCCCAACGAGCGCAAGAAGCAGGGACGGCCGCCGGTCATGGCCAGCCCCACGAGCATGGCCAGCCAGGCGTCGTCCGCCAGCCAGGCGCTCAACTACCAGGGCCTGGGCTCGCTCAACCCCAGCCTGCTGTCCAGCATGTCCCAGAACAACCCCTTCCTGATGCCGTTCGCGGGGCTGCCCAACATGAACGCCGCCCTGGGCGGCATGGCGGGCGGGCTCGGCAACCTGAGCAACCTCGGCTTGTCAAGCTCCCTGTTCGCCAACCTGGCGAGCCTCGGCCTGGCCGGCATGGACGCGGCCGCCATCACCGAGCTGCTGGCCTCGGCCGGCACCACGGCCACGCCCACCTCGTCGTCCTCGACCGGCCTGTCGTCCAAGAAGACTTCGGACTCGAGCGACCGGGACAAGGACCGGGACCGCAGGGACGACCGGTCGAGGGATCAAGACCGCACCCGCGACCGCGACCGGGACCGCAGCTCCAACCTGGGGTCTGGCTCCAGCGCCACGGCCTCGGCGAGCAGCGGGTCCGGCACCACCTCGAGCAACCCCAAGTCGACGTCGGCGAGCTCCAGCGCCGCGAGCGCCGCCAGCGCGGCCAGCGCACTGCCCTTCATGTTCTCCAACCCGAGCCTGCTCTACTCGCCGCTGGGGCTGGGCGGCCTGAACCCCTTCAGCTACGACACCCTGGCCCAGCAGGTGGGGCTGCTGAACGGCAGCCTGGCCAGCACGGCCGCCACCTCGTCCAGCGCCAGCCTGTCGCGCTCCAGCTCCTCCGCCAAGACCCAGAGCAGCAGCAGCAGCAGCCGGACGCCCATCACCTCGGCGTCGACCGTGGCCGCCAACAACAGGCACCAGCGCGAGGCCCTGGAGAGGCAGCACCAGCAGCTGCAGCAGTTCTTGCTGCCGCAGGACACGAAGCTCCTGGAGAGCCTGAGCAGCAAGTCGTCGAGACTGGCGGCGGACGCGTCGAGGAGCGACGACCGCGGCGCGCGCCGCTCCAAGGCGGAGGCGGACAACCTGAGGCACCTCATGGCGGGGGCCTACCCCGCGGACGACCGGAGCAAGCGCTCGCGGGAGGCCTTGGAGCGGGACTCGATGATGAGGATGTACGACTCGATGACGGAGCAGATGCTGCGCTCCGACCCCAGGATGCGCGAGGCACTCGAGGGCATGACGCGGAGCTCCTCCAGCAGCAAGGAGTCCTCGCGGGACAGGGACCTGAAGGACGCCATGATGAAGTCGGCCTTGGAGAGCATGACGCACTCGCTGTCGAGGAGCAGCAGCAGCAGTGTCAACAGCAACGCCGACCCCTACGCCAAGTCGCGCGAGCTGCTGATGAAGGAGGCCATGGAGAAGTACGGCCACGTGCCCACCGATCTCATCATTCGCAGCAGCGAGAGGAGTTCGACCTCCGACCGGAGTGCGGAGCGGGGCTCGGAGCGAAGCTCGGATCGCAGCAGCAGCGAGTCGTCGAAGAGGCCGCGGGACTTGGTGGTGAAGGAAGCCCTGGAGAGCCTGGGCCAGAGCCTGGCTTCGGGCGCGCTGGCCAAGCAGAGCCGCGAGGCCATCAACATGGCCAGCCTGCTGGGCTCCCCGTCCTGGGACCTCGTGATGCGGGGTGCCACCGCCTCGGCCTCGGCCGGCACCTCCGACAAGAGGAAGGCCGACGCCATGGAGTTGGTGTCCCCCAGCAAGTCGAGCAGCAGCGAGCGGTCCCGGGAGGAGGACAGGGCGAGGTCCAGGAAGGAGGACGACAAGTCGTGGGCGGAAGAGAAATCGAGAAGACTCGAGGCGGAATCGAGGAAAAGCCAAGAAAGGACCAAATCCCGGGCGCACGACGCGCAGGACTTGTCGAGAGACGTGGCGGACCTGTCCAGGTCCTCTGATCTCTCCATCACCATCTCCAAGCCAAGCAAGGAGATGGCACCTGATGACGCCTCATCGGAGCGGTCGTCGAAGCGTGCCAGGGAGCCGGAAGAGACTGCCGACCCCGCCGCCCTGGACATGGCCTCGGCGCCGAAGAGGCCGAAGGAAGACAAGTACGAGGAGGCTGCTCCTGCACCGCTGGCACCGCCGGCCGACGAGAGCGTGCCGGCCGAGGCCCAGGACGCCGGCGCGCCGTGCCCGGACCGGTCCGCGGAGGCCGACGGGCAGGCCGACGGGCAGGCCGATGGCCCCGGGGGCCTGGACGAGGCCGACGAGGACGCCGGCAAGCCGCGGGGCTTGCGCCGGCGCGGCGGCAGCAGCAGCAGCGGTGGCGGCGGCGCGCGGGGGAAGAAGTCGCCCCCGGAGGAGGACGCGACCGTGGAGCGGAAGGTGTTGCGCAGCAGTGCAAGCCGTGCTGCGGCGGCAGCCGCTGCGCGCGCCGCCCGCGAACAGGAGCAGGCCGCCGTCGCGACCAGGCCGAGGGAGGAGTCAGAATCTGATGAGGCATAGGCTCAACTTGCCATCACTAGAATCTTGAAAACTTCTATTTTCACTTTTGTATCATAACATTTTTTTAGATTAATAGACTTCGATGCAAAAATGTGTATTTTAAAAGGTAATGACGTGAGTGTGTATAGTCTAAATCTCTTTCCAAACCTAAGTTTTAAATACTTATTATTATATTGTCCTGTTTTTATTGTGTCTGACTGTTGTGCTGGAAGCTTGTCATGTTTAGTGGTTTATCTGCTGTGTATTTTGATAACATTTAACTTTTAAGGTGGTGTACCTAGAGCTGTCGGAGGTGTTTGCTTAACATGGCTCTGTTGTGGAAGTGGAACAGCAATAGTTCCATTGAATTCATTTGGTGGCATTGTCCAGTGTCACTTAGTTCCCAGTTTTTATCCAGAAACTTTTTAGCTCATTTATTCTTGCTGCTTCTTCTTCCCAACCAGGCACAGTGCCATGTTGCATATTGTAAATAGTCTTAAATTTTTGCATCAAAGTCTTGTATTTCTTTTCTAGTTAATTGACTGTGCATTCTGTGATAGCCTTTCCTCCTCAGAAGTTGAATATTTAGCTGGTAGTTTGTTTGATGAACAATTGTGGAGCTGGAGGCCATTTTGAGTCCTATTCTTTGGCTTCTATTTATTTAGCCAAAAATAAAAGATTATCACTGTAGTATTCTTTTTTATATAATATATATATATACATATTACATATATAAATATGTTTATTTTGGGGACAAATTGGACTTTTTTTAAGGTTGACTTTTCTTTCCGTTTTAAAGAAAACTGATGTTTCTAGCTTGAACGATTTCTTAATTTATTTGTTTGTTGACCAGTTTACTGCCTGCCCTGCCCTGTGTCTAATTGATGTTACAGTATTGGTGGAGTGCATGTCAGGTGATTTTAATCAATTTTGTATTGTTCTTGTCCAGAAGTGTGTTGTGAAATGTAAATAGCTAGTGCTCTAAGCTTGCTCTGATCAGGAATTTAGGTAAACTTGTAAAGAAGTGAATGTGACTCGAACTTACATATTGCATCAGCAGCTAAGATTTAATGAAATTGTGTAGAATGAAATTGTTGCATAGTGTTATTAGTAATTTATATTCAATGTACAATCAAAGCTTAAGAATGAATTTCAATCCCATCTGAAGTTTGTACAGGAAGGTAACATTTGAGTGTGCACATTTTATTTGCAATTATATTGATACACCTACTTTATTTTTCTGAGAGCTTTGTTCAGAGATACCCATTAGTCCCATGCTTTCAGTACTGGATTTAGGAACATCACAATTCTACTTTCAAGCTTGGTACAAGGCTCTTCCGTAATGTATCTTCTACTTTCCTTTTTCTACTACAGGCTTAGCTTCATGTGTAACTTTGGTGTCAAAAGTATTTACCCTTGGCTGCTGGGTAAATAAGTGTTATGAACATATTGATAATAAATACTCTTACAGTATTATATAAGTTGTTTCATTACTTGATACCTGTTTCCTGGGATTTGAGCCAAATGACTTTCCGAAATATTCACACGAAAGTAACAAATTTAATATTTATTCAAGTGAAATGTTACATCAGTGGTATGCTAGATGTTGCTTCATAGTAACCATTTGCAGCTGTGGAATAGCGCCTTGAAAGATCTACACTCTGAACCTCCATCTCCCCAAAACTGAAATCTTGAAGTTTCTGCAGAGAAATAACACCATTGCATGAGAGCGGAATACTAAGTCTGAAAATTTCTCAAAAAAGAGAAAAGAAGTACCAACCTTAAGAATCTGCAAGGCGTCGAAAGATTCGCGGACTTTACGCCGGTTATCACCTTTGGCCAAATCTGAGTCTGTAACTTCTCTCCGAAATAAGGAATTCATAACAGTCACATGAAGCTTGACCGAATCAAATTGCTTTGGCATGAGACCTAAAAGTAAATCATTGATTTAAAAACAGTTCAAGATAAGCCTTAAAATAAATTTTAAGAAATTCCCGTACCTGTGTTTGAAAAATATTTTATTATGCCATCAGCAAGCTCCTGAAGAATTAAATTTTCATTTAAGTCCTTTACTTTTCCATATAACACATCAACCTCTGCTGGGTCATCATTCATGTACTCAATTCCATACACACTTAGCCGTAAGGGTCTTTTCTGAAGTAATGGTCTGCAGAGAAAAATATCAAAACTGTCACCATTTTCAAAAAAGCATACATGCCAATGAGAAACCATCTTTGTAGCTCACTCTACAATATCTCGCTGGCAGTCCTGAAGAGCTTGAGCTGCTTTTTGGCGATCTTTTTCATCTAGAAGAACAAGGGTTCCAAGAGTGATGTGTAATTTATTTGGGTCCTGGAAAATATCTTTCCCTATACCTCTACCTCTACACTCATTTAAAACTTGGTCCTAAAAACAGAATTTCATACTTTGAAACATAGAGAAAAACCCACAAAAGTAGAAATGAGATAAGAGTCTTGCTACCTGAAAGTGTAGAAAACCTCTCTTCACATTCTCACTGTTGACTGGTAATGAAAGAAAATGTGTAAATTGTTGTTTTTGTCTTGCTGTCAAGGCAATTAATTCCATGCGTCGTCTTGCCTTAGCAACACTTTCCCTTGTAGCTCCAGTGACAACTGAAAAGTGGGGAAAAAGCCTTGCAAAAACCAAAATAGGAGAGAGGAGTAATATTGTTACTTTTTCAATCCATACCAATATCTTGATCAATTCCTTTTTTGGGTATCCTAATGAGGGCTTTTGTTTCTTTCTCGATGCGCTGTCTGGTCGTTCCCTTTGGTCCAATAAGCACCCCATGGAGCGATCTGGGGATAAAACATTAGCTTTAAGAACACTGGTACAAATGATTTGGGAATAAAGTAATGTTTCAGAAAATAACCTCGGAATATGAAAGCAGGTCTTCAATCTGCCTGTTTCTGCCTCTTCGATTTCATAGTCGTTGTCAGAGCAATCATCATCTCGGCCTACAAACAAAACTCAGTTGTTCATTTAATGCTCCAAATCCAAGACACAACAAACTGCCATTAATCTACCACACATAATATCGAAAGGATTATTACGTTTAACTCACCACTGTCAAAGAAGGTTTGTTCATCGTCTCCATATCCTGTATACTCTGAATCAAAATCAGTTGATCCAACTGTCTGTCCGTAGAGTCGATAGCATCTTCCTTTAATCCAAATTATGTTGGGCTTTGTAATATCCATGCTTTATGCCAAAGTTTCTGTCTGACACATCCACAAGTGAAGTATTGGTCACTGGACAACTGTTAAAGAAAATAAAGATCATAAGTTAACATGATTAGAGGCCCGAATCAAATTAGATAACATATATATGTTAAAAGCTATGCATTAACAAGTTATAACCTTTGTGGCGTTCTAGCAAAGGTATAGAAACGCAAAAGGCGTTATGTGACGTAGCCGGTGTACATGTCATAAGTTATCATCAGATTCTGTCTGTTTAGAGATGTTTCTTATAGTCTAACCAGAATAAAGGGCCTAAGAAGTAAGTTACTAACAACGATTACCTCTGAAGATCTGAACCAAAATATTTCGTAGTGACGGTAACTGTCGAACCATAACCTAGACAAATTTTGTACACATTGGGTAGCTGCATGGGGTGTCAAATGTGTTGTGTCAATGAAAATCTGAGCCTATTTTTAATTTTCGATTATTTTTTTTCAAGCTAGATGGACCGCCTTCAATTTAATGGAGATGACCCAGGTGCTGTCCTCTTGGGAAATTTCATCAATTATTATGAATTTCATCCCCCAGAAGAAAGGCTCAAACTACTCCCAAGTCACCTGTGGGAAACAAAAGGAAACGAGCCGTACACATGTCTTGACATAGGCTGCAACTCTGGGGTAAGAGTCTTACAATCATCAATCAACTTCAGTTCAAAATCTTTTTCATCATTTATTTTCCATTTCTTCAGGATTTGACAAGCAGAGTGTATGAATGCATCACCAACTCATTTGCGTCAGGGGAAGCCTCTCCCAGTGGGTCCAAAAATACATGTTCTATGCTAGGCATTGATGTAGATCCAGTCTTGATTGAAAGAGCTCAAGAAAAAAATAAGTATGTTGGCCAGATTACCTATAAATGTGTTGATTTCATGGATGATAACAAAAGTGAAGTGATTCGAAGTCACTTGGCGAATGATGACGCACGTTTTGATGTGATATTTTGCTTTTCGGTAACCATGTGGATTCATTTGAACCACGGGGATAATGGTTTGAATAAGTTTCTTAGAGAAATTTCTGAAATGAGCAAGATGTTGGTTCTCGAACCTCAACCTTGGAAGTGTTACAAGTCTGCTGTGAAAAGATTAAAAAGATGTAACAAGTCTTTTCCTTACTTCCAAAAATTATCTATCCGTGAAAATGTTGAAGAGCACATAGAACAATATTTGCTAGAGACGTGTAATTTCCACAAGGTTTATGAGTCACCAGACTCTAAATGGGGTAGAAAACTAATGTTCTTCAAGGGGCATTGACGAATTGGGAGGCAAGACACATTGGTTTCCCAAAATTATAATTATATGTTCAAAGGATGTTATAGGAGGAATTAATAAACCTTAAGACAGTTTGATATTTTTTCCTTTTCATTTTGAAGCAGTTTTCATAAAATAAAATGAATGTACTGTGAGATTGAATCACAAACCAGAACTATCCCTTTCATCCTCATTGGTAACACAATGATGTAGCTCAAAACTCTGAGCAGCATAAGCTTGAGACAATTAAAATTCATTGACAATATTTAAGGAATTTATATACAAATATTTTTACAAATTCATAGTTAAGCATTATCAGATGAACTAAGAAGCCACTTCCTCTGTGGGTCCATCAAATTCCAGCTTGACATCTTCATTTAATCCTTCAACATCAACTTCAGATTCAGTGGCATTAAGCATATTGAGAGTAACTTCCCTACTCATCATAGATTGTTGAGTTTGTTGGTTGATTGATGTTGGTGTAGCTTGAATCTGTCGTACTTGCAGCCCAGCATCTTCAAAGACCTTCTTCTTCAAAGTAGATTTAATTTGACTCCTGTAACATACAATGACCATTGGAATTTATATAACTGATATATCATGCCCGAAGAAATTGAGAGCGGGCATCGCTGTTTTTTCACACAATTCACATTTTTATCGTTCGTCACTTACACAGTTTTCCCTTTAATATGTTCACAAATCGTACTGAGCTCTTCCCCAAACTTAAGCACAGCATGCCGAAGCATCTCAATTTCTTCGTCTGTCCATTTGCTAGAGGAGGGAATCAACACAAATTATATACAAGAATGCGGAGACGAGGAAGTGCTTGAGAAGGACGTCACCTATGGTTCTTACCCAGCAGGAGAATCCGCAGTTGGATGAAGCTGCATGGTGAGTTCTCCTAACTTATTGAAAGCATTTCCTGCAGCAGTGAAAATTTCTCCTACCTGCAAACAGAGAAAGGTAATATCATGTTATGCACAAAGTACCCTTCAGGCCTCACTCAGTAATTTCTCGTGACATGGTTATGGCACCTCTTAAGGAATGCAAAATATCGTTGCCCAGAGCACAAAGGCGTTCAATAAACAGACTGGCACAACTATCTTCGAAAAATCAATCGACAAAAGAAAAGGCCTAACTTAAGGAAAAGCCAAGAGGTTAAAGAACGGTTGAGCAAAAAGCCGGGAGTTTCGTTGCGCGTAATGCCTATTTTCAGGTATGTTTACAAGAAGGTCTCTTGAAATCTCGGAACTTAGGAATAAAATCAAGGCTTTACCTTACTGGCCGAATTCATTGTGACTAAGGATCAACTACGAAACGGAGAAATAATGATGCCGGGGTGCTGTTCGCGGCTTTTGTTTGTTGTGATCTTGAGGATGGTTTTTCCGGATTTTCCAAAAGACGCTTCTCTCTCGACGTGTGATCGAGCTATCGACCGACCTCGACATCCACTCTCGAAAGAGGGGAGGGGAGGGGGGGGGGGAGGCCGCTAGTCTCGCATGAGGTACTGTCAGGACATGTCCATGGCGGGAAATTCCCTTCCGTAATCATCTTCTCATTTTCCGTCATTTCAACAAGTGTTTAATAAAAAAGGTTAAAAGAAAAATGTACAAGAGAGATTCTGGAAACAATTTATTAATATATTTAGGCACTTAGGAGAGAAAATCTGTTGTTGCTAATATTAGTTTGAGACCCACTGGGTGCTCCTTTCCCTTGCTGTGCTAAGTTTTCCTTTGGAGTTGGTCGACAACTTTTGTTTTTTGTCTTTCGTCTACCCTTAATGCAAACATCAAGTTCGGGTAAAAGACTTGTTAACTTATCCTGTATATCTTTGTACATTTGATACAATGAGGGTGCTGTGCCCATGAGAGTACTTACGTATGCTCCCACATCTTTCTTATTCTTTAAATTCACAAAGGCAGCATAAGCCAGTGATCCTGAGAAGGTTTCAGATAACTGGCACTGAGAAACAGGGAATTCAAGAAGAGAATTCAGTGTCATAGCCATACTCAAGCATGCTTGAAACTGAGCGAATACATGCACAATTTGCCGTGAAAACTGTTTGCTCTGGAATTGATAGAATGGCAGAAGAGATTCAGCTAAACTCAAACATTCAGATACTGATATTTTTAACAAATGCACATTCCCTTGGGTTTTTAGATTACTGGACTCATTATTCTCCTGATTTACATTTTTCAAGCAGTGTGCCCTTTTTGAAGCCAGTTTCTTTTTATTGCGAATACGGCCTACTATTCTGTCAACAACTCCTAGAGCTATCATACAAATAAGCAAAGAATGCAGATGATGACAGGTAATTTTAGGAAATGATGTAGTTCTGGCCCAAAAAATAACAACTGATGCAAAAAGTTTCCAATCTTCACTCAAAGTTTCCACTATGTCTACATCTTTCTTATCAAAAATGCAAAGTGAGGAAAACAGTAGCTGCTTCCTTACTGACAAGGGTAAACTAGATAGAGTCAAAAGAGAAGGTAATGGAGAAAATCCTGGCAGTTCTTTGGTAGGCTGGAGTTCTATCATCTGACAACCGGCAGTAACACTTCTTGTGTAGCATGTAAGACTACCATCAATTTTATCTGGAGATTCAACTTCAGCTCCATGTTGAAGGAACCCATAAATTATTTTAAGGATAGGAAAACTCAAGCTGTGAGAATCACTACAGGAAAAGTCATCCACTTGTGGGTGGCAAAAGTATAAATGCAAATGAAAAATGTCTGATAAAAAAGTGGGAAGTTCCCCTTTGCGAAATTTTTCTCTCAGCCTAAGAGGAAATAAAGAATTGGCCTCATGAGATTCATTTTCTTCATCTAGATCACAATCTGAGTCATCGCCATCATCCTCTGAGTTTTCAGACGTGTCTTGTTCTGAGGATGGTGACATCAAACCACATGAGGGCACAGCTGTCACCGTCTCAAATCCTTCTTTATCTAAACCGAGGTAAGAGGTAAATTCACTATGAAAACAGCTATTGGCAGCAATGGCAAGTTCAATTTGATGTTTGACGTAAGCCCGTTGTTTCTTCTTTAAATGGTTCAGCATCTGTAAAAGAGAATGAAGAAAATAAACTAAAAGAAACAATGCAAATTTACGATGATAATTAGTTCTAAAAATGCAAACCTTGGCAGTGGCAGATTCTAAAGTTTCAGTCTTTAGCCACTCAAAAATTGAAGATAATTTTCCATGTTGAGGCGATGTTTTCTTGTATTTAGGTAACATGATCTGCTCAACAAATTTGTGGAAGACACAGGAGTTGACATAATCATTTCCTAATAAAAATGATATAAGAGGCAGAAGGCGCCTATCAAATCCTCCAAAAGTTGAAACTAAACGTTCAACCTTGTACACTTGACAGTTGAGATAGTATTTAACACAGTTCTCTTGTTCAATCTTCAGTGGACATGAATTTAAAGTCGGGAACGGAATATACATAACATCACTAATATAAAAATCTGAATCATTGCTTAAAACCGGACTGTTCAAGAGCCTTCCTATTGCAGCAATTTCATGATCAGCCTCAAAATCTGTTTGAACAAATTTAACATTTCTTTTCAAAAGTGTCTGTTTGAAAGCTTCCATCAGAAGCAATGGAAAAACAACTGATCCCCTTTGGTTGCTAGGAGTACATATTTTTGCAGCATTAATCTTATCTTTGAATCTGCTTAAAATTGTCTTAAGCTTTCGACCTTCATATCCTCCATCAATTATCACAACTGGCATGATATTACATTTTTCCAAAGAAGAGAAGAAACTATCTATTTCCTGAGCATAATGGTCATAGTCTCCTCCAAAGACAGACCTACATTCAGATGCTTGAGTGTAAAGTTGACAGGCAAGACTGCATCCATCGATAACTAAAGTACAATCACGAAGTTGAAGAGGTTCGTAAAATTTACGAGAGTTGTTAGAGATGTAACCAGTAAGACCACGAATACCCATTTTCTCTGCAATGCACAAAATATCAAGTTAGAACAAGTTATGGAGCCGAACACAAGAAAGAATACGGAAATAGTTGACACATAGCGCTAAAATAATAAACAGCCTAAACTGCTGAGAAGTAACAATATCTAATAATTTTTTCAGCATATGTCTAACTACACAAAGCCAGATTAGTAAATTAGTACAATAAATGAAACAAATAAAATACACATAACCTAATATAACGCTATGATTATTTGAAATACACTGACGTCGCAAGGTGTCACATAACAGAGATGAAAGGGAAGTGTCGGAGTGAGCTTGTCTTTCATTTTCCCACGTCCACAATGTTTTAAAACCCTTACCAAATGTGTTTTCCTGTCATGAAACCGGACACAAATTTTCATTTCATTTCAGGACGGGTTGGCGAAGCTGGCAGCTGGCTAGTGCTGTGGAGGAATGGTGAATGTTTTTGAGAGAAGGCAGTGGTTTGTTTGGGTCGAATCTGGGTAACAAGTTTGCCTATTTCTTGATATTTTTCTACGAGATGGGTGCAATTTGTCAAAAGCCGCGTACTCAGAAGCAATATATAGTACGTAAGCAGAGATGTCGCCCGTGTTGGCTGATATCTACATGTGCCTTATTGCATGACGTAGTTGTTGTGTCGTCAGTAGCACCTGTGTCCCTAGCCTTACTGACGACGAATCAGCTGTGACTCATTTTGTCAGGAAGGTCGCCAGTGAATTATGTGATTTCTTCCTTTGGGTTTGAATAAATTTCAGAGATTTGATGATCACTGTGATATTGAAACCAAAGGTTGTCAAACCTTCTCTCCATGGGGTCACAAATGATGCGTCAATTGAACACTCGTAGAGTTGTAATCACTTTGTCGCACTGGTATTTAGAAAACAAAGTAGCAAAAGCACTCTGATTGAATTCTTGTATGATAATTTGGTATACAACTTTTAGTCCACCAGACCTTCTTTGTCAAAACCAATATTTTGACAGATGGTTACTGGTTGAAATGGCCATGGCTATGGCCTTTCTGTTCTCAGAACCGATAGACGCACACATATATTTAATGGATTAGCACACAAGGGATCAAGACAGCAATAAAACAGTTTCTGAAAAGTTTGTTCTTAAAATCTGCTGTGGCCATGCAGCTTTAACTGTTTCTAACATGTTACAGCCGAAATAATATCTTCTCAACAAATGTCTAATAATTTCTTTTTCTGTTCCTTTTCAGAATAGTAGAAAGGCCAAACCCTACTCTTAGGAGAGATCTTGTTGAGGTTCCAAAGGACGAGTGATTTCTCTAGTCTTTTTCTGCTGAGTTTTTATTTCTTCCAATTAAAAAAAAATATACAAATTGAAGACAAAATACTGAGAGTATTTGTCATTTAGGTTTTCAAGAAAAAATAATTAACCTTTCTAAAATTTGTCTCTTGGTCAAATAAAAGTGCCAGATTTGTCTTTCTTCTCTGTCTTTATCTCTTCATCTATATCTAAATAGTTACTACATCTTTTTTGATTAAAAAATTAAAATGGATCCGTCTGGTTCAGATAATTCTATTTCTAAAAATATATCTATCCCACAATGGATGAGACCACGAATGCAAGATGGGTGAGATATTTTACTTCCTTTTTGACAATCTTATTTTAGTATAGTGCTTCTTTATCATGGGAAAAAATTGGCATAGGAATTGGTGCATGATTTTATATTCTGATGGTGCCTCTTAATAAGCATGATTATGGCAATTAATTCATAACGATTGGGAGCTCTTATATAATTTTTTGTGTTTAATTTCTGCAGGTTTGACACAGAAATCAGCTCAATTTCACCCCCAAATCAGGATGATTCATTCTTCTATATACCATATTCAAAGTTAACAAAAGCCAACCCGCCTGGACCAGCAATAGCGTGTACATCAAGTGAAAATTCACCCTCAATTGGCACCTTTTCGGGAAGTGGAGCTTCTGGCTCCAGTTCCTTGGCAAACAAGCACACCTCACCTTGTTTGAAATTCCTTGGAGAAGGAAAAAATATGGGTAAGTCAACCAAAAAGAGTCAGGCTAATTTTATACCAAGTTGTTGCATTACCTGTATCTAAAATTTTGGGCATGTTCAGACATTGCAGATTTGACAGGATTCTCAAAAGATGACAAAAAGATATCCAAGCCAGTCAAGTCTTTTGGTACAGATGATGGGTTTAAAAGTGAAGCAGCTCAGTGTGGCCATTCAGTTGTGCAGGTAAAGATAAAATTGCTATTCAACTTATCCTATTGCAGTTCTATTTTGATTGAAGTTAAATTGACCATTCCATATTTCAGGTGGCACAGCAGATGATTGCAGATCGGTTGATTGGACGTCCTAACAAGTTTCACAATGACAGTGACAAAAACAATCTTGGTGATCCTGAAATCCAATACTTAAAGCAGCGGGTTCGACGTGGGAGCAAATCCTTGCCAGCCAGCCCCTTGTCAACACCAGATTCAACCCCACAGATTCATCGCAAAAACAGGTGATTACCTTACTCTCTTGTTTTTGTCATCCTTCCCTCTGTACCCTGCCTTCAATTTTTCATTTTTTAAAATTTATTTTAGATTTTTTACTGGAGCATTTGTTGAAACTCCTGAAGAATCCTCAAGACAGTTCCCAGGCAGTTGGTTGGTGGCAGGGTTACTAGGGGTGCAACGAGAAAACTTCAGTGAAAGCCAAAATGACTTGGCATCGGACAGCAACAATAATGCAAGTCTTCAAACAAAGAAGGTAAAACAAATATTTCAACTTCTCTTTGATTTCTTCATTAGTGCATGAGTATTTTTGTAGTGAATTTATTAATTTATTGGTAGGCACATTCTCCTGATGCTCTCCGTCGCAACAATTCCTCTTCAATGATTTTACAGTCTTTGGACAAAAGTAAATCTGAAACTGGAGGCGAAGGAAAAGATAAGAATGCCTCCCATCTTCACGAATCGAGGTCCGCAGCATCTCTCATCAAGATTGGCAATGCTGGAACAGACAATACCGGGAAGAAACCTCGACCCAAACCCTCAGAACTACGGGAAATGAACTTCTGGTCTCCCACATCCATGTAAATTTAAAAAAAGCAGACTAGTAACAGTGGCTATAAAAGTGTTGTTGTGACTATCCTTGTAATGTTTGAAAGAACTAAAAATGACAAATGGAAAAAGTATTTTAGATAAGGTTTTTATTTTCTATACATTTTATTTTTGTTCCTTTAGAAAAGGATGAATTTGCCAAGTGAAAACACAGACATCTAGTACTCCCCTGCTTGGCAATGTGCTTAAAGAGCTGTAACTTACAGCACTTATATTTTTGCTTATTTTGTGTTATTGCTTTTTACAGTTTTTGTTACTCTCTAAGTGCATTAAATGCACTCTAATCGTATTGGCTTCTCTTATACCCTGCTCTTCATCTAATGACATGAAGTACTTAAGTTTACTCTGGGCTGCTGTGACTTCTTTTGACCATTGTAAGGTCTGTTTTTGTTCTCTCCAATTTTCGTAAGTTGATGTTTTTAGTGAAAGAATAGTTAAACTTAAGAATCCTGAGCTCATTTACGTCCTAGGGCCTTAAGTAAATCTTGCTGTTTTATTTTTTGACTGTACTTCGACATGTCATTCTATATGTGTAGCTTTTGAAATTTTTGTTTTGTGCCCGTGCATTGCTCTCATGCGTGTTTCCCTCTATGTGTATCCATCATTATTTTTTTCTCATATCTTCTATTCTGTTAGTAAAGTTAATTTACAAGTCTATTGGTGTAGGTGTTCCATCTGTGTAAGATTGATATTTTAATATCTTAAAGTACAGGACCTACTTTGCATGCTACAAAGCTTTAGAAAGTTAAGCTATCTTTGAAACTCAACCCCTCCCAAGAAAACCATTTTAACTTGCCAGGGTGCTAGGAAGCTATCATAACTTGCACTGCACTAGAGAGACTGTCTTAACTGGGAAAAGATAGGATGGTTTCATTTGGAGGGGTTGAAATGTTTCTATTCTATTTGTTTCTCAAACCCTGCACTTATGCAAGAGATGCATACGATAAGTGCTGGTGTCCTGGATACCGAATGAATGCATTCAGAGTAATTGGTTCATAGAAGGTCCATTGGGCCACAGGAATAAAAAGTAGCTTCAGATAAGTCTTAGATTTTTTCCTGTCCTTTCAAGGCTATCACTATGTGAAATAAAAATATTTTAATATCTCTTTAAATCGTTTACTTGAAATACCTGTCACTCATTCAACATCGGTTGAAATTCCAAAGTGGTTGTGAAATCCTTCTACGCAGTGCATGGAGTGCCCGAAAGCTCCCTGGTCTTGTCCCTGTCGAAGGGAAGACAGACGAGAGGTCAGTGGGACATAATTAATGGACTCTGCAACGCACTTACTGTCCTGGGAGAAAAATAATTGGCGCGGGAGGTGCGTACCCCTGCGTCCCTGCCACTGCCACACTATGATACTGCACGGTGGGCCCCCCAACCCACCTAGACCCCACCGAGGCCAAGTCGGAGGCCGATAATTCAACTCACTCAGCTGATGGGTCGAAGTAGAAGCAGAGGGCCCGTGATGGAAAAGAAGCGAAACTCCAACTCGCGGCGACTCGGGGAGGGGAGGGGAGGGCCGCAGGGACCAATGGCGAGGCAGAGGAAACTCCTTGCAGTGGCGTGCCTCGCCCTGCCTCCACATGACGAACGGCCAGCGCCACCACAATTCCATTACCGGGCGATCTGTCCCAATTTGTGGCGATCGGAGGCGAGTCGCGGCCAGCAGGCCAGGCCAGCCCGCCGGGACCGGGACGGCACTCGGCCCTGGGGCTGGGCGGCCAGGGCGGGCGGGCACCCAAGGGAAGGCCTGGGCCTCCCGTGCCGTGCCGTGCCCTGCCAGGCCCAGCACGCTCCACTAGTCAACGAGCTACGGTCCCCAGTGCCTTGCACTTGCGGTTATGAGTTCCCACTTCCGCTTTCAATCCTGCAGACTGATGCCGAGAGTCTGTTCCGTCGCTCTGTCTCTCTCGCACCCATACGGGACCCGAGTGCGAGAGAGACAGAGCGACGAAAACGACTCTCGGAGTCAGCCTGTTGGGGGTGGAGGCGCCAACGGGGGTGTCCGACCGATCGGGGAGGCAAATGAAGAAAGGGGTGATGGGGCTGACGGGGAATGACGCGGGGGTCGCGGGAAGTCGAGGCCGTAGAGGCATGATGCGGTTCGTCTCGTCGTTCATCCCCGGACCGCTCGCTGCTTACTCGCATTTAAGTAAGTCGCGCCGCCGCGTAAGTCTGTCCCTTTCTAACTCGGGCGGTGCGGGGCGGTGCGCGGATTTCCGGACCGATCCCCCTGGGAAGGGCGACTTTCCTCGTCTCTCCTTCTGCCCGTCTGCGGTCCGCTGCGGTCGGGGGACGGGAGGGGGGGAGTCAACCGCATTCCGCCCACGCCGCCCTGCCCGGCCCTGCCCGGATTCGCGACTCGCCCGACCCGAACCGAGGAAGAAGAAGAAGGCGGGGGAAATCTCTCGCGGCCAGACTCTGTTTCGCCTGCTTCGCCCTGCCTGCACCTGAGCCGCTCCCCTGCCCTTGTCCTCCTGCGGGACTCCGTTTGTGCTGATCCCAGAGCTCCCCTCGCCTTCGCCCGCCTTGGCCGTCGTCTGCCGCAAACACTCGGCGCATCCTTTCCCCCTCCAGCGTACCCCATCTGTCGCTCGTTTTCCAATCAAACGGGGATTAAAGGTAATCGCGTTCATGCTGCGCCATCGCTGCGCGCTGCGCGCCGCGCGGTCGGGTCGGGTATTTACTGTCTGTCGCGGCCGGGCCGGGTCGGGGCGGGCCGAGCTGACCACAGCGCAGTGTATAAGGGGCGAACTGGACCAGATAATGCGGACGGGGCCCAAGGCCCAACTTACATTGCCGTCTGCTTCTGTCTGGGCGGTCTGGGATCCCGAGGACCGAGGACGGAGCCTCCAGCTTTCGCTTCGGCAAGACGGCCCCGCCTCGCCCTTCCCCAAAGGGGACCCCAGCCCAGTTTGATTCGCGGGGAAGGACCAAGCGTGGTGTTCCACGTACGGTGCCACGAGTCACAGAATTCAGCCCTCACTGCTTCCTGTGTAAGCTACTTCACTCGAGCGGCCAAAATCTCGTGAGAGATCGGGTGAAATCCCTTCGAAACCTGCCCTGCCCGCAGAAATCTCGTCGAGAACCCATCCGGAAGAATCTTGCATAGTTTGGTCGTAAACTCCTGCGAAATCTCCCAATCTTGCGAGATCTCGCAAAATACCTTCCTTTGTAAAACCTCGCGCTCAAAAAATTTCCCTGTAGTGCCCCCCTTGACTTGCAGTGCCCCCTCCCTCTGGACCCGCGCCTGTCGGAGTCTGGAGTCTGGGCCGTGTCTCGGCCATTGGCGGCACCTTCAAGGCTCCGCGACGATGCAGGCCGTGCAGCAGACTGATCCCGAGAGTCGTTTTCGTCGCTCTGTCTCTCTCGCACTCGTGGGACGTCCCGTGTAGGTGCGAGGGAGACAGAGCGGCGGAATGAGTCTGCTGGCGATGCAGGCGATGTGCGACGAGAGCTGCCAACACTCTAAAAGACAAGGCAAATTGCCCAGATTACAGGGCGGCCGGCCAGCCAGCCGCCGCGGCGGCCCGAGCCTTGTAATAACGAGTTCGAGATTGGAGGGGGGTGGGGGAGGGGGAGGGGAGGGAGCGCGCTCCGTGGCTCGCGCCTCGCCGCCGGGTGGGCAGGCAACACCTCGCACACGAGGGCCGCGCGGCACGGCCGCTTCAAGGCGCTCGCTGGACACACACAGTGGGCCAGAAGACCGGCGGAGGCGGCCAAAACTCTAGACGCGTTTTGAGCTTCAGAGTCGCTAAATGGGACTCGAACCGAACGTGTGACCCCGCCAATGGATTCCTCGTTCGAAGAGCAGTCCATTGATGGGGTCACACGTTCGGTTCGACTCCCATTGAGCGACTCTGGAGCTCAAAACGCGTCTAGAGTTTTGGCCGCCTCCACCGGTCTTCTGGCCCACTGTGGGACACCAGACTGCAGCGTGGAGTCTCTCTAGTCCATTCCTCTGCCGAGCGATTCCGAAAAAATCGCTTCGTCGTCCCGTCTCCCCCACCGGTACGGGGCACCCCATGCGTGCGAGGGAGACAGAGCGACGGAACGATCCTTGGCCGGTCTGCGGACAACGCGTGTCGCCCGGCGGGCGCCCGATTGGCGAAATCAATTGGACGCATCCCTCCGCCACTGCCTGGCCGTACGCGCGGTACACACGCGGTGCTGTACAGTCCGTCGCAACACCGACGCATTAGCGACAAATCACCGCTATCGCTGGCCAGGCTGGCGAGGTGGAGGCGAGCTGATTAATGCAAAAGAGACGAGATGGGAACGGAAAAACGACAACAAAAATGCGCAGCCGAAACGAAACATCGAAAACGGAAACGGCAGCGGACGTCCGCGGCGTTGAAGAGGTCTCCACGGATGCACGGATGGACCAGGCGCCACTCCGGCACTCCGCGCGCGCGGATTGGGCTGCTCGTCTTTGTCAAAGCGCGGGAACTGGACTGGACTGGACGGGAATGGCTCGTTTGGCGCGCCCTACCCGTTGCGCTGCGCGCTACAGCAGACTGATTCCCAGAGTCGTTTTCGTCGCTCTGTCTCTCTCGCACCCATGGGACGCCCCGCATGGGCGCGAGAGAGCCAGAGCGACGAACACGACTCTCGGAATGAGTCTGCAGGTACGACGCGTCCACCGCGAGGGGCGGCGCCGAATCGCCGCCGCTCTCCGCTAGCGACATATTTATGATATGGTGATACAGAGTGCTCGCAGTGAGCACGCAGTGAGCACGGAGTGCCGCGTGCCGCGACGCGCCGCGCGGCTTATCGCTGGCCACACACAAAACAGCAGAAATATAGCCGCGGCCGGACTCGCCTCGCCGCGTTTTATGGCTTTATTTAGAGGGCGCTATGGCCGTTTTGGGGTTTGGGGGCCGTTCGCTCCGGGTCCAACCTGCATGCGTGATGCTCTCTTTGCAACACACACACACACTCACACACACACACACACACACACACACACACACACACACACTTACACAAACACACACACACACGGGCGCGCACACACACACACACACACACACACACACACACGACAGGACGACCTTATCAAGCCTTTCAATTTGTGAAAACAATTCGGCGGCGAGGTGCCCGGCCGGCGTGGTCCACCCCCGCTGTGCGCCGCGCCTCGGATTTATGGCGGCGGAGAGAAAGGGAGAGATGGAGCTACACTGCAGGGTGGGGTTGGGGCAGCATTTATTGCGCCGCGTCATCGAGGGGCCTAAGGCCGCCTAACCTAAACTAGCGCACCGCACGCGTCCAAGTGGTCCAAGCTGGCCGGGCGGCGCCAGGCGGCGGTCCGCGAACCGCTGCAGCGGCTCCGTCCACTGCCAGGACGACGCGTTGCCCGCGGCCAGCGCGGCGCGGATCTGCTTGCGGGTGTACAGGCCGCGCTCCAGCGAGCAGTTGACGCGCACCGAGCCCATGGCGTTGAAGCCCGGCGGCACGTCGGGCAGCGCGCCCCGGTGGCCCGCGTCGCCGGGCTTCAGGAGCAGGTACCAGTCTGCAGGACAAAGACGTCAATGGAGTTTGAGCTAGAGTCGAACAGAAGGAGAAAGAAGGCAACAACTCAACAAAACAAGTTTTAATCCCCCAAGTTCTAAATCATCCGAACGAGTTTGAACACTGACTATGTCAGCTCCAACGACAGTCGTGCGACACGCAGATCAAGAGAATGGTGAAGCATGCCCTCACCGCGGTGGTGCGTCCTCTCGCCGTCCAGCGGCCTGCCCTCCATCACGAACACGGAGCCCGCGTGGCTGGGGTCCTTCACGGCGATGGGCGCGTACATGTGCAGCACGGCGCGCCGGTCCCTGGCGCTCGTCTTGCCCTGGCCCTTCTGTCCGTCGGCGTCGTCGGCGGCCTCCGGGGGCAGCACCTCCAGCATGACCGAGATCGCCGAGGCCAGGCTCTTGCGGGCGTCGTCGGACATGGGCGAGTTCATCACGGCGAATACGGACATGGCGGTTGGCATGGTTACCGGGGGCGTTACCGGGCCTACAAGGATGAGAAATCGCGGCGGCGGAATCAT